GCAAACATAGTTATCCTCCTAGCTAGGACAATGAACATTCTTAGTGTTAAAAGGACTACATTCGAGCTTCCGACCAAAAGTTTCTTCGACAGTGGACTAGTTCGCCATTGCCGATAACAATTAGCGCAAACAGAATAACGAAGTGAAAATAAGCATGTACCGGATCTGGCACTCCTGCCAAAGTCTCCAGAACTGCAACTGCTCGCTCGACGTCCTGCAAAAATCCGAAAGAGCAAAACCCATCAAAAACGAAAAGAGTCACATTAACCTTGAATCAAGCCACGCGAACACGAGCCTAACGCGACGTCGTCAAGGGAAGGTGGCAAAAATCGCCGGACTCGCGGATCACCTGGAGCTGCCGAGGAGTGGCAGAGCGACCACGGCCTTGGATGCCGATGAGAGCTTCGATGAGCTGCGCCTCCGGGTCGGTGAACGGAGAGGCCTCCTGCTGTTCGCCGACGAGAGAGGAGCGGCAAGCGACGGAGCCGTCGCGACCTCGGCTCCGGCGGCACCTGACGGACTTCGGAGAGCGGCGGTCGAGAGTTTGCGGAGCCAGAAGCGCGGGAGACGGCGCCGCCGTGTTGAACTGAAGCCCGTGGAAGTGGGACGCCATCGGAGAAGACGATGGAGGGAAATTTTGCGAGGCTCGCATGCGTGTTGGCGGATACGCTGGAACCATGGAGGGGGACAGAGAAGGCTCGAGCAGAGTAGTGCCACGTGGCCTTCGGTCTACCGGACACGTGGGTGTTGAGATTTGGTGTTGATATGTTGAGTAATCGAGACCAGAAGCAGTGATTTCCAAGTGAATCGGGCCCACTAGCCAATGCAAAGAGAGTCCCGATTGGTTCCGGAGGAGAAATAATATCTAAAGACAATTTTTTAGCGGCTTCCATTTTTTAAATTGAATTCTAAAATTTTCAAAAATTACATTTAAATTTTAAAATCTATTGTGGGTAAAATTAAATTTTAAAACTTTTAAAAAGTGCAGTTGAGTTCTAAACTTATCAAATTAATCCAAACGAGCCCTTCCGTTTATTGTAATTTTTGAAAATTTTAGGACTCGATTTTATGTTGGTAACAAGTTTTAGGACTTGATTACATTTTCTTAATAAATTTTAGGACTTTATTACACTTTTTGATTATTTTAGGACTCAATTGCACTTTCATAACTAGTTTTAATACTTGTAATGCACTTATCTTCTTTTTTTTGAATTGGGGTTTCCATTTCAATCTCTTAGTGTTTGCACTTGAATATTTAATCATGTTAATTGGTGAAATCAATTACAAACTTTAAATAGTCTCCAAATTTTTTTTTAGTAAAGTATGCCCATAGCGAGTCGAAATGAAAATGACTTGTATTTTTTCTCATGCAAGGTGCGAATACGCCATGTCCTTTGAGTTCATCAATAATATGATTCGTGAGATCTATTTTGAGTTAGACAAATCACATCAAAAGCATCACTGACACATATTCAAGATCATAGGTTCAATGGATGGCAAAAAGAAAACAAAGAGCTCATAATTCAACATGTTGATGTGTTTTGATCTATCAAACTCGCGTGTTAACTTTATAAGACCCGCGTAAAAATGAATAAATTACATTGGACCGCTTGATCCTTATCATAGTCTAAGCAAGCCATTTAGATATGTGAAAAATTAGTGAATTTTACTCATAAGTCCAACCATAGAGTTGCATATTTGATACAATCTCTCCACGGTAAGTCCACAATGAATAATACTAAACCCACTATCATGTAAGCGGTGAAATGATATTTAGTAGTTTCAGATCATCACGTCATCAGCATACGTGGCATACATAATCCTATTCAAATCCATTAAAGAAAGTGACATATGTGCAAATGGTGTGGAAATTAAATGATGAAAAATTAAAAACCTTGCAGGTTTGCATGGCAACAATCCTCTTTCTCCTCGTTAATTATGTTGTCTCTCTACTTTTTACGTCTTCTCCCTAGCTCTCTCTCTTTCTTCCTTTATTTCAAATTTCACTCGAGATACCTCTCTCTCTCTCTCTCTCTCTCTCTCAAAATCTGATGACCACCTCTGGACAACCACTACCGGACGCTCTCTCTTAGCTACTGGAAAATGACGAAGGCTTGGTGGAGCCGGGGTCGGAGTGCTCAATGCCACGAACTTCCCTCTAAAGAAGAGGTTGTCGGAGAGAGAGACAAACGGCGAAATGTTCACGTTCATGCAGTCGTGACTCTAGCCGAACGACTTAGAAGAGAGGGCGAGGTCAAATGCCTTGTCGACATCATTGTCATCCTCATTGCCACCTCCGCATTCACTGGCACTATCGTCTTTTTCGTTGCCTGCTCATCCTGCTTCTATCTCTCCTCTTCCTCCTTCTCCTCTACCTCCGGCGGCACGTTGCCTCCGTCCATTGACATGATTAGTTGATTGGTAAGCTTACTTTGCCGCTACTCTTGACTAGTGCATTCTTGCTGCTACCGCTGCATTTGATTAGTGCTTGAAATTTATTGCCCTTAATTTTGGGATGATTAGTTGCCCTTAATTTTGTGCATTATTAAGAGAGAGAGAAAATCGCTTGAGAAAAAACAGAGAACATTTAAGTTCTGGATCCTTTTTCCTCATCGCCGTCGAATGTCGCTTGCCTTTGGTGGTTGCCGTTAGCCATCGGGTCTCAAGAGAGCGCAAAACCATCCCTGTTCTTCTTTGTTTTGCGTCCGAAAACCTTGAAGAGGTAATGCGGTGCTTGATTGTTGTTCATAGTTGGATTAAAAAATTGTATCGATTTCGAATCTTAGACTTGTGTTGAAAGTGCACACAACCTGTTCGACAAATTGTTCTTGAGATGTATTTGCGAAATAATACTTTCTACCGTCATATCCGAAGATTAATCTCTGTTTTCCTCGGCACCGTTGTCCCACCATTACCGGCAGAAGGGGTCGACGACCCTCACAAACAATTCCGTCACCATCGCCGGCCCTTCCCGACAATGGTGCGGTGGCGGCAACGAGGGCTAACTCTGTTTTTTAAGCTTATTTTTAGTTTAATTTAAATAAAACTTGTATTATAAATCAGATTTGGATCAAAACAGCGTCGTTTTAGTCACGTTATCTCCACGTATGATAGAGAAAAAAAAACCACATCGGCATTTTCTATTAACCAAGTTGGACGAAGTTAACGAAATAACTTAATTGCACATTTTTCAAGTTTTAGAACTCAATTACACTTAGTAATAAGTTTTATGACTTTCAGTACACATATTCTCCTTCTTTTTTTCTAAACTAGAATTAATAATTATTATTATGTCCTATTCTCATAATTGATTATTCGCTAATCCTTCACCTTAAGAAACAATTTTTGGAGCATTTGAATAAGATGGAAGTTTAAATTTGGTATTGTCAAGTTGGGCCAAGTATAGTTTTAGGGTAGAACCTGAAACTGGAAAACCGGACTGGCGGGAATCGGTCAAGTTCCAGGTTTTATAGTATACAGAGTAGGTTCCAAGTTCCAAAAATTAGGGAACCTTTCAATAGGTGTTTAGGCTTGGAACAAGTTTTTTGTTTTTCTTGGTCTATGTCTTCGCATGATCTTGCGGTATTTTATGGTGTCAAATGATAAGTATATAATCTGGAACCACTAATCTGAAATTTCATTTTATGATTGAGATGTTTACTTTATTAATGTTTCATATTTTTCATGTGTCTAAATATAAGTTGTGGTCAGTGAATTGTAACAACAAGTGGTCGTCATTAAAGGGATTCACTACAGGCTAGACCCCGGAACCGGTAGGTTCTAAGGTATGCAGAATAGGTTCCACATTCCAAAAAATAGGAAACCTATTCCAACATATAAGTTTTACGTTCCAGGTGGAACCTGTACAGAACTTAGAACCGCTTACCCATATTGTCGAGAAACTAGAAAATGTAGATTTACGCGCTCACAACTCACTTGTTATGTATAGGAAAATTCTAGCTAACAAGATCGATGGGATAAACCATCAAAATCAAATAAACTTTAATAATTGGGCCAAGAAAAGAGAAAAACACATGTTCTTCACAGCATCGCAATGAACCCAAATATCATCTAATGAACGAATTAATAACATTTATCCAAACTGATAAAAAAAAACATGGAAAATTATCCTGTCACCACCCCCTTGATGAGGGAAATGCAAAGCAAAGGGAATTCAACTTGCTGTCAGGTCCACGATTGATCTCATTCATCGATCAAACTACGGAGGTTAATTTGGTCTCTTAAAAGCCATCCCGTGCGAAAAAAGAACGGAAGAGGATGAGAAAATTCGACATCCTTCAATTCAATCGCTAACACCATGCTGTGGATACATACAAACCCGCCCTATAAACAGCGCGGGCTCTTAACAAAATGTTTTGACTTTCCTAAAGAATATAATGCCGCGCCAACACATGCAATATCATATAATAACAATATGAAATAAGCCGACAACATTATGATTATCCCTTCCAGTTCATTTCGGCACTGCTAGGGGATGACTGCGTGGATCGATGTAGAGTGCAGATAGAGAAATACTAATTGGAGCTTCGGTTTTATCTTTACTTCCGCTACTCAATACCAACGTGGAATAAGCCACTATGGCCTCACCCAAAAGTCTCAAGTTGAACGATCCGCTTCCTTGCCAGACCCGATATGGCACTAGAGCAACCAGTTCCAGTTGGACTGATGCAATTATCTAGTCCTGCCGAAGAAAAATGTCGTCTTCGGGCCAATTTCCTCCCGAGGACAAAAACTACTGCCAAAAAAATGTCATCTTCGTGAGTAAAACTATAGTTTAACTCACCTTAAAGAACATTAACAATTCTTTAAGAGGCTGATAGATATGTCTCGCAAGCTGTTCAGGAGTGAGCCAAAACATATGTTTCAATGTCGTCATCGCAACGAGAAACGTGGACTTCCGATCCCCGCAAAGAAATATCTGAATATCCTTCCTTGTTCTAATCGAAAAGTTGCAGATTGTATTCGTGAATTCCATAAGGTGAGAAATGAGCTCATTTTTGTCTCTGAAGCCCAAAACATCTTTCCACTTAGATTATAAAGGCAAAACTTCTCCCACTTATACTCTGTGACAAACTAAACGTTGGAGAGATATGGGAAAGCTAAGTAATGAAGCAGAAGGTCAAAAGAAAGTGATCATGCATTTCAGCCATGATCATGCCCTAGAACTCACCAAACTCTCAAAAACAAACCAAGCAATCTGTTCCGGCTGCGGAATTCACATCCTCCCCGACGGGGACTATTTTGCCTGCGCAACGTGCAATTTCTTTCTCCACAAAGAATGCTCTGAATTGCCGAGAAATATCTATCATCCTTCAGACAAGAATCACAACTTGATTCTTATCCTGTCACCCTCTTTTCATTGCAAGGCATGTGGGACTCCTGGTTCCGGTTTCTCCTACAATTGCAATATCTGCCTTGGAGATATCCACAGCCTGTGCGCGATGAAGCCTTTTTCTGCTACACATAAATCACACCCTCACCCGCTAAGATTGGAATTTAAATCTCCTTATGAAGGAGAAGAAGGCTTCCAATGCGACATCTGTGGACAACCAGGTTACAACCAGTGGCTCTACTGCTGTCAACAATGTGGTTACGACGTGCACCTTCATTGCTCGAAGTCTCAGGTGGGAGCGGAAGTCCATATCATTCAGGAGAAACCAGCTTCTGAAGCTTCAAGCAGAGCTCTCAGTCTTCCTATTAGTACACAAAAGGCCGCCATTAACATCACTTCTGTTACTCAATCTGGCAAGTCATGCGAAACTTTTCTAGGCTTCCAACAAGTTAATGTCTCAGGGACAATTCAACAAGCTCTTGCTAGTCAAAACATGGCGATAACAACTACTCAAGCTCCCTTCGACAACCCAGCCTCACCGCCCTTGCCAATGGTCCCCACACAGTACAGGCCAAATGTTGCTTGTGTTTACCAGTCAAGCAAGTCCTCAATCGGATTTCCAGCAAACTGTCATGGACTTGACCGACCCAATGGGAGCGGCTCAAGTACTAATCTAGCAATTTGTGTCAATCCAAACATAATGATGATGAGCACAACCCGAGGTCCCATGAACAATTCAAACCCTCCGAGTGGTGCCACCCAATACCAACCAAACATAGCTTATGCTCAACAGGAGACTAAGTTTCCTAGTCAAAGACAAATGTACAGCAGCAATGGCTTTGTCTACTTCGGCAGTGCTCAAGGAAGAAATAATCTACCAATACACGTCGGGCCAAATGCAGTTCTCGTCAGCCCAAATGCAATGACAGAAACCACTAATCAAGTCCCGTTACACACCACAACCCCACCAGTTGTTGCGGCACAGTACAGCCCGAACACTGTCGGTCAGGGAGGCAATTTCTCAAATGGGTTCCAAGCAAGCGCTTACCCCTTTAGCCCAGTCACTGCCTCAAGCACCATTCAAGCAATCCCAATGAGTCCGAATGGAACAACCATGTTCACCACTAACAATAGCACAAACCCTGCAGTTGGTGTCCCCCAAAACCGGCCAAGCACAGCATTTGCCAATCAAGGAACAACTTTCCCCAACGGATCACAAGCGTACGGCAACAACGGTCTCATGTATCTGAACGGCACTCAAGGGATCAACAACCAACCGATATACCTGAGGCCGAATGGTGGCGGAGCTTCAATGGCCCCAATGGTTCCACAAAACCAAGGGCTCGGCTATGGGAATCCAGTATACTATGGTGCAAACCAGGGCATGATGAGTGGGGTGACCGGCATGTGGGGTGGTGGTGGTGGTCGTGGTGATGAGGGATCGATGGGTCTTGATGGGTCAGAGATCCTGAATTCCTACGTCGGTGATTACTTCTAGTTCTGAATTGCCGATTGACTCAAGTTTCCTTTTTTGCTAGCATCGTCATGTGTTTAATGTTGATTATAGCAGTGCAATTTCGAGTAATTTCAATACTGTTCTTCCAAATTTAATCCAACATTCGCGCTGGAATTGGGCAACATGGTTGTCCACAACTTTGTCAACATGTGCCCCAGGATTACAAGTTAAGTAATCAACAAAGCTACTGAGGTAAGAGGGAGATTTAGAAATAACATAACAACTAAGGATGACATTCAAGCAAAGAGAACAGAAGAACATGGAAACAATAGCAAAGTGCAATTCAACACAATAGAAAATGAATATGAGACCCACTAACTTATGGAAGAATTGTGTCGAAGAAAGGATGAAGGAGACGAAAGTTATGGTTTAATGAAATCTATGAATATATACTAAATCTATAGATAGATATAAGATACATAATTGGTAAGGTAATTCGATCTCGTCTAACATCTAATAAGTAGATACAAAACGCAGATACGAACTTCGCAAGATTTCAGCTCATGCTACATCTATAAATAGATATAAAATATATAGACACTAATTCAGTAAGATAATACTTGTAATACAAGCATAGAGAATAAAACTTTTGTAGATTTAATTAAGATCAAGTTAAGTTCATTTATTCTCAAGTCAGTTAATTTAATTAAAGATAGAGAGAAACCAACATTGATAGATTTAAATAAATCAACTCAAACTTGATTCATAATTAGGTTAATCGAATTCATATGTCCAACTTACGTTCTTAATCCGATAGATAGTTCGATTTGTGAAAATTAAGAAAAGAATGTGGGTCTGTGAAATTTATAGGCTTCATAAAACATTGTAATAATCTTATGTATTATATCTATAAAACATTGGGCTAATACCACAAAAAAAAATCTCAAACTGGTATACCTGTGCCACAATTACTCCGAACTGATTTTCGTGTCACAACAATTCCAAACTGGTACACGCGTGCTACATTTAACCTAAACTAATTTTCATGAAAATCATCTATAAACCATGTATCTGAAACAGATTAAAAGGAACATATAGGGAGTAACTTTGCACAATTCTATCTCATACTATATCGATAAATATAAATATATATGACGTGCATGCACAAATAATTAAAATTAAGTTAAGGAAGTAGAGTGGCCTAGTAGTTTATCACATGCAGAGCCTTTGCTGCAGTTGATATCAAATGCATATGAACCAATCCAATTTTTTAAGTTGAAATCTGAATGGCAAAACACCTATGAGATTAGATTAAGCTGTGAGTTCTGAATCTCTGCACTTTTTGCTCTTCTTATAACAAAGTTCAATAGGATATCTCACCTTATAACTTAAACTGTGACAACTTACTGCAAAATCACAATCGACATGGAGGGGGCCTTCATGGAAATATAAGAGATCCATCTCCGTACTTCATACCATCATTTCAGCTACCTTAGGTAGGTCTAATTTCCATTTTATATCTCTAAGATAGTCACATGTTTCCAATAGTCCTAAACCTGAACTTCTTTTAAACAAGTATTTTAATGGAACTTTTCTCCAACTGAGTCCCTAATTTTTAGATTTTTCTTTAGCTTTTCTTTCTCTCATGTACATTTTTCAGCTGCTTTTCCTACGTGACTCTTAAGCCATAAGCCATTAGTTAAAACTTAACTGTTGGCTTGCACCTAAGCCAAAAACAACCTGGGGAAAACAGTCCCCAAACACAAAGTTAGGAGCTTTGTTTGAAGAATTAGTTGTCTCAATCAACTTGAATTGCTCATCACACCCATGTTTTACACCAATTGTATCAACATCCTAACCAAAAAAAACGAATGGCGGATGAAATTTTACCTAGGAATGAGTCAGGCCTGAAATTTCTTGGCAACTTCAAGTCCAGTGAAAGGATCTTGCTGCATAGGGACTAATGCAAAAAAACAAAAAAGAATATTAATAAAATAATAATTAGCTTTATTTTAACTTGCTTGAGTTTCTCAATGAAACGACAAATAAGTAGACTCTCATCATGACATTACAACAGCTTGAATAAAATAGGTAAAAAAAATTCACAAAATAGATGTCTTGCTATCGATTATCACTAAAGTACTGAGCAAGTGTACATTTGTGTGATCTGTCCTCGGTAAATCAGTCCAACGAGATGCTGTTTGGAAAAAGAATTGACCTGCAACTCTATCATATTGAGAGAGAGAGAGAGAGAGAGAGAGAGAGAGGAATTCATTATGATAAGTTGATAACGATTACTTACATTCAGTTAAGAGAACTAAGCCAAAACATTGCTTTCAATGTCACCACCATAGTGTGAAACATGGACTTAATCCCAATCATACATAATTCAAGCCTCCATCTTACCAAGAAGTTACATGTTGCATATTACTTTATGTTTCACAACTTCTAGGAAATAACCACAAAAGCATATCATCACAAAACTTCGGTATGTACTAATATCCATCTCCTCAACCTCCATGAGTCCCTCGATCGATGTCTTGAAGCCGACGCACCTTCAATGTATGAAATATAAAGGCATCATTTATCTCCTTCCACATTTAGTCTGTTTCACACACACTCAAAAACACACAGGAGGGAGATGGGCAAGCTAAATAAAGAAGCAGAAGACCAAAAGAAAGTATTCAAGCACGATTCGCATCATCATCCAGTAGTACTCACCAAAATTCACAACACCATTCAAACATTTTGCTCCGGCTGCAGAATTAACATTCTCCCAGGGGAGGACTACTTCGCATGCATGCCGTGCCATTTCTTTCTCCACAAAAGATGCTTCGAATTGCCCTCATCTACTACACACGATTCACATCCTCATTTGCTTACTTTAAAATTCAAAACCCCTTATGAAGGAGAAGAAGGCTTCAGGTGCGACCTCTGTGCACAACCAGGTACCAACCAGTGGCTCTACTGCTGCCAGCAATGCCATTACGACGTGCACCTACGTTGTGCCAAACCTCAAACTGGACCAAACTTCCAAGCTTCTTGCAGATCCCGTAGTCTTGCAAACGTCAAACCAGCACCTCTGGTAAATGCCACGACTTTCGATACTCAATCAGCGAATCCGCCATGTGGGGTTCGGGAAAATTTCCACGACTTTCATCCGGGTAAAACATCGATGGCCAATCAACCAGTTCTCGTCAGCCAAAATGCAATGACAATGACCGCTAATCGAGTCCCTTTAAACACCACAACCCCACCAATCATTACGTCGCAATACGGGCAAAGGGCTGCTTATCTTGGTCAGTCAGGCAATTATTCACGTGGGTTCCAAGCAAGCCGTTACTTTTTTAGCCCAACCACTGCCCCAAGCACCATTGAACCAATCCTAATGAGTCCGGACGGAACAACCGGATTCACCACTCGGGGTCCCTTAAACAACGGCACAAACCCTGCAATGGTTGTCCCCCAAAGCCGGCCAAGCTTGGCATATAGCAACAACGGCGTCCTGTATCTGAACGCCGCTCAAGGGATCAACAACCAAATGATATACCTGAGGCCGAATGGTGGGGGAGCTCCAATGGCCGCAGTGGTTCCACAAAACCAGGGGCTCGGTTATGGGAATCCAGTGTTCTATGGAGCGCATAACGGCATGATGGGTGGGATGAAGGAGATGGCAATTACAGGATTGGCTTCTGGGTTTGGGGGAGCGTTTGGGGAAGAGCTGTTCCCAGGGGTGACCGGCATGCGGGGTGGTGATGATGATGGTGAGGGATCGATGGGTCTTGAAGGGTCAGAGATCCTGAATTCCGATTTCGGTGAATACTTCTAGTTCTGAGATGCTCATCTTTGCCGATGGATCGAAGTTTCTTTTTGGCTTGTATCATAAGAATGTTTTCTCATGTCGATTATAGCAGTGCAATTTCGAGTGAATCCAATACTGTTCTTCCAAATGTAATCCAACATTCGTGCTGGAAATTGGCAAGACGGTTGTCCACAACTCTGTCAACATCTGCCTCAGCATTACAGGTTAAGTAATTAACAAAGCTACCGAGTAATCATCTAAATAGAGTGGTAAAATTAGATCAAATAAGAGATAAGCTTTTGATGCGGTTTATTAATTGTGCTAACTAACTATTGGAGGACGCATATCTAAAATTTAAATCTATACCTAAATTTCTAAAACCCATATCAAACGTAAAAAGGTTCCTTTTGCATATTCATTGTCTTAAAAAATCACCTTGCAATTCATTCTCGTGATCTTAAAAACACAACCTCGTTTCACAGTTAAGTACTAAGAAGGGTTGGCACTTGGCAGTAGCCCTTAGCCTCTTGACTAATTGGTGCTTGGTTCGATAACATAAAATATGATTTATCAAATTTCACATGTTATCTTCATATCTCTTCTTAAAATATCACATAATATCGGCTTCTAAATTAAGGGAAAATTGTACAAAAATCTCTAAACTTATTGTATGGCGTTCAATTCAGTCCTAAACTTTTCAATTTTTACCAATTTAGTTCTAAACATTTTGACAATTTGCCAATATATTCTTTCAGGCAATTTTTGGTTGGAAATCGTTGACATGGACGCCGGTCGTCCTACGTAGCATGACTGCTACTGACATAAACGAGTTTTGCTATTTTCTAAAAAATATTTCTGAATTTTTCCTTTGTTCTGCTTTTTCTTTTCTTTTCTTTTCGTTTCCTTTTTCTTTCATTGGATTCCGAAAGAGAAGAATTAAAACAAAAGAAAAAGGAATAAATAAGAAAAATTTTAGAAACTATAAAAAAAAATTTGTAAAAATCGTCCACGACAGTGCCTGCCATGCCATGTAGGATGAACAGTGCTGACTGGACTATTGCATTGGCAATTTTTGGTTAAAATTGACCGGAATGACTATTTTAACAAATCATCAAAAGATTTAGGACTAAATTGGCAAATAATCAAAAGGTTTAGGGAAAATTCCAAATAAGGGACAAAAGTTTCTTCATTTTCTCAAATAAGAGTATGAAATAGATCTTGTTTCAAATAAAGGCTTAGGAATCGCCTTGAACCGTCAGGTTCTCGGGTTGGAACCGGACCGATGCTCACCCCAATTGTCACCCTCATATTAGATATTTCTATTTAGCTGAAGCTTTCACACGTTAGAGAAGCGCAAAAATAGTAGTTATAAAGGAAAATATGAGAAGTCTCGGAAAAGAAAAACATAAGCTCGGATTGCGGTATGTAAACCAAAAGGATACTTGTACTTGGGGTAATTTCTATTTTTAGAGCAAATGTAAAACGAATACATCAATAGCTACCAAAAAAGAGTAAAACAAAAGTTTGATCGACAAAGAAAATTGTTCTCTCGAAATTCTTGTTTTGACTCACATAGCGATTTCTAATTGTTGCTTATGTATCATGTTGTCAAGGAAGAAAGTTTATAATGGAATCGTCTTAATAAAAAAAGGTTTGACCAGTTATTTTTGTGATTGTGCCCCCTGCCCATTACAAATAATTAGTTTTGTTTTTCCTTTAATACTTTTCAGACATTTTACAACGCACAATGCATGTAGATCATACATCTTGCAGTGGGTCGCCCCTCACCATGTTCAACAATATTCTCCTTTTTACTTCACAGATCATACATAAATGACTTGACTTTCTCGAGTCACATGAGAATAATATGTTCCTCCGTGAGAGGAAAATGGGTAAGTTCTATTTTAATTTTTGGCAATCATAACAAGCACGGATACAATGCAAAATGTGTGTTCTTCATCATGCTTATTGCGGGAGTAGGCACATGGTAGTCAGATCACACATTTGGAGATGCTTTTAGTTAGTTAATTCAACACTCTTGCATGCATAAGAGGTACACCAAGTGCTATAAATTCGGGACTCGCTTTCTGTAATTTCTACCGAGCTCTGTTTCTCAGCTACTAGACTCTTTTCGACTCCTCAACTATTTCACCAAAAAAGCTAGGACCTCCAAATGGCCGATGCTACTGAAAATGATGTTGGTGTTGACCAAAATGATGTTTCCATCCATGGAGGATTTTACGATATGGACGGGTGGTGCACTATATGCAAGGCTCAATTCAAGGATCATCACAAGATGATCCAACGTCATGGAAGCCACTTTGGAGACTGTAAATATCGTTGCTTCAAGCACAATTGTAATCGGTGCTTCTTCACTCGTGAGGATGCCCGAAAGCACTACGACCGTAGGCATAAAATACAGAACAATGTATAGATATGTTGGTTGTAGGTAGATGTAGGTTATGATTTCATATTCATGAGTATCTCTCCACACATTATGAATCAAATTATTTTCTCGTTTTATTTGCTACTCCCATCGTGTGTTATTTACTCCATCTATATGTTATTTTCTCTTTGTTCACGTGCATTGACTTTTGTGGTGCAACCTATGATTTTATCGATTTTTATTCTAGTATTTGTAAATGTTAGTTGTTATGTTCTTTTAAATCTAAAAGAGAAAACAGAGAGAAACCCTCAAGGTTTAATGGAGAGTAAATCCTTAAGGTTTACTTTTTCTTTTTCTTCCTAAACTGAAGTGTTAAGGCTTACAATTGTGTTCCACTCTCATGCACCGAAATTGATTATTCACTAATTCTCCACCTAAAGAAACAATTTTTTGCTCAAATATCTAAAGTAATTTTTAATTATGATGAAAGTTTAAACGTATTGTCGAGAAACTAACTTTTGACAGGCACCTAAGCCGGAAGCCACAAGCCGGGGAAAACAGTCCCCCAGACCCAAACTGACGAGCTTTGTTTGAAGAATTAGTTGTTTCAATCAACTTGAATTGCTCATCACGTATTCACACCATGTTTTACACCAATTGTATCAACATTCGAACCCAAACAAAAAACAAGAATGGCGGGTGAAATATACCTAGGAATGAGTCGAGGCCGGAAATTTCTTGGCAACTTCAAGTCCAGTAAAAGGACTTGCCGCATAGTGACTGATGCAAAACAACGAAAAAGATCATAATAGTATAATCCCTGCCTCATTTTCACTTGCTTGAGTTTGTCAATACCAGGACAAACAGATACACTCTCATCGTGACATCTAAACGGACTGAACAAGAAAGGTGAATATTTTTCACCCCTGCCAAAATAGATATGGCCATCCTTTCGATTTCCACCAAAAATACCAAGTAGTTGTACATTGATTTGATGGTGCTGTTTAAGTATAAGAATTGACCTGCAACTTTATCACATTGAGAGAGTGAGAGAGATTACACTCATTCAGAGAATGGACGAATTCATTACAGTAAGTTGATAACGATGACTGGCATTGAGTTAAGAGAACTAAGCCGAAACATCGGTTTTCAAGGTCACCACCATAATGGGAAACGCGGACGTCAACCCCAATTATTCAAGCCTTGATCTTACCGACAAGTTACATGTATATTACTTTATGGTTTCACACTTCTAGGGAAAATCCAAAACAGCATATGATAAGGAATCTTTCTCCTAACTCAAGGTTAAAGATGAGCTTATCTTCGATGTCTTGAAGCCCTACGCTACGCGCCTTCAATGTACGACATATAAAGGCATCATTTATCTAGCTCCACATTAGTGCGTTCCACACACACAAACATATAAATACACACAGGAGGGAGATGGGAAGGCTAAAAAGAGAAACAGAAGACCAAAAGACTTATATTACTCAACCAGCGAATCCGCCATGCGGGGTGCAGGAGAATTTCCATTACTTTCACCCAGGTAACATTTCAGTGGCTAATCAACCAGTTCTCGTCAGCCCAAATGCAATGGCAATAACCGTTAATCAAGTACCCTTAAACACAACCCCACCAATCATTTCATCGCAGTACGGGCTCAACGCTGCTTATGTCGGTCGGTCAGGCAATTTCTCGGAGGGGTTCCAAGCAAGCAATTACCCCTTTAGCGCGGCCACTGGCACCAGTCAACCAATCCCAGCGAGTCTGAATGGAATAACTGTGTTCACGACTCCAGGTCCTATAAACAACAGCCCAGGCCCTGCAATGGCTGTCCCCCAAAACCGGCCAACTGCGGCATTTGCCAATCAAGGAGCAACTTTCCCCTACGGATCCCATGCATATAGCAACAGCGGCGTCCCACATCTGATTGGCACTCAAGGGATCAACAACCAAGGGATCAACAACCAACAGATATACCTGAGGCCGAATGGTGGCGGAGTGGTTCCACAATACCAAGGGTTCAATTATGGGAATCCAGGGTACTATGGTGCAAATCACGGCATGATGGATGGTGTGACGGGAATGGCAATTGGAGGATTGGCTTCTGGGTTTGGGGAAGCGGCTGGGGGAGAGATGTTCCAATGGGTGACCGACGCGTTGGATGGTGGTGGCGGCGGCGGCGGTGGTGAGGGATTGATGGGTCTTGACGGGTCGGAGATCACGAATTCCTATGCCGGTGATTACTTCGGTCCCTGAAATGCTCATCTTCCCGATTGATCTAAGTTTCCTTTTTCGCTAGTATCATAATCAATAATCATGCGAGCTCATGTTGATTATAGCAGTGCAATTTCGTGTGATTCCAATACTGTTCTTCCAAATATGATCCAACATTCAAGCTGGATTTTTTTTTTTTGGCTTAGCATTCGAGCTGGAAATTAGCAACATGGTTGTCCACGACTTTGTCAAAGAAAGGATGAAGGAGACAAAAGTTTTGTTATTAGCGAACCCTACATATATATACTCACTCTACAGATAGATACAAAATATACAATTGGTAAGGTAATTCGATCTCATCCAACATCTAATAACTAGATACAAAAATATAAACACGAACTTCGCAAGATTTGATTTCATGCTATATCTATTAATTGATATAAAATTTATAAATACTAATTTGAAGATATTATTTGACCCCAGAACGTCACACGAGACACGTATCATTTTGAAGGTCAAACATGGTGCCATATGTTAACGTGCCAATCCATTTGTTTTGTTTTTTTCTCCGTGAGTTTTTTAAAAAGGAAATCATGTAATTCTTTTTAAGAAATTCTTCATCTATTGAAATTAAGGAAAATTATTCAAGAAGTCCTAAATCTATTGCACGTTTGCCAATTCAGTCATAAACCTTTCAATTTTGCCAATTGAGTTCTAAACATTTTCACTTTTAACCAATTAAGTCCATCCAGCCAATTTTGGCCGGAAATCACTAACGTGGATGCCGGCCATGCCACATAGAACAATTAACACTGACGTGGATAATTTTTAATAATATTTTAATATTTTTTAAAATTTATTCACTTTTTTTTTTTGGTAACCGAGGATCCGTCACCATTCCCCGGGGACGAGCCCGCACGGGTAATCGGGGCGCCTATACCTCGGGGGAGACTAGCCTAGCAACCCACCGCCAGGGCCGTCCACTTAAATTACGAAGCCGAGTGAAGATTACTTATTTGTTATTACTATTTTCCTTTTTCATTTTTCTTTTTTTCCTTCCTTCTTTCTCCTCTAGCTGGTCGTCAGGCATTGGCGATGGCCGACGACCGACCAGAGGCAAAGGCTGGCAAGGTCGACCTTGCCATCTCTGGCAAGATGAAGCATAGAGAGAGACAGAGAGACTGTCATTTTTGTGGAGTAAGCATTTAGAGAGAGAGAGAGAGAGAGAGAGAGAGAGAGAGAGAGAGAGATGAAAACATTTTTGTTACTAGTGCCATGTTGGACGAAGAATTTCCACATTGGACTTCAATTTGTTTATAAAAAGCCGCATTGAAAGACAAATTTAAGTTAAAATGTTACGTAGCGGAAATTGCCGGAATAGGCACTCAAGTGAATATTTTTACACCGATATGGCATTCGAGTGAGCCAAAAAAAAGTTATGACAATCAAGTGAGCGCCGTACAAAAGTTATGGCACTAGCGCTGTTCTTATCCCGCAACAGTATATAATCACATATAGACATATGAAGCCCATCTAAGGAAAATTATCTGAGAAACTCGGCATAATGAATATTGCAAGAGGGAATTGCTTCTGAGAAGGATCCTTAACGTAATGCGCTTCAAAGCTTCCATTGTCCATATTGAACAGCCCCAGATCCAGAGGTCCATCCTGTTTGTAGTGATAGTGTCCGTCGTTGAAGTAATCATCCGTATAATAGATGCAGTTTGGCTTCAACCCGGGAATTTCCGAAGATGAAAGCGATGTAGAATGATTATCTCCAAGAAATAAGGTCTCTCCGTTCAGGCTTTTGACCTCAATCCACTCCGAATGCACGCTTGAATTCCTTTGAAGCTTGAAAACCATAATTTCTCTCGTAAGATAAGGATCCTCCTGCTCAGGTTGCTTCACCAAAAATCTTCGAATCATAAGTATGTCTCTGCGGCGCGATTTGACAACGTATGCCATATCTGCCTGCCTCGGCATACAACGTGGCACGATGAATTCTACTTCTTTTTCCCCGACATATGTGTCTGATACTAATATCCACAGATATGAGCTTTCCATGTCTATCGACCGCATGCAATAATCCATTGGAAAATATGATGTCGGTGAACATTGTGAGGTTCATGTCCACATAACTCCAACATTCATCACCTAATTTAATAAATGCTAATCTATCGTGCCCATAGTAAATCGCTCCAGCCACACATTTCCTTGGAGACAGATTAGGATCATCAAACAAAATAACTTTATAAACCCATAAATAAAAGCAACAAGGATTATCTTCAGTGATGTTTCCCTTGGGAGGATTGAATATCGGAGGAAGATGAATTCGACGTTGCGAGAACGGATTGGTGAGGCTTATAACCGTCTTTCTTCCCACGGTTGCCAACCATCCTTGGCTAGAGCCACAACATCTTCTATTGTAGCGCAAAGTTATTTGCACATCATAAGTATTGCCATCTATCACACTGTACAAATTTCGCCTATCTCGGCGATTATTTATAGCTGGAATCACTAATAACAGGGCTTGTTTGGGCGACAAATCCTTCAACTCGGGATGATCCTTAACGAAAGAAAACCACGACATTCGTACTTGGCTAACGCGTAAGTATTCGTCAATCGATCCCAACTTCTTCAAAATAGCATCCATAATGTTTTCCGGAAGCCATGCCCAATCTGCTGGTCCAATACTCATGTTTCCATGAACGCTCCATCGCAGGCTTTTGCAGACTCTTCACTAACCAAAAGAGTATAATAAGTAATAGTCGCTTGCCTAAAGAAGAGTCTAATATTTTAAAAAGATGTGGACACATAATTAGAAGACGTAGTTTCCTTTTTCGAGTAAGAGTGATAAAATCTGATCAAATAAGAGATAAGCTTTTGATGTGATTTACTTATTGTGCTAACTAACTATTGGAGGATATGCTCCAAACAAAAAACTATTGGAAGATGTATATTTAAAATTTAAATCTATACCTAAATTTCTAAAACCCATATCCAATGTAAAATAATTGCAAAAACCGTCCACGTCAGTGCTGACCATGTCACGTGAGACGACCGGCGCTAATTAGACTATCACATCAGTGATTTCCGGCTAAAATTGGCAGAAATAACTATATTAACAAATAGTCAAAAAGTTTATAACTAAATTGGCAAATTTTCAAAAGGTTTGAAACTAAAATTGACCGGAAAATTGACCATCACATCAGCAATTTTTGATAAAAATTGGCCAAAAGGACAAGATTAGAATTTCACTTAAAGGTTTAGGACTAAATTAGTAATATTGGAACGTTATTGACTAAATTGGCATCCTTACAATAAGTGTAGGACTGATTGGATAATTCTCCTTATTATTTATCACCGAGTCGCCTTCCACATAAAATTTTAAAAGAAGACAAATATTTGACTTTGAGAGGTTGAGCTTACACGTCTCGCGTGCTAATCATATATGAAATTAGTGGAAAAAGAAAAATTGAGGATCAAGATTTAAAACTATGTTGCAGCATTAGTTACCTAATATATCATATTTAATTCGACTCGTCCTCTTTAAAATGAAAATTTGGTCCAAATAACTATCATATCAGATCTAAAATTAATATTATAATTAATCAAAAATGAAAAGAAATTAAGGAGAAATTTTTGTATACAGCTACAAAAGACTAGAAATGAACAGGAAAGGAAAAAGGAAAAAAGGATTCTTTTTGTTGCAAAGGAATGACATCATATTATTGGTAATAATAATAATTGAGATTCTATAAACAAATTCAAGACATGAGAAAAGTGTAGAATGATATTTCTAATTACCTTAGGAAAAAACAATAATTCAACATTCAAATTGAATATGAGGTCGAAACATGAAATACCCAATAGTCAAATATATGAATGTCAACAAATAACACTGTTACATTACAGATGAACACATTCTGATGGATGTGAGGACAAGATGAGGATCGCACTCAAAAAGAGATCAAATGAAGGGAAAAAAATAAGCTATTGGGGAAATTCTAGCTTTTATAACTTATTTTTATGAATTATTTATTTGCAGCAATATTGTCAATACAATCTCAAGTTAAGAACCAAGTTCGAGATCTTTTTATGAACAGTTATGAATCGAACAGCCATTGTTTTCACCCAGGGGTGATCGATTCCAGAGTAGGTCTGTTCCTAATTTGTGGAATCTGGAACCAGCATATGTAATACCAATACGGGTACTTGTACTTGTGGTAATTTCTATTTTATAGAGCAATTGTAAAAAAAAAAAATGCATCAATAGCTACCAAAAAAGAGTCAAAAAAGTGTGATCAATTATTCTCTCGAAATTCTTTTTTGGTCTCACATAGTGGTTTCGAATTGTTGTTTATGTATCACATTGCCATCGAAGAAAGTTTATAATGGAATCGCCCGAATAAAAATAGGTTTTACCAGTTATTTTTGTGATTGTGCCCAGTACAGATAATTAGTTTATTTTTCCTATTTTACTGCTCAGACATTTTACAACGCACAATGCATGAATATCATACATCTTGCAGTGGATCGCCCCTCACCATGTTTAACAATATTCTCCTTTTTACTTCACAGATCATACATAAACGACAGACTTTCTCTAGTCCGAAGAGAATAATATGTTCCTCGGTGAGAGGAAATTGGGTAATTTCTATTTTAATTTTTGGCAATTACAAATAGCACGGATACAATGCAAAATGTGTGTTTGTTCTTCATGCTTATTGCGGGTCTAGACACGTGGTAGTCAGAACACACATTTGGAGATGCTTCTAGAACACTTTGCATGCATAAGAGGTACACCAAGTGCTATAAATTCGGGACTTGCTTTTTTGTATTTTCTACAGAGCTCTGTTTCTCAAACACTATACTCTTTTCAACCACTCAACTATTTCACCAAAAAAGCTAGAATCTCCAAATGGCCAATGTTACTGAAAAAGATGCTGGTGTTGATCAAAATGATGTTTCCGTCCATGGTGGAATATTTTAGGATATGGACAGGTGGTGCAATATATGCAAGGCTCAATTCGACGATCATCACAAGATGATCCAACATCTAGGAAGGCACCATAAAGAGTGCAAGTATCGTTGCTTCAAGCATGATTGCAATCGGTGCTTCTTCACTCATGAAGATGCCGAAAGCACTACGACCGTAGGCATAAAATACAAAACTAGGTATAGATATATTGGCTGTTGGTAGATGTAGCTTATGATTTGATGTTCATCGGTATCTCTCCACTCATTATGAATCGAATTATTTTCTTGTTTTACTTACCACTCTATCTATGTGTTATTTTCTCTATGTTCACGTGCATCGATTTTTGTGGGGCAACCTGTGATTTTATCAATTTTATGTTATGTTCTTCTAAATCTAAAAGAGAAAACAGAGAGGAACTCTTGAGGTTTACTTTTTTTTTCCATCCTAAACTAAAGTGTTAAGGCTTATGTTTACACCAAAATCGGCATAGATGTCAAGTCGGTTTAATGTAAAAATCCGACGGACAATGGAGCTCAGTCGTCTGCCTAAGTACGTTTGGATAAAATTCGGAAATGCTCTGATACCATGTGAATGGCACCATGTCCCGAATTCGGTGATTGGAGAGAATCAGTAATTCTACCGAAACATGAAAAGTTTACATTTCGGGAAATGCTGAAACTACCGAAAATCGACAAGAGCACAACCCAGCCACGTGAATCGTGACAACAGGAAGTTATGAGCAAAAAGCGGAGATAGTGAGCACGAGCAGATCATGGGAGATTATTTATCCAAATTGGAAGTCATCCCAGCGATTGAGATCAAGTTTTGGTGGACAGTGAAATTGGAAAATGTGGATAGAAAAGGCAGTTATTGAAAGCGCCAAGATTCAAAGTTTGAAAACAAAGAAGTAACCGACGAGCAGTTGCAAGATAGGGGGAGATACAAATACTTAGAGGAAGCAAAGAGGGAGGGATCATCAAGAACAATACAAAAACCCTCAAGCTTCTCTGCACTTTAGTTTCCTCTGCACTTTTACTTCCTGCGTTTACAGCTTCCTGTAGTTTTAATTAACCTTTAAGTCCTTTACAGCTTTCATAGGAGTATTGTAACGTAGTTAGAAACTTTGTTGATCTCAGATCCATTTTCAATCCACTCAATTTCTACCCGCTTCCATATAACCCTGCGCTACACTCTGTTTTTCACCACGATATTCCTAGAAGTCAAGCCACAGAACCTACTTTAATAAAAATCGAAAAACATCGAAGTTTCGGTGAAGGATATTCCTCGTCATAAAACGAGCGAACAGCTTACAATTGTGTTCTACTCTTATACACCGAAATTGATTAATCGCTAATCCTACACCTAAAGAAACAATTTTTCGGCCAAACGCCTAAAGTCATTTTTAAATTTTAAGTATGATGGAAGTTTAAACTTGGTACTATCGAGAAACTAGAAATTATAAATTTCCATGCCCACAACTCACTTGTTTTATTTAGGAAAATTCAAGCTAACAAAATCAATGGATAACCTACTTGAATAATTTGGCCAAGAAAAGGGAAAATAACATTTGCAATGAACCAAAATATCATCTAATGAACGAATAAATAACATTTGTCCAGACTTATTAAAAAAAGAAAGAAAGGAACACTTGTCCTGTCACCAACCCTTGATAAGAAGGTTTGCAAAGCGAGGTCTCGGCTCAAGATACCGCTTGAGTGAAATTGCTCCTGGAGTTGCTGCGGAGTAAACGAGAAACTTGTGTTGGGTTCGACGATTGATCTCATTCACCGATCAAAACACCGAGGTTAATTCCTAAGAACCGAAGCCGGAATAGAAAATTCAACGTGAGTACCACGCTCGGGGCAAATTCCTCCAATCACCAACACCATCGTTATGGATGCAGACAAACCTGCACTGGAACAAGCGCGGTCTTTTACTGAAACGGTAAAATAGTAACAATACGGCATAAGCCGAACACGATATGATTAGTCCTTACAGTTCATTTCAGCACTGTTAGGGGATGACTAAATGGATTGTTGTATGAGTGTAGGGTGAGCAATACTAACTAGAGCTTCGGTTTTATCTCTACTTCAACTTCTCGATAACAACAAGAAATAAGCCAAAATATGGCCTCACACAAAAGTTTTGATTTGAGCGATCTTAACTAGTTCCGGCTGGACGGCTGTAATTATCTACTGCTCCCAAAAAAATGTCATCTTCGTGCCAATTTCCTCCGAAGGAAACAAGAACTGCGAATGGGTTCGATATGTTTCCATCAGGAAACAATCCAACAATGCGTTCGTGAGACTGATAGATTTGTCTCACATGCCGTTCAGGAGTGAGCCAAAACATCTGTTTCCATGTCATCATCAAAATGAGATCATGGACTTTCGATCCCCAAAAATGAAGTATGTGATTATCCTTCCTTGTTCTAATCGAAAAGTTGCAGATTGTATCCATGAACTCAATGAGCTCATTCTTTGATGTCTCTGAAGCCCAAAACATCTTTCCACTCATCAAGTATAAAGGGAAAACTTCTCCCACTTGTACTCTGTGACAAACCCACACAACACATAAACCCACTCTCAGGACAAACTGAATATTGGAGAAATATGGGAAAGCTAAATAATGAAGCAGAAGGTCAAAAGAAAGTGCTCATGCATTTCAGCCATGATCATGCCCTAGAACTCACCAAACTCTTGAAAACAAGCCAAGTAATCTGCTCCGGCTGCGGAATTCATATCCTCCCCGGCGAGGACTATTTTGCCTGCGCAACGTGCAATTTCTCTCTCCACAGAGATTGCTCTGGATTGCCGAGAAAAATCTACCATCCTTCAGACTCAAATCATGAATTGATTCTTATCCTGTCACCCTCATTTCATTGCAAGGCATGCGGGACTCCTGGTTCCGGTTTCTCCTACAATTGCAATATCTGCCTTGGAGATATCCACAGTCTGTGCGCGATGAAGCCTTTGTCTGCTACCCATGATTCACACCCTCACCGGCTAACATTGGAATTTAAGCCTCCTTATGAAGGAGAAGGAGGCTTCCGATGCGACATCTGTGAACGACCAGGTTCTGACCAGTGGCTCTACCGCTGTCAACAATGTGATTACGATGTGCACCTTCATTGCTCCAAATCTCAGGCAGGGCCAGAAGCCCATAACATCATTCAGGGGAAACCAGCTTTTGAAGCTTCAAGCAGAGCTCCTAGTCTTCCTAATAGCACACAGAAGCCTGCCATTAACACCACTTCTGTTACTCAATCTGGCAAGTCATGCGAAAGTTTTCAAGGCTTCAAGCAAGTTAATGTCTCGGGGACAATTCAACAAGCTCTTGCTAATCAAAACATGGCAACAATAACTACTCAAGGTTCCTTGAACAGCACAGCCTCACGGCCCTTGCCAATGGTCACCTCACAGTACAGGCCAAATGTTGCTTGTGTTTACCAGTCATGCAAGTCCTCACTCGGGTCTCAAGCAAATGGTCATGGACTTGACCGAACTGGAGGTAGTCGCTCAGGTATTAATCAAGCAATTTGTATCACTCCAAACAGAACGATGACGAACACAACCCGAGGTCCCATAAACAATTCAAACCCCCCAACGGGTGCCACCCAATACCGACCAAACGTTGCTTATGCTCAACAGGGGACTAATTTTCCCAGTGGAAGACAAGCGTCCAGCAGCAATGGCTTTGTCTATTTAAGCAGTACTCAAGCAAGAAATAATCTACCAATACAGCTCAGGCCAAATGGTAGAGCTCCAATGCCCATTGTTCTTCAACGTAACGGGTTCGCTTATGCAGCTCCAGTTAGAAATGAAGCTAATCAAGGAGGTATGAATGGGATGGTAGTCGGAGAAGTCGCTTCTGGGATTGGTCAAGCATTTGGGCAAGAGATGTTTCGAGAACCCACTGGCGGGTGGGATGTGGGCTCAATGGGTTCAAATCACGATGGAGGGACTGAAATAATCGGAAAAGCACTGCGTAAACTTATTTTACCATGGTAAACAGAATCAATCGAATGCCAAGAAACATATGGAGTTCACGATCATTTAAGTCGAACCTAGCGTGGGTCTCACCATTTGTTTTCAGTGTACTTAGTTTGATCTATCAAAATGAGCTTCAGTGACAAAGCCTTAAAGAGTTGCTGCATTACTGTCAGTACCAGGCTTGGAACAGTAAAAACTCTGAATGTGTTGTTCCTCTTCAGCTAGCAGCGTGTATTGTCTTGTTAATTGCTTTCCCCGCCATGTCAGACATAGCACATTTTCGCGAATGGTTTTCTTTCAATCGGCATAAACACAAGACTATTAAGGGCACCAAACTTGCTTATGCTACATAACAAAAGGTCCATCTGCCTAATTGTTATAACAGCCTCATTGGAGAAATCTGGGGTAAACAATGACATCAATTGAGTGTAAGGCTACAATTGAGCAACTCGCACGGGTGGGTTTGTATTGCAATGGACTTTCGGGAGTCGGTGCTGAAAGGCCATTAGCGATTCAAATTAGTCTTGGCAAAGTAATGCTAAGTAGACTTTTATCACATACAGAACCTTTGCTGCAGTTCAAATCAAATGCATATGAACCAACCCAATTTTTTTAGTTAAAATTTGAATGACAGAACAGCTATGAGATTAGATTAAGCTGTAAATACTGAATCTCTGTGCTTTTTGCTCTTCTTGTAACAAGTTCAATAGGATATCTCAGATTATAACCTATATTAGCACAATTGAAAGGATTAGGACTGAATTGACCGCCTTACAATAGATTTAGCACCTTTTGGACAAATTTCCCACCCTTAGTTAATCACATGTTTCCAATAGCCAAAACTTTTCAGCAATTTAGTCCTTAATTGTTTGATTTTTTAAAAAAATTTCGCTATCTCATGTACATGTTTCAGCTACTTTCCCTACGTGACTGTTAAGCCACAACCCATTAGTCAAAACAAACTCTTGACATGCACTTAAGCCAGAAGCCACAAGCTGGGGCAAACAGTCCCCCAGAGTCCAGACCCAAACTGCGGTTTCAATCAACTTGAATTGCTCATTACACCCATGTTTTACAACTATTGTGTCAACATCCTAACCAAAAAGATAAATAAAAAAAAAAAGAATGGTAGATGAAAGTCTACCCAGCAATGAATCGAGGCCAGAAGTTTCTTGGTAACTTCTAGTCCGGCAAAAGGTTCTTGCTGCATAGCGACTAATGCGAAAGGGCAAAGAGAACAATCATAAAATAATACCAGCTTCATTTTCACTTGCTTGAGTTTCTAAAAGACAAACAGATAATTAGACTCTCATCGTGACATCTCAATGGACAGAATAAGATAGGTAAATATTTTTCACCCCTGCCAAAATAGATGTTGTCTTCCTATCGATTTCCACTAAAAGTACAGAGTAACTGTACATTGGTTTGATCTATGTCCTCAGGAAATGAGCCCAACGAGGTGCTGTTAAGAATAAGAATTGACCAGCAACTCTATCACATTGAGAGAGAGAGGATCGTCACAAGTTAGTATGAAAGAGAATCTAAGAGTTAATTATGACAAGTTGATAACAATGTCTTACAAAAAGTTAAGAGAACTAAGCCTAAACATCGCTTTTCAATGTCACCACCACAATGTGAAATGCGGACTTCAATCCCGAGGATTCAAGCCTTGATCTTACCGACAAGTTACATGTCGTCTACTTCATTGTCTCACACTTCTAGGGAAAATCAAATCGACATGTACTAATATCTATCTCCTAACCCTCCATGAATTCCTCAAGGTTAAAGATGAGCTTATCTTCGAGGTCTTGAAGCCGAAGCGCCTTCAGTGTATGAGATATAAAGGCATTGCTCCACATTTAGTCTGTTCCACACACACAAACAAATAAACACCCTCAAAAACACACAGGAGGGAGATGGGCAAGCTAAATAAAGAAGCAGAAGACCAAAAGAAAGTATTCAAGCATGATTCGCATCATCATCCAGTAGTACTCACCAAACTATACAGCACCAATGAAACACTGTGCGCCGGCTGCAGAATTAACATCCTCCCTGGGGAGGACTTCTTCACCTGCATGCCGTGCCATTTCTTTCTCCACAAAAGATGCTCTGAATTACCCTCCACTACACACGATTCCCATCCTCATTTGCTTATTTTAAAATTCAAAACACCTTATGAAGGAGAAGAAGGCTTCAGGTGTGACCTCTGTGCACAACCAGGTACCAACCAGTGGCTCTACTGCTGCCAGCAATGCCATTACGACGTGCACCTAAATTGTGCCCAACCTCAAACTGGGCCAAACTTCGAAGCTTCTTGCAGATCCCGTAGTCTTGCAAACGTCAAACCAGCACCTCTGATTAATGCCATGACTTCTGATACTCAATCAGCGAATCCGCCATGTGGGATTCGGAAGAACTTGCACAACTTTCATCCAGGTAACACGTCGGTGGCCAATCAGCCGGTTCTCGTCAGCCCCAATGCAATGACAATGACCGCTAATCAAGTCCCTTTAAACACCACAAGCCCACCAATCATTACATCGCAGTACGCGCTAAACGCTGCTTATGTCCATCAGTCAGGCAATATCCCAAACGGACTCCGAGCAAGCGGTTACCCCTTTAGACCAACCACTGCCTCGAGCACCATTCAACCAATCCCAATGAGTCTGGATGGAACAACAGTGTTCACCACTCGGAGTCCCATGAACAACAGCACAAACCCTCCAATGGGTGTCCCCCAAAGCCGGCCATGCGCGGCATATAGCAACAACGGCGTCGTGTATCTGACCGGCGCTCAAGGGACCAACAACCAACCGATATACCTTAGGCCGAATGGCGGCGGAGTTCCAATGGCCGCAGTGGTTCCACAAAACCAAGGGCTTTGTTGTGGGAATCCAGTGTACAACGGAGCGAATCACGGCATGATGGGTGGTATGAAGGCGATGGCAATTGGAGGACTCGTTTCTGGGGTTGGGGAATCGTTGGGGGGAGAGATCTTCCAAGGGGCCGCCGACTTGTGGGGCGGCGGCGGCGGCGACGGATCGATGGGTCCTGATGGGACAGAGTTCATGAATTCCTACGTCGGTGATTACTTCTAGTTCTGAAATGCTCAGCTTGCAATTCAAAGTTTCCTTTTTTCCTAGTATCGTCATGCGTTCTCGCGTGCAATATAGCAGTGTAATTTCGAGTGAATCCAATACTGTTCTTCCAAACATAATAAAACGTTCGAGCTGGAAATTTGGCAGCAAGGTTGTCCGCGACATTGTGAACATGTGCCTCAGGATTACAGGTCACAAGTAATCATCTAAGCTACCGAGGTAACAGGCAGATTTAGATATAAACACAACAACTAAGGGCCAAGAAAACAGAAGAACATGGCAACAATAGCAAAGTGCAGATGCACGGGGCTTTGCATGGATCATTCAACAAAACAAAAAATGAACAAAAGACCCACTAACTTATGGAAGAATTGTGCCAAAGAAAGGTTGAAGGTGAGAAATGTTTTGTTAAACAACGAAATCTACGAACTTTGCAACATTGGATCTCGCGCTATATCTATGAATAGATGCAAAATTCCACAGATATTAGATTGGTAAGATATTATCTGTATTAAGGGGATAGAGAATACAAACTTGGGTAGCTCTAATTAAGACCGAGTTTGAATATTTTTATCTATCCCATAGAAAGAGCCACAATAGCAGACCTCAGTAAATTTGCACATCCCCAAATACGTGGTGCATGCGCATCTATAGATAAGCCGACATCGAGGCGCCGAACCTTCCTGTCGATATGTGTTACCCGACCTACTAGATCCATCTATAAAACTAATTGGGGAAATGACACAAATAATCCCCGAACTTTTGCCCAATGTGCAATATCTTTCTTGAACTTTTAATTTGTTCAATATAGTCCATAAACTTTAACTTAATGTGCACAATGGCGTCTCTGAACTTTTAATTTGTTCAATATGTTCTCTAAACTTTTGGTACATGTTCAATTTAGTCCCTGAAATTTATAAAAATGTTCAATGTTATCCCAAAACTTGAATCGATGGAAGGATAATATTGGATGTTTTTATATAATCTAGAAACTAGATTGAACATTTACCAAAATTTCAAGGACCACATTGAACAAATTAAAAATTTAGGGGTGACATTGCACATTGGGCCAAAGTTTAGGGATCATTTGTGTAATTATCTCAAACTAATTTGGTGCTTTACATAAATAGTAGTTGATCCTAAAATATGAGCATTGTCTTCGGTCTCATATACTTTGCTCTTAGAAGGGCTTCATGAAGGCCTTGTGATTACAAATGAGGATAATATTTTTTTTTTTCCAAGTATGGAGTGTTCACGAATCGGCTAACTTATCGTAAGTTTTCATAGTCCGAATTCTGATCTTTCCCCCAAACCTATGACATTGTTATAATAATTTGCAGCTACAACGTGATCACGTAAAGCTTCATCTATTGGCATTTCGACTGTTCTTCTACTAGTTAAAGTTATCGTTGACCTTAGCTTCCCAAAGCACAATGATCAGCATAATGCTGTACACATGGCATGTGGATGGGGGATTACATAGAGATTGGTTTCTAAAGACGATCACAAAGCTATTGCTCAAGTCGGCTAAAACTCAAATGGTAAGCGCATGCACTCGAGAATGACACCTAGAGATTGCAAGAGTGCGGTGATTCAAGTCAGATAGGTACAAAAGAATAAAACGCGCTTACCATTTGAGTACTCTCTTTTAGTAGCAAAATCAAATGACCCGCTCAAAATATCGAGAGCTTCTTCTTGGATCCTCTCGCAATCTGTCGTATTGATTTTGTAAAACTTACCCTAGGAATCTCCCTTCGACTCTTTCACGAAACAAGTGACGATCGAGATAAGACTCTTGATGAATTTCCAGAGCGTTTGGATGAGCAAAAACTCAATAAGCAAGCTTAACATCATTTTGAGCACATAGAGTAGAGCTATGAGGTCCACCTTATCCCAAACTCGTATTTGCTAGAGTGTTGGGACTAGACATACATTCTTATTCATGTCTCATTTCCAAGATTACCTCAATTCTACTTTAGTTCAATTGAGAGAGGTTCTTCCGATTTTTTGCATTTTTGTCCATGTTTGCTGAGTTTCAATTCGTGTTTGTCCTCGTCTCCACGGCATCAAGTAATGTCGAATCAAACATACAAAGATGCGCGCACGCATCTATATCTTAATCATGCACTTAAGTGGAAGCACAGATGATTTTAGCTTTTGTAATGGCCCCGAATGCTTCCGAAACTTACATGTATTGCATGCAATATCCTCACATATAATAATACGCCTAGTGATAACCACACTAAACCACCATTTCCTTTAATATAATCACATTCCTAGGATTGAATTCCGCAACACCCAAGCTGCTAATCAATCAAAGTTAGGTTTAATGCAAATATCACTCGAGTTCATGCAAGCAAAACACTAGCGCTAATGCAGCCGCCATACATCACCAGCACTATACCATGCTTCAAGATAATATCACCACAAAAACGAGTGTTCACGGTAATCAATTAAACATTTCTCGTGTGTATCACCGTAATCCTAGTCCCCTGGTTATTATAAATAGATCCTAGTTGAGATGCCCTTTTGCCTGGCATGTATAAATCATATACTTGAAGCTATAATTCATGAAGATGTCTAGAGGCGCAAGCTTTAGGAGTTGCTCTTTGCGATGGGTGGTTGTCTTCATCTTGTTAGTGGGTGTGAGATCTCAGCTCACAACAGATTTCTACTCCACCAGTTGTCCTGGTCTGCTCAGCGTAGTGAGGAAGGAAGTTCAAAATGCTATCAAGGCTGAAACAAGGATGGCTGCTTCCTTGCTCCGGCTTCACTTCCATGATTGCTTTGTCAATGTATGTCATGCGATTGATATCATCGTTGGAACCTAATCATTATCTTACCATGCAATTAACGACTAGGTTTCTTACTTGATCACTATTTAAATTGTTGTTTCGACTTGGTGTTATGGTCCTTCTAAGTGGGTAGCATTTTGTCGTGGGCAAAATATTTAAGAAGGTTGAGATTTAGATTCTCTTTGCTCGTGTGTTCTTTTGTAGGCTCCTCTAGGTTTTTAACAAGCGGAAATCATTGGGAGAATTTAAGTAAAGATTTTTGTCGATCATGGAGATATTTTCTATTAACTCATTTCCCTATGTGATTTCAAACGGAAAAAATGAGTAAAATGCCTTCCCGTGGGTTGATTTTCTGTGATACTAATGCGGCCTAGTGCTCCCAGTGCACCGACCTGAGCTATCCTCATGTGCACTTGAAATTGAAGTCTAGCTTTTACTCTCACCCAAGACCAAGCTGAGCTACTATTGGATACACTAGGTTCTAGGAACTCAATGCGCCTGATGTACCAGGGTCGCTAAATCATGTGAATTCCATGCGGACTCAAACAAAAGATATGGTGCACCTGGCAAGGGACATCATGGTTTCACAAAATAAGTTGGTGAACAGAAAGGTACTTCTTGACCATTCCAAGAACGAGAAATTCATTCTTCTATTTCTCTTTTTTGGAACAGCAGTAAGTTACCTGCATCTTGTTTTCTTCAAAATCATAGGACTTCCTAGTATTCCGAAGGCTATGGCTATTTACATCAGAATAGGACATGAGAGGCTATTCATTCATTCGTCCTTCCTCTTTTCCGTCTTCCATTGACTAATCAGCCCATCATGCTTTCATCATCATTCAAGGCTTATATGGTCTCCTGTAATAGTTCATTCTGCTCACACACCAGGGATGTGATGGATCGGTTCTCCTGGATGGAAGTGGCGGCGAGAAGTTTGCTTTCCCCAACCTTAACTCTGCTCGGGGATTCGAAGTCGTGGACGCCATCAAAACTGCTGTGGAGAGTTCGTGCAGCGGAGTTGTATCGTGCACTGACATCTTAGCCATAGCCGCCAGAGATTCTGTGCTCCTGGTAAGTGCCAACCTGAATGAATACAAGAAATCTAAAGAGTTATTGTTTGGATTCCACCAAAAAATACAAGAATCAACGGTACCTAGTGCACTATTAAATAATTCGGTCGACTGTGTTCGTCGTAAAAGAGGAACTGTGTCTGATGATTCGATGTGCAGAGCGGGGGGCCGACATGGAAAGTTCTACTGGGAAGAAGGGACGGATTAGTGGCGAATCAGACTGGTGCAAACAATGGCCTTCCTTCTCCTTTCGGTAGTTTAGACACTATCATCTCCAAGTTTGCCGCCGTTGGCCTTAGTGTCACAGATGTGGTGGCTTTATCAGGTACTCTTTTCTTTCTTTTTTTGGATCAGTGCTTTATCAGGTACTTTGAGGACACTCCTCACTCATCCTAATTTCTATACAAACTGCTAATTGGTATCCCTCGTTCAATTAAAGACCTAGTTCGTGTCATACCATGTTTGATATTTTAACATCTATTGAAATCGAAGTAATTGTAGTTACTCATCAAGCTTGAATTAGGCAACAGAAATCTGAGTGTGTTGTCACTGCCTCATATGGTCATATCGAATCACGCAAATCTTGTTGAATTTTTATTTTAATTTTTTGGTATTAGTCTTGCTGTAAATTTTTATGATTTCCATATCCATCTGAAGTTTCCTCTGAGAGCGAGTGCCATTCTTAATGTTGTATATAATGATTATTTCGATCCCTTCTGAACAAAAAGAGTCTTATGTACAGGTGGTCACACAATTGGATTAGCAAGGTGCGCCACCTTCAGCAACAGATTGTTCAACTTTTCGGTGACTACAGGCTCAGACCCCACACTCGAAGCAACTATGACATTGGACCTGCAAAGCCTATGCCCTGTGAATGGCGACGGAAACAAGACAACTGCCCTAGACCGCAACTCCACCGATCTATTCGACAACCATTACTTCAAGAATCTGCTTGTAAACAAGGGCCTTCTCAGTTCGGATCAGGTTCTCTTTTCTGGTGACAACAGCACAGCCAGTCCTACTACGAAAAGCCTAGCACAATCCTATGTCAGCAACTCCAGCCTTTTCTTCACCGATTTTGCCAACTCAATGATCAAGATGGGAAACATCAGTCCACTCACAGGTTCTAACGGCGAGATTCGGAAGAACTGTAGAGTGGTTAACTCTTCATGAGCTGCAAAATGTAATAACAACTGTGTGCAGGGTGCTAGGGGTTGGTCATGTCACTGTAGTAATCTAAATTATAATGTCCATGAGCTCATCCAGGATCGGTAACACTTAATAAAGTGCACCACAAGAATGTAGTATGGTCCACAGGTTCCTCAAACAATAATCAATCTACCTGTTCATGTCATTGCCTTATTTGATAGATGTGCAAATATATAAATATGAGTGCGATGGAGAGAGCAAGTGGTTTTGGAGAGAAACGTGGAAGTATCTTGATAAGTCCTGATTCCTTCTTTACAGCAAGCGGAGGCGCAGTCAGTAGATGCTGTATCAGAAGCACTTGCTCATGGTATGATAGCTCAAAGCTCATCATCAATTGTAGGAGACAGGACAGCTTCCCATCTTTTGCATCAAAAGATAATAGAATTAGACTCCTTTTGATTCGTTGAAGTGATCAGGTACACAGGCCGTCTTTAAGCACAGAAATTGGCAACCGAGACATGGAGCTGATTATCGCTCAAAACCCAAAATGCCGCGAAGAAATTGTATTTACTAGCAGTTACGTATCTCCTTCAAGACATGCTAGTAAAGTCCCTAGGGTCCCATATGCTTGCTTACGTAATTTTCTTATAGAAGTAACGTAAATTAAGTTTAATGATAATAACCTTAGGGGAATAAGATTAACCAACAGTTACCCACATCTTATTGATTCCCCTTTTCAAACACTTGAAACATGGACAAGATGAGAAGAACAAGGATGCCAAACAATGACCGGAAGCAAGCTTCAACTGATATCTTGCTTTACAAAGTTCGAGATGGCTTCTCCAGGCTAGAAACTGGATGATGCAGAAACATAGCGGAGTGCTTTTCTGACTTCACGACAGACCAATGACCCTGCCAGTCGCAGTATCAAGATCAATGTCGTAAAAGCAAGGCCTTGTGGGAAGACCCGGCATTGTGCTCATGGTGCCAACCAGAGGATATATAAATCCTGCTCCTATGCTGGCCCTGACATCTCTTATTGGCAAGACAAACCCAGATGGGGCCCCCTTCTCTGAAGCATTGTGAGAGAACGAATATTGTGTTTTCGCCATGCAGATTGGGAGATCCAGAAAGCCTTGCCGACTGTACATTTCAATTTGTTTCTCAGCCTGTGAGACCAACATTCTAAGTATCAGCAAGAGTCAAAGCTTTTGCAAATCACATAATTAGCATCGGTACTTGTAGAAGATGTATATTGTCTGTATTTTGAACAAAAGGACACTCGCAACAATTTTATGACTTTTTTAAATTTTCAACTTCCTCGATGGACAATCCTTTTAACGAGAAATGCCACATAAAGTAAAATACATGACAAAATTTCTACCTTTGATCTAGTAAACCAAAAGAAATCATCACATGAACATAACTTGTTATTGCAGAGACAGAATGAAAAAAATTACCTGGTCTGAGTATTCAACACCGCTAGCACCATATGACCTTGCAATTGCCTCGATCTTATCCTTGATGCCTATGTCCAACGGATATAAAAATCTCAGTGGTTGTGTTACATTCTCACAGGCTTTTTGAACTGCAATTCCAAGGTCCACCTGTAAATCACATCATTTAAGGAAGAATTAGTGGCACCAGAAGCAGTCTGTCCCAAACTAAACAGAGAACAGCCCAATCACAGTGAACGAGGAATGCCCAAGGGAAGAGGGGGACCATATTCATTAACAATCATCTAAAAAGCACTTGGCACTTCCAAATGTTCAACAAGACAGGAAAAGCTTGTAGTTCTAAATGAATGCAGTTTACAGCATGAGAAATTAAAGGCATATGCCTTAAAAAGGGAGAAGATACTTGAGAATTTTTTGACAGGGGTGATAGTGGTATCCTTGAAACTTGAAACTAAAGGTTCAAAAAACAGAGTTCATCAAAGACAAGGAGCAAATCAAATTGCTGAATAGCAGTAGCAGATTCCCCAGTTCAGCATCTGAATTGGATCAGATCTGCTTTACTTTTGCTGATATCGTGCAATTTACTTGGTCTTGTCTCAGAAATAAAACATCAATGGTGAATACCACTTCTAAAGAAATTTTCTTTATGGGTATACACACTCTGCTAGCTATTACACTTATTTATTTTTAATTAATACAACATACTAAAGCGTTATGTTTAGAGGAGGAGACTTACCGCTCCTTTTCCACCATGAGCATGATGAGTGCAGACAACAGCATCATAGGCTCCGGCGGAGAGTGCTGCCTTTTTCACAGCATTCAACTCTGCTTCAGTATCTGTTGAAAACATGTTCACCGCCACAACCACATTTACACCATAAGCCTTCGTATTGGAGATATGCCTAGCTAAATTCACACAACCAGCTTCAACAAGAGCAACATTTTCTGATAAGTAGGCACGGTCAAGAGGCTTTCCAGCAACAACTTCAGGCCCACCCCCATGCATCTTCAGGGCCCTTATTGTTGCCACAATGACAGCACATTGAGGGGTTAATCCACTATATCTGCACTTTATATTCATGAACTTCTCTGTACCAATATCAGCACCAAAACCAGCTTCTGTCACCACAAAACCACCTGGACCCACCAACTTTAGCGCAATTTTATCCGCGACAATGGAAGAATTCCCGTGAGCAATATTAGCAAAAGGACCGGCGTGAACAAGTACGGGAGTCCCTTCCAGCGTCTGCATCAAAGTAGGGTTAATAGCATCTTTCATTAGCACAGTTAGAGCACCTCCAACGCCTAGATCGTCAGCAGTTATAGGTTCGCCAGCCTTGCTATTTCCAATCACCATCTTCCCTAGCCTCTCTCTCATATCTGCAAGAGATGTTGTAAGGGCTAAAACAGCCATTATCTCACTAGCAACTGAAATATCAAACCCTGTTTCTCTCACCATTCCTTTCTCTTCTGGCCCCTGGCCAATGCTAATTTTCCTCAAGAACCGATCATTTACATCCATCACCCTCCTCCATGTGATAGAATCTGGATCAATATCAAGCCTAGCGAACTTCTTAACTTCTTTTGGGGAAAGATCCTCTGGTTTGTCCTTGGTGATGCCAAGCTTCTTCAGACGCCTCAACATGACATCGCCAAAGTTCCGTTTACCTTCTTTATTGGGTGGGCATAACCGGTTGAAAAGTGCCTTATCTGACTGTGCGGACTCATGAAATATCCGAGTATCAATAGCGGCAGCTAAAAGATTGTTTGCAGCAGTTATAGCATGGATATCTCCGGTAAGGTGAAGATTGAACTCATCCATTGGAATGACTTGACTATAGCCACCCCCAGCAGCACCACCCTTAATTCCAAAAGTGGGTCCTTGAGATGGTTGACGCAGGCATGTGACGATCTAAAATCGTAACAAGATGGTTCAGATCTATTGTATTAAAATATTCGCATAGAATATCCCTTAGTTTCATGCTTCAATAGACTGCCAAAATCAAAGATCACTAGGAGGGACCTGCAATAAGCATCTTGAGGGGCCAAGCATCCTTTGTTATAGTTTTTTTCTTTTTTGTTCTAGAAATGTATGACAGAAAATTCTTTAGTGAAAATAAATTCAATCTTTTCAGTTATTGAAAATGTCTTCACGCCAGAAAGATGCCCTAACTTTTTTTGGTAGTGATACAGAGATGGCTTGTTGGTACAAAAATAAACAGCAATAGTCTATAACTAACTAAATGATCTTTCGAGTATGACAATACCTCTTGAGTCTTTAAGATAATAAGCACATTAAAGTTCCTTCACTGAAGGCTCACTTCCAAGTGCAGCAGAATGCAAACTTTTGATAGTGTTTAATATTACCAAACTAGCAATAAATCACACACACCAACTGTGTCTACAAAAAAGTTCCCATCAATACTTCCTTTAAAGTTGGCATCTACAAAAAAAGTTCCTTTAACATGGGGCAAAGGTTTAAGGAGTTTTTGTAAACTTTTATCAGCAGGTGGGTCAGATGAGAATTTCTTAGAGGTTGGGTTGCGGATCATGTGGGGAAGATCCATCCCTGGATCACAGTCACGTGATCATAAACTTTATAATCTAGATGTGACTGAGTCAAACATTTTGATAAGTTAACAGAAACTGGTGCTAACACCAGCCTCTCACATGCCAGCACTCCATGAAGCAGACAAGGTCTCATAATTGCAAAACAAATAACAGATAAATTAAATAAGTTTTAAAATGCATTAACTGCATACTGATGCCACTAATTGATTTCACCACTGACATCATTCTTGGTTAAACAAGGTGGAAGTGGAATAGCTTGTGCCCAAGGCCCCATGCAATGCCGCAAAAAATTTCTAGTTGTTAACAGAATTAAAAGAACATGGCAAAAGAACGATTTTGGATATTTAGACAAGGAACGAAATTATTGAAGTTACAAAGAAAGAGCAATTCTTACTTCAAGATGTCCTAATAGGAGAGGAACAGTTTAGATAAATCATACTTTTACGATATCTCCACCTTTCTCTTGCTTACTGATGCAGAATCACATCTAAAGAGACAGACTTCAGAGGGGTTTTAGTCATTCAGATCATGCAAACAAAGCGACTTTGATGTATTATAGTATCACTTGTATCGATTTGGATCAATGTGCTGAAATAGATTTCGAACCTAGCGTGCGTTTCAGAAATACTACAAGAAAGTGAACAAGTTTACATTTTCCCTGTGACACATTCAGATTTTTTGAATACTCCTAGGGTCATAGCAATTGGATTTACAGTGCATAGACATGATATTGTGCACAAGTAAGTCGGGACCAAAACTCCACTCACACACCATGTGCATTCGGACCATGTCCTGCAAATATCCATGGAACAGTTGAAAGACGCCGGTGAATTTGGAAATCCGCTAGATTTTCTGTTGAGGTGCTGACATTTTCAATCGTGAAGTTCTTCATATAGAAGCTTAGTAGAAACCAACTGGAGAGAGGCACAGGGGAATAACGACAACTCCCACAACGGGAACAGAAGAGAAGGTCCACGTCCACCATAATAGCCTAGCCTCATGCCAAAACCAAACTGAAAGCTTTCTAGTTTGACAGCTTATTGGCTTAGATTATCAGACAACACTTAATTGACATTGTTGGAATCCAACAAATGGGTAATCAAGAACTTTGGCGACAAATTAAATCTCATTATCACGCTTGCCATCGCCATGCTAGAGTTAGAATGAGATCCCTCTTCTCAAGATTAGAAGATAAGATTATAATAGAAAGAAAGCGATCGCCAAACCCAGTAAAGGAAGGCCTTTGCAAAACAGTTTTATAAACCAGCAATTACCGTGACAACCACGTCCTATGGATTTCCATGATTAAATCGCCAAATTTCAAATCGATTCCAAGTGAATCGTCAGAGAACCAACAATTAGCAAATTTAAACCAAAGGAAGGGCTTTACCTTCTTATCAAGAAACGCACCCAAAGCTTGGCAGAGCCCAACAGTAGTAGTGGATTTGCCTTCCCCAAGAGGAGTAGGAGTAATGCCTCCGACCACCACGTAGTACCCATCTCCACGTCCCTCGAGCTCGTCCAGCACCGACAACAGAACCTACACGATTCACATACCCCCCCACTCAATCAATCAAATCCCACTTCACTCGTCACCTTCATCACCATGGTAAACCCAAAATACAAGCCGACCCAGCAAGCAGCAGAAACCGTTCAATTCGACACTCACCTTGGCCTTGTACTTGCCGTAGAGATCGTAGTGATCCGGACCGAGACCGAGCTCGCCGGCGATCTCGGACACGTGGAAGGGCTCCACGGAGTTGGCGATGTCGATGTCGGCCGGCACCGGGGACGCCACCTGCAACTTCCTCAGAGTCTTGGATGTGCTCATCTTCACGCCTGTAGATGGAACAAATCTAGGAATCCTGGGGACCAAGAACTGCGATTCGGGAATCTGGGTATCTCTGCTTTACTGTTGTTGCGTCGAGCCTGAGCAGAACGATGCGATCGCGGATAAAAGAAACAAACCAAAATGGCGGTGGGGGGAGCCGAGCGACAGGAACTTCGGAGTGCGTGCGTGCGAGCGAGCGAGCGAGCGAATCTTATCCAAGCAATGAGGTGGTGTCTGGACAGAGAACAGTTTCTTCTATATATATTTGGGCACTTTTATTGTCCTTTTTGTCAGAGCAGCTGAACTGGAATTGGTGGACTGATGATGATGATGATGAATGAATGGTTCGTGCATTTTGAAGAGGGGCGCGTGCTGGTTGGTGGGTAAAATGTGAATCTGGGATTCCGCGGTTGGTGCTGGAATGCGGCGGCTTCGAAAACGACCAAAAAACGTGAAGGTAAAATTAGTAGAAGTCAAAAAGAGGGGGAAATGGAGATGCGGGGTATCGATCCCCGTACCTCTCGCATGCTAAGCGAGCGCTCTACCATCTGAGCTACATCCCCGTTATTGAATGAATGGCGATTGATAATATATTAAACTTTGAGACACTAAAGGGTGCGATCCCAACTTTAACGTGATACAGTCCCACAAAGATGTTACCCGTGTTTTGTACCGTAAAATCGTATTCGATCGCACATGCACAACCTACCATGATGGTAGATACAAGATTAGATCGCGAACGCGTGCCTAGCGTATGTAACGTGTGATTTTTTTTTTTTTTTTAATAGTGACGATTTCAATTGATAATCATCAACACTCGCATAGCATTCTCTTTTTTTTACTAGTGATGGAGCATGTCAAATAGATAAAAAAGTAAAATTTAATGGGAAATGATAAGAAATATAAGTTGTTTTTGCCAACTCAAGATGTGCAATAAAAACTATATGCAGATTTTAGTAGCGCAGTGAGATTGAGTGACATGAGGGTTTCTAGCGATCGAGCCATGAAGCGACGGGGTTTCTGTGTTGTTACCAACTGAGAAGACCCGACCTACTTTACTAGACCATTATTCTAAAAGAAGTGCTCTAGAGCTATTTGTTTGAGTTTGATTATTTACTCATAAACAACATCACAAGTTCTTTCATTTGACATGGGACTTGGAATGTTATGGGCCTGTTTGGTTCAATTTTGAAAATGCTACTTGGGGGAATGCAAATACCTTTGGGTGAAAGCCCATTGGGAAAATGCAAATGGTGTTTGGTAAAAATATTTTGTAAAGCTACTTTGGCCAAAATATAGTGTTTGGTGAATTTTTTTTGCAAATGCACTTTGAGAATTATCTTATTTATTAAAAAAAAAAAAAAACAAAACCTACCCATCGCCGGAGCCCGCCGCCGACCGCCGGCGGCCGTCGCCCGAGGTCGGGCGACCCCCGTTGAGCCAGATCCGCCTCCGCCGGCGGTCGCCCGAGGCTAGGCAACCCTCGGCGGGGGTCACACGACCCAGGCGGCGGCCGCCTGGGTCGTGCGACCCCCGCCGAGGGTCGCCTGGCCTCGGTCAACCGCCGGCGGAGGCGGATCTGGCTCGCCGGGGGTCGGGCGACCCCCGACGACCCTCGCCGGCCGCCGTTGCCGGCCCTTCTGGTGAAGAAGATGAACAGCGCTAAACCCAAAAAAAAAAAAAAAAAAAGATATGAACAGTAGCATTCGTGGAATGCCAGCATTTGGCCAATGCTAGGCCAAATGCTGAACCAAACACTCTAGCATTTTGGGAAGGGGCTTTCGAGGCCCAAAGCCCCTTCCCAAAGCTGAACCAAACACCCCCATTATGTCTGCAACAATTGGTGAACTCCAACAGTAACGCTCGATGAGGATTGCCATAAACGGTTGTTGTTTACCTAGACAATCAACAGCTAATTACAAAGCAATTTATCAACCATATCGGCCCGCGTGTGCAGGATAATTCACAGTTGTTCAATTCCAAATCGGTGCCTACAACACTCCTTGAACCCATTCGGGAGTTCTCGCAATCCCACGAGTCGAAAGATTGATTACAACAGTCGGAAGATATCGAATCCCACCACTTGGTATGCTCTCGATATTACAACAAGGCCCGCGAGGCACGAAGCGCTCTCAATTGTGAATCACTCTATTACAATTACTTTCGCTCGGTAATTTGATTGCAGAGTATTCTACCAAAAAAAAAAATTGATTGCAAAGTGTTTACAATGAGCTAGAGTGAGTAGAATTAGGACTGGAATCACAAAATGAGGATGTGCCTTGTTTATACGAGTCAAGAACGGCTAATCTTTCTTGATAGTCACACCATTGGGATGGCAAGAAAAGGTGATTTTGGAATCACAAAAGCTAATTTGGGGTCATCAGCCCTCCGCGACCTTTCGCTAGCAAGAAAAGGGGAAAATATAGATTTTAAGATTTTCTAAACGAGATTTCGGAAAGGCTTTCGAAGTGTTTTTGAGAATGAAAAAAGAGAAGCTATCTTATCCTTCTTTTTTACCTGTAAGTTTTTCAGTAGCGTGCCGAGAACAGCTATGCTTTTACTATAAACCACTAAACCAATCCGTCGAATTTTATCATTTTCACCTTTATTACAAAAAAAAAATCACAGTTATCATGCTCCAAGAAGTCAATCCCGTAACCCCTCGTGTAATTTGAAACGCACAAGACTGATGAGCATTGGCTCTCTCCATACCGTTTGTCATATGTATATCGTAGAGTTTTGGCAAAATTTTGCGTATGCCATTGTCAGTGGCCCTCTCAAATCGCATACAACAAAGATGACGATGAATATGCATCGACAAAGCAATCCACTGACATTATTTTATTTACAACATACATATTTGAACAAACAAATCAATGAATTTTCGCAAGACTATACGACCTGCTGCCCTACTATCCCCTCCACACACCCCAAACATTCAGGACGAACCATCGTAGCCGGGAAGATCCTCGAACATCGGCATGCTTTGGGCATCAGAGGATGACGAGCGCGGCGATGGCTCGCCTCCGCCGGCAGGGCCCTGGGGCACGTCGGAGAACACGGCCAGGATCCGGCGGATGCTGGCGGAGCGAGCCGGCTTGAAGCTGAGGGACCGGAGCTTCTTGTCTTTGGAGAACACGTCCGACGAGTTGGAGAGGATCAGATACACCAGAGCCTGGACCACCAAGAAAGCAGCCACCTTCACCAACACGTCCGGCACGTACTCAGCGATCTCCATCATGGTTATTCGGGGACGGCGACTAGGTACACGAGAGGGGCAAAATTAGAGAGAAGAAAACCAGATGATCTTCACGTTGAGAGTTCTTGGATGTGCAGTTTCTTGCGCTCGCTATATATACACAAGCGGATGATGAAAGCATTGAAAGGTTGGCTTCTGAAGCCGCCTCTTTGACGTTGTCTTTGTGGGTTTTCGGTCTTTTTTGGGGTACACCAAGTGGAGTTGGTAGGTCCATGCCCTCCCCCCCCCCCCCAAGCCTCCAAGCTTTATCCAACGTATGAAGGAATTAATTATTGCGTCGTCGCCTTTACCAGCCCGAACATAACAGTGCAGCAATAATTGAGTGTTAATGAAGGAAAAGGAGGAACTGAAAGAGCCCATCTTGTTGCTTGCCTTCGCGAACGTGAGCGGTGACTATTGCCTTGAAGCAACCAAATTTGTAAAAGTGGCGGATCGGTTGAAGCTGTGGGAGGAGATCGTTTTGTGCACGAAAGGAAAGGGTCATTCCACGAGAAAAACGATGGTCGCAGGCACAGGTATATGGGAAAGAGAAGCCCTGCTGACGAGCACTGCGCTTATCTTTTTTCCAATCTGGCTGATGTGGGATTGACGAGGCGTGTCAATCCGTGGACCAGACCGGTCAATTGATGCTGCCATGGGACGTGTTTGTTAAAGTCTCGGTAGCCATTAATCAATCACGATTAAGCCATGCGGGTACGCAGGAATGTGAACGTGCGGAAAAACGTAGCGTGCAAGCGAACGGTCCGCCTGAAGTTGAGGGTTCAAGCTGTAAATTTGAGGAAAAATTATCCAAAAAGTCATAAATATATTGTAATTCTGTCAATTCAATCCTAAACTTTTCAATTTTGCCTATTGAGTTCTAAATATTTTCACATTTTGCCAATTGAGTCAATCCGGCCAATTTTAGCCGGAAATTGGTGACGTGAATACCGGTCATCTTACGTGGCATAGCCGATCGCAGGTGAGGATCGCAATGCCCTCGCTGGCCGCAAGGCCTTGCCTAGACCATCCCACCAGAGGCCCTCGCTATCTGCCGGCCCTAGTAGGAAAGTAGTGAAGAAGGAAAAGAGAAAGAAAGAGAAAAAGGAAAAATAAAAGAAAAATAATTATTATTATTAAAATATTATTTATAATTGTCCACGTCAGCGCCAACTGCGCCGCGTAGGACGGCTAGTATCCATGTCATCGATTTCCAGCCAAAATTGGCCAAATGGACTAAATTGGCAAAACTTGAAAAGGTTTAGGACTCAATTGGCAAATTGAAAGATTTAGGATTGAGTTGGCAAAAGTGCAATAGGTTTAGGATTTTTTTGACAATTTTCCCGTGGTGGCCGCGTATCGTTACTGTCAATGGCGATCCCTCGCATCACATGGTAAGAGCTAGTAGCACCTTCAAAAATTTTATCTGCCCTTTTCGAAAATTAGGATATGCTCACGCAAGGTAGAAGTAACATTATTATTTTGAATTAAAATAGGCTTAGATTCTATGAAAAAAAAAGCAATTGTGTTGCTTTGTTTAATTTTATTAGTTGATATTTGTTTTAAGTAAATAGTGTGGAAGTGAAAAGTATTATAGAGCAATAAAATAGAAGCAAGGAATACTAGTCATTAGGCATGATTAAAGTTATTTAATAAATGTGAAATCCATCTAGAATGGAAGTTTTGACCCCAAAAAGTGATTTAGAATGGAAGTTGAGGGATCAAAGCCAATCCAATCTTCTACTCTAAAGTCTCCTTTTTCCAATTTGAATTTTTCCCCCATATTCCATAAGCTCCGTCAGCTTCTAGAACTGCGTTGGATCCCAATTTGGCTAATGTATGTCCACCGTCAGTGCCAACTTCCAAAAAAAAGGTCGACTCACCTCTATTTTCAGTACTTTGATACTAGGCCCGTCAAACGGATGGATCGAATTGGGTTTGGGTCAGGTCGAAAATTATCCGACCCAATTAAACCTTTTATATGCAATGTAAAATTAGCAATTCATACCTGACCCGACTCAAGATATATTTCCAATGATTTTTGTCCTTAAATTATTCCATTTGAATAATGGGCAGCTTTATGAACCGGCACATCAAGTTAGTGAGGCAACTCGGGGTTTTGTTTATGGATGGGGACGTGAAGGCAGTGGCGCAAGTCCGACTTGGGTCATCCATAAAACGGGTTCCGACTTTGGTTTTAAATTAAATATAACGGCTTTCGGGCCATTCATAAATTATGAAACGGGTTCCGGCTTATTCAAGTGTAAAATGTCGCATGTGCAGAGCACGTGAAATTCACATGCACTATTATTTGAAGAGCCTGATCCATTTTTGGGCACTTCGGAAAATTTCAGTTCCGTTCAAGGGGCAAATTGAGAACCAATTTATTTATATGAGTACTTTGAAAATGCCTTCCCAATGCAGGAGTATTTTGAGAATTTCCCCAACTTTCGTGGATGCGCTTGTGTTACTTCGCATTTTCACTGTTTCACTCTAGAGGAAAAATAGTAAAAAGAACTTCTGCTGGAGAATCACGATCACGATCCCAAGTCCATCGTCCCCTAGATTAACAGACCTTCCCGAATCTCACGCACATCCTCCTACACAATTCTTCTCCTGGCTCTAGCCGGAATTCAAATCTCCGAACGATCCCCAAAAGCTCCGATCGGCGATGTTGGCGACAGGGAAGCAACTGCAATCGCCGTCGTCTCAGTTCACCCTCACCTTCTTGATCCTCTTCTCTTTCACCCTCGTCTCCCTCAAGCTGAGCTCGTCCTTTGTCTAGCAGCAGTTGTCAAGCAATGTCACAAAGGGAGAGAGAGGAGAGGATCCAATAACAAAGAAGAAGAACGTAGGCTGTCTATTAAGCGAGTCAGTGGCCCAATTTATTATGTGGGTTGGAAATGGGTTCATAACATTACCCATTTAGATCCGTTGAATTTACACTTTTTATTTTATAAACCATTATGGCTAGATATCTCAAATTTGAGATGACCCATTTCAACAACTTTGGTTATAAGGCTGCGTTTGGTAACTGGTCAAATAATAACTGATTATGTTCTTTTGTTCCCAGAATCAGTTTTGGAACAGAAATTCGTTTGGTAAATTTTTTGTTCCCAGGCACAAATTTACACAAATTTGTTCTCAGAATCAGTTTTGGAACAAAATCAAGAAGTAAAAAAAGGTTACTTCTTGATTCTGAGAATAAAAATTAGAACGAAAAAATAATTTTTTTTTCTTCTTCTTGGCCTGTGGCTGATCGGCGAGGATCCAGCCCTCGCCAGATCTGGTAAGGACCGCAACGCCCTCGCCGGCCCTAGCCTATGGCTGGTCGCCGGCGCCAGTGACCTGGCCATGGGCAAGGAAGGGGAAGAAGAAGAAAAATAAAAGAAAAATAAAAAGAAAGAAATATTAAAAAAATCAAAATATTATTAATAAAAAAAAATTTGTATAATTACCAAACGCATCTCTGTTCTTTTTCTATTTCAAGAATAGAAATTTTAAACAGTTACCAAATGCCTCAAATGCTTAGAAATTGTTCCCGGGCACAGAATAAAAAAAATCATTTATGAAGAGAAATTATTTCCGGAAACAGAATGGTTACCAAACGCACCCTAAATAGGTTTGAGACTCATTTTGATAGGTCTACTTAACACAAACCTCATGATCAAAAGATCAAACTACCCTCATTCTAGAAACACCAAGCAAATCCTAACCTCCTTTGTCCAGCATTGCCACCACCACCTATCGCAATTGACCATCGCCTAGCCGCCTCTAATCACCATCTCCACAACTTTCTCCAATCCCTTCTAATCCATGTTCACAGTCACCGAGGTCTCAACGATAGCCGAGGACCTTTGCCGACCACAACAAGGGCATTGTGACCTTTGCCAAATCTAGGCGAGGGCCTACAAGCCCCAACTATAGTTGGCGAGGGCTTAGGTGAGGACCGCAATGCCCACGCCATAGCTGGTGGTTGCCGGTCATCACTAAGGCCATGGCTACTGGCGTAGATAAAAAGAAAAAAAGAAAGAAAGGCAAGAAAAAAGACAAAATTTCGAAATCGGGTCACATAGGATAACCGGCATCTGCTTTAGCAATTGCCCGCCAAAATTGGCTAAAGGGATTACATTGACAAATCATGACAAAATTATGACTAAATTGGCCAAATTAAAAGAGTTTAAAACTAAAATAGCCGTTATATAATAGATTTAGGACTTTTTGGACAATTATCCCCTTACGTAGGGGTGAGCATGGTTTGGATGGACGGTTTCTACCTTAGAACTAGGAACCGCCCACTATGGATCGGTTCCGAAAAATTAAAATCGGAAACCGCCCATTGGTTCCATGGATCTATTTGGGAACTAGACAGTCGGTCCAGTTCAGTTCCCGAGTGGGTTCATGGAACCGATCCCACTAGCCAAGGACAGAGACCTAGATGGAGATGGAGAGTCGGAGATAGTGATGTGAGCATCGATCGAGAAGAGTGAGAGAGTGAGAGTAAGCGTGAGGCAAAAGCGAAAAAAGGTATTTCTCGATTCAATGTGAGGCTGTAAACGTCGAGCGAGTTAAGTTTAGGGCGTGTTTGTTTGAGGGAAAGTGTTTTCCGGGAATCCATTTTCCGAACTTTCACCCGTTTAGTTCGCTAAAAATGATTAGTAAACCGAAAATACTTTCCAATTAAGGAAACCAAAAATACTTTTCGGTTAAGGAAAACATTCATTTATAAATTTAGAAAAGTGAATTCCCTAATTTAAGAATGTGAAAACACTTTTCGGAATTGCTTATCTTGTATTTGTTAATATTTTCTTTTCTTTCTTTTTATAATTTTTTTTCTTTTCTTTCTTTTTATTTTTCCTTCTTCCTCCCTTCGTCGGTTGCTGGCCTCGGCGATGACTAATGACCTGCCACAAGTGCAGGGCGACAGGGGAGGAAGAACTAAAAAGAAAAAGAAAAGAAAAGAAAATTTTAAAAATTATTTAAAAATTCGATTTTTTTTGTCTAAGATAAAGTCATGTGATTGAAATTATTTTCCAAATGAAATCCAAACACTATAAAACATTTTCGATCAAAATCACCAAACAAAGGAAAAGTAACCATTTTCCTGGAAAATGAATTCCCGGAAAATATTTTCCAGAAACATTACGTTTTCCGTAAAACAAACGCACCCTTAGGCTCCGTTCGTTTGGCGGAAAATATTCTCCTTTTGGAAAATATTTTTCCGGAAGTCATTTTCCTGGAAAATGTTTTCCCGGAACATAATTTTCCGGTGTTCGACGACCAATATGAAAAAGTTTCGGAAAATATTTTTCGCCGGCGACCGACGGCGGCGGCCGACGACCTTAGTGAAGAAGAAGAAGCTCCGGAAAATGATTTCCGCTTTTGAAGAAGTGGAAGTCATTTTCCATAGACTTAGGCTATTTTGTGAGGGGGGAAGGAAAATATTTTCCCACGGAAAACGTTTTCCGCCCCCCGAACACCGGAAAATCCGGAGAATATTTTCCGGGAGAATATTTTCCGCCAAACGAACGGAGCCTTAGTTTAGGGATTTAGGATTTTTCTTTTTTCTAAAAAAAATTAAAAATTAAATAAATATATTATATTTATTATTATATTACCGGTTCGGGTAGGCGGGCGGGCGGTTCCACGCCTGGAACCAGGAACTGAGAACCGGACCGGTATCCACCAGTTCTCAAAAATTAGAATCGGGAATCGGATCGGTTCCCTTAGGGACCATTGGTTCCGATCCAGTTCTGGGCGGTCTCAAGCGGTCCCGGCAGTTCCGATTCTTTTGCACACCCCTACCCTTACATCATTTATAGATTAACAATCGGCGTCCACGTCAGCGATTGCCAGCCAAAATTGCCACGGAATCGGAATCTCTGCATCTCTTGCAACTCTTGTGTCCTTCGAAAGAGCAATCAAAACAATGGATCACCGGGGGGCACAATCGTACCACGTGCCATCGTAATTAAGTATAAAAGGGTCGTGATTATTTCCCTTAAATTATTTCACCATATTGTTAAATCACGACAATAGAGAACATTAATGTAAAACTTAAATACTCCCCTCCAACGGCACCTAAGACTAAGGGGTGCAGGGGTGCAAAAGGTCGTCATTTCGTTTTCACACATTTTTTTTATAAGCAGGTCGTTTTGAACGTTGCGTGCGCGAAATCAGTCTCCATCCATCCATCCATCCACACACTGCCACGACCACAACGCAAAAACCGCCCCCTTCTCTCTCTCTCTCTCTCGCCATTAATTACCACTGACGAGAGTGCAACTCTCTCCCTTTCTCTCTCTTCGCGAGTTCAAAAACGTGAGCAACCGACCATCTCTCCACCGTTGCCAAAACGGACGTGTGTGGCGATGTAACTCGACGAAGCTTCAATCGCACAGACAGAGAGAGAGAGAGAGAGAGAGAGTAGCTTCGCGACACGCAATTCCCCCCCACCCCACCCCCCAAATCATCCACCTCTCCCGGGCGTCGCCCCACGTCCCTTCCCTTCCCTTCCCCTCGTCTCGTTTCTCGATTTCGTCATCCCATTTTTTTTGTGGCCCTTCCCCGCGACTCGTGCCCGCGATCGCTTGCGAGCTCGAGATGATCGAGGCCTCTCGTCCAGGCCGTCTTGGGCTCTCGGGGTGCGGGCCTCTCTCCAGGCGCTCGCCGTCCTAGCTCGCTCCGGCAGCGATTGCGACGGGACACGCGCTGGAATCGTCGTCGAGGTACGCGCGCGCGGGCGCTTCGCACCGGGATCTGCTATGATTTTGCTTGCTCTCGCCCCGTGTTGTTTCGAATCATCGGGCATCGACGAACGTCGTGGATTCCCGTTCCTAACTCTCGATGCCTGTCGGAAACCTAGAATGCCGGGGATTTCTCGAATCGGTCGGTTACGATTTCCATTCTTATAGGAGGGGGAGGTTCGATGGATAGTCAATAATACGCTGAGTTTGATGAGATCATTTCTCGGGTACATTGTGCGCAATGAACAGTGCTTGACAAGCTTAGCTCCTGAATAGGAACTATACGCTACACGAAGGCCTATCTGTTGGGCCTGCTCGGTGAGCTCCGGATGAATTGCGCCGCGGTCGAGATGAGTCTGGTGTTACGAACCGGATAGTACTGATGCCCCATTATTGGCAACTGACTATGCTCCTTTTTGGCATTAGGAAATGGGATTAATTTGCCCTGATAGTTGGTCCACTGCTATTGCATCCCTCCTTCTCTTAACGTGTCCGCTGGTACTGCTTGTCTAGGGTGGGCTTAAGCCCTGGTATGCTGGTTTCAGGGAAGCAACTGCATATTCAGTTCCTTGAAGTAGAAATTGCTCATTGCGCACGGTTGTTGTTCATGTGGTGGAGGGTAGTAATGCATGTTGATGGCCCATTCTGTGATCTTCATTTGGTGAAAACTTTATTGGAAACAGTTGTTGTGCGTTAAAGAGTAGTTGCGATGGATTTTGGCAATAGATGCTTCGCCATTTGATATGTCTTCCACAGAGCGTCCTATCACGGGTGTAAGCTATTACGGGTATGGGTATTCACACGGGAGTATCTTAAGGAGGATGTGAGTACATGTCTGGAGGATGTCTTTCCCAGCTAAACTTTATAATGTACTAAAGTTACTTCTGGTTGGTGACCTTTCGTTTGGAAAAGTAATCTGCTGTTCTTACATTGAGTAAACATGGAAAATTTTCATGGATATCTTGTAGTGCTTGCGAAAATTATATCTTGAGCTGTCTTACCATCATACATAAAGCAGCGATCAATTAATAGAAAATCTTTTTCAATATGAGCTTCTTCCAAACATTTATTGTCTGATGGTGACAATGTTTGACAGGGCTAATTCATCTGCGGCGTAAGCCAGTAGAGCAAATTGGACACATAAGGAGCAAGATTGAAAGAGTGTGAAAGGGGGTGGGGGTACTATTTTTGAAGCGTGGCCACGGCTACTAGAGGAAGCATGAGTAATATGCTTGGCTCTCAAATTTCATTTACTGATCATGATGCTGCATCATCAGAGTTGCTGTCGAGAAGGTCCAACTGTGGAAAAGTAGCTACTGGCTTGGGAGGAAGTGCATGGACACCCTTAAATGAGGATGTGCACGATCTACTTGAATGTCCTGTTTGTGTGAATTTGATGTACCCTCCCATTTACCAGGTAAATCTCTTTTTGTCGAGCTACTATTCACTCAAAGGCTCCTTTACTACAATGTATTTCTATGTCTTACGATGAAATAGCAGAAACTTGCAACTACTTTGAGATTTGTGGGTAAAGGAAGCATCTGATTTCTCCATCATACAAAAGTCAGATTGAGAATTCAGTGAAATCTTAATTCAAATTTCTTAAGGACAAAAAAGCAGCCTCAGTTCAACAGAATCTATGTTCAAAGGTCATGCTACAGTCTCGCTCTGTTGACGATGCACAAATCTGAAGGGTCGGGTCCACAAGGTGCTGGTGTAGGCAAAGTTGTTAAATCTTGATTTAAATATTAAAATCATGCGGTTTTATGATCTAAAACCATAAATAATCTCAATCATGTTAAATTGCTATCATCGTGTCAAAAATCTAGATTCAAGATTGTAAAAATCAGTAGAATCCTATATGGTAGTGATTTTAACCCCTGCTTATTTTGTTGGAATTACTTCATAAACAGAAAAAAAAAAATGTCCACTAGAGGCCCTTCAATGAAGGCCCGCTATAAAAAACCCTGAAAATGGAGGCCGATAAAACATATGGGTGATGTACTTGCCAGGGTAAACCATAGCACTCTCTTTAAATGCTCGCTTGCTTTTCCTCACCCACTTAAAACATAAACACCAGCTTAAGCATCGGAAATTTCCTCATGGGGCAAAGCTTGGTGACTTATTTGTATGTGGCATCGGATGTGTAGATTCCAAGCATCTAGGGTCTGTAACGGCACCTTGAGAAGCTGTTAAATTTGCACATCAACAGCTATGATGTTGAATGGTTTATCATTGTTTGCACATCCCTTAAACTCAGCAGTATCATTGGACTTCCTTTGAGGGGTTTGAGGATAAGGGTGGGATCATCACGGTACTATGCTACTGCTTCAATTCAAATTCAAATTGGACTTCTTTTGAGGGGTTTTGAGGGATGAGGATGGATTGTCACGGTTTTCATTTACTGCTTCAATTCAAATTGGAATTGGCTGGGTGCTCCTAGCTATTAACAATCAACTTGGCTTTAATTCTGTCAGTGTCCAAATGGCCACACTCTATGTTCAAGCTGCAAGACCAAACTCGAGAACCTATGTCCAACTTGTCGCCATGAGCTTGGAGATATAAGATGCTTGGTGCTAGAAAAAGTAGCAGAATCCCTAGAACTCCCTTGCAGATTTCAGCTTCTGGGGTGTAGGGGCATATTTCCGTACTACGGCAAGCTTAAGCATGAAAAGAACTGTAAACATCGTCCCTATGCTTGCCCTTATGCTGGAGCCGATTGTTCTGTTACTGGTGACATCCCACTTCTTGTCATGCATCTTAAGGATGATCACAATGTTGACATGCATGATGGATGTACCTTTAACCACAGATACGTCAAATCCAATCCACGAGAAGTCGAGAATGCTACATGGATGTTGACTGTAAGTGCTCTGACTTCTCCCTCCACCCGTCGTTTTTGTTATAAAAATTCCTAAGATGTGGCTGAGGATGTTTGAAATCATGTATCAGCAAATTTAATGTGTGATTAAGCAGTGCGTAACTTCTTTAAAAGGGGGAAAAGATATCTTGAGTACATGGCTCCGATGATATTTTGGTGAATTAATTCAGTGTATCTATAAGTTCCTACTATTTAGTTGTTTGCCTGATATCTGAGTACGAAAAAGATGAGTAGTGATTCGTGCTTTACATCTGTTTGATTATTTGTCTGAGTATTACTAATAATTGGTCAGACTGTTTATCTTAAGTTCTGTTGGCAGAAAGCAAAATCACATTGCAAAGGCTGATAATATCCTACACATATCATTTTTTAAAGATGCATCAGCTCATAGTTGGTCCTTCGAAGTATAGAGTTTACGCCATGTAAAGTGGTGGCCTATCTAATTCCAGATACCAATAGTTGCTTCACCTTTTAGAGTTTTTCAATTTTCAAAATGAGAGTAAAATGAGAGTAAAAAAAGGGCAGAGGTATGAAGTAGGTCAAAAGGGAAGAGGTTTTTCAATTTTCAACTGCGGGCAACCATATTCCCTAATGCCAAGAATAACAAGGAATTCCATGAATCTTCTATCGGTGCAGATCTTCAACTGTTTTGGTCGACAATTTTGCTTGCACTTCGAGGCTTTTCAGCTTGAGATGGCTCCTGTTTATATGGCCTTTCTACGCTTTATGGGCAACGAGGATGAAGCGAAGCAGTTTAGCTACAGCCTTGAAGTCGGGGGGAATCGCAGAAGGTTGATATGGCAAGGCATCCCGAGGAGCATTCGAGATAGCCATAGGAAAGTCCGAGATAGTCAGGATGGTCTAATAATCCCAAGAACCTTGGCACTGTCCTTTTCTGGTGGTAATGGACAGGAACTGAAGCTCAAGGTCGCGGGCCGCATATGGAAGAACAGTGATGTAGAAGGCGGCTATTGCTCATGACTTGAAGCTTTCTTTAGCCGGTAAGAGAGGCTCGCGAGTCTTCCACAAGCAGGTACAGGTGCACAATTGCGAGCGGTTCTACTTAATTCCACGGGAGAAAAGCTTAGCTTATTCGTGTCTTGGGTGTGTTAATGTATGACGACTGTAACATGATTATTTCGGGCTAAGCAGCTAGCATTTGAAGATTAGTATTCAAACAAATGGCGTCAAGAAGAATAGTTCATTTGGAATCGAATCGATTTCGGGATTTAGCATTTCTGAGTCAAGAAGCACTTGCCCGCCCAAGTATAGCACATAGAGCAAAGAATCACTTGAAGCGCCCAAAACATTATAGCCGCTGTCCGAATTCGTGTACGTTGACTTAGTTCTTGTTGGAAACTTACGTGCGTTAAAACAGAGCAAAGAAAAGTTAACTGAACAAAAGCTCCGCATGCAGACATTTTAGAAGGGATAAGTATACTCGAATTTTAAAACTTTTGAGAAGTGTAATTACATGCTAAAATTTGTCAAATTGGCAATCATATCCTTTTTTAAGTTTCCTTCCCAATTTAGCTAATAAATTAGCTAAGGTTGCTTTTTGAATTGTTTTATGTAAGTTATAAAAGTGTTTGAGCTCGAACTTAATAAATTTGTTTACTTTGGCTCGCAAGGACTGTGCTACCTAATATTAACGACTTTCATGCTTCTTTGTAGATATCCATATATATAAAAATTAAGAAAAGCTCGGTTAAGTTCATTTGCCCATTGAGGGTGAGTATTGACTAGACCGAACTCAATTTAGAAATCGAATAAGTCCATTCCGATTGACCACCGATCCAAACCCGAGTAGTCTAGCTTGATCTCTATTTCGGATCTCATTGGTAGAAAAAGTATCAAAAAAGTCATAAACCTATTAAATTAGTATCAATTCGATTCTAAACCTTTAAATTGAACTAATTTAATCCTAAACCTTTTTCACATTGGTATCAATTCAGTTTATCCGGCCAATTTTGACTGAAAATTACTGACCTAGACGTCGGCGATCTTACATGGCATGACTAGCGCTAATATTGACGTTCTTTTAATAATTTCTAAAAAAAAAAAATTCCTTTCCTTTTCTTTCCCTTCTCTTTTCGCTGGTGATCAGCACAAGCCATGGTCTAGGAGGCTGGCATTGCCTAAGTGTGGGTCATCTTCGCTAGATTTGGGGAGGGCCGTCATGCCGACGCTCGCCCTCGTCGATTGCCGCTGGTAGAAAGAAGGGAAAAAAAAGAAAAAAAGAAGAAGAAAAAGCCGTGCCACGTAGGACCGCCGGGGTCTACACTAGCAATTTTCGGTCTAAATTGACCGAATTGACTGAATTGGTACCGATATAAAAAGGTTTATGATTAAATTAGTCAAATTAAAAAATTTATGACTGAATTGATACCAATGCAATATATTTATAGTTTTTTTTGTACTTTTTCCCCTCGTTAGCAGGGGTATACATCGGTCCCGGTCCAACTCGGGAACCGGACCGACCGGCGAGTTCCCAAGAAGACCGATGCGGTTCTTGATTCCAAAAATTTGAAACCAGGAATAGTTGGTCCAATTCCCAATTCTACGTAAAGAACCAAAACGTCTAAACTGGACAAAATTTCTTAATTTTCTTTTATTTTAAAGTAAATTCTAATTAGCAAATTATTTTTTCCTTTAATGCTGAGAAACTCCTGCTTATAGGGAAGAAATCACTGGAAACCGGACCGAACCGACCCACCCTAATCGGTTCGGCGCTCATTGTCTCCATGTGCAAACGTACCTCCGCATCTTCCTTAAACCCTTGGCCCTGCCATCTTCCTCTGCAAGCCCAAACTCACTCACGGCCGAGGCACGAAAACATCGACGACGGAGACCCGATGCTGACGCTAGTTCGTCGGACGCGAAGCTCGTCCGTCTCGAAGCTCAGGTTCCTCGTCTCCCCGCCTCTCTCTTCTTCCAAATCGCTCCACTCTCCTCCCATCCATCATGGCCCCAACGACGCGGCAACAACGACCCTACCGCCATTCCTCTCCGCCGCCTCCTTCGCGTCCCTGTCCACGGCAGCACAAGCGCCGAAGCAATCGCCTCCGCCTCCGGCCCTGACCCGGGAGGGGAATTACGATGAAGCCATCCCGGGCCGCGCCGTCTGCCCCGGCTGCGGCGTCCACATGCAGGACTCCAACCCTCGGCACCCCGGCTACTTCGCGAAGCCCTCGCCCAAGACCCCGCACTACCGCCTGCTCGATGCCCACCTCGCGCCCGTCGCGCAGGAGCCCGAGTTCTCCGATATCCTGAAAAGGGGCTTCGTCGTCGAGGACGAAGGCCCCGGCGGCGGCGGCGGCGGCCCTGATTCGGACGATAAGCCGGTGGTCTGCGCGCGGTGCCACTCCCTGAGGCACTACGGGAAAGTGAAGGACCCGAGCGTCGAGAATCTGTTACCGGATTTCGACTTCGATCACACGGTCGGGAGGAAGCTGGCTTCGGCGACGGGGACGCGGTCGGTCGTGCTGATGGTGGTGGACGCGGCCGATTTCGACGGGTCGTTACCGAAGAAGGTGGCGAAGCTGGTTTCGACGACGATTGAGGAGAATTCAACTGCTTGGAAGGAGAAGAAATCGGGGAATGTGCCTAGAGTAGTTTTGGTGGTGACGAAGATTGATTTGTTGCCCAGTAGCATATCGCCCACCGGCTTCGAGCATTGGGTGAGGCAGAGAGCGAGGGAAAATGGGGTGATCAAAATCACGAGTTTGCATATGGTGAGCGCAGTGAGGAATTGGGGGTTGAAGAATCTTGTGGACGATGTCATTGCTTTGGCTGGGCCTAGGGGGAATGTCTGGGCGATTGGCGCGCAAAATGCAGGGAAGAGTACTTTGATTAATGCAATCGGAAAGCATGTGGAAGGGGGGAAAGTTACCCACTTGACAGAGGCACCGGTGCCCGGCACCACGCTGGGAATAATTAGGGTCGAGGGGATTTTGCCGGGTAAGGCGAAGTTGTTTGATACGCCAGGGCTTTTGAATCCGCATCAGATCACGACGAGGCTGACCAGGGAAGAGCAGAAGCTTGTTTATGTCAGTAAGGAGCTCAGACCAAGGACTTACAGAATTAAGGTAAGCATGCTAGATTTCATTCTCTCTGCAATGAGAAGGAACGTGCATCCGTGTGAATGCGAATATATTCGCGAAGCAATCAACTAAGTGGTCAGTGAAGTGTTAATCTCCATTCTGGATAACGCTAGGTTGGGAATTCTTTTGAGCTTCTTTAAAGGGCTAGTTATTTATTTTATGTAAGGTCGATGTGCTATCTTAACAGTGCAAGACCTTTGACGAGCATTTGCTACTTTGGAGAAAACAGTGTTGTGTGATGAATGTTGTATGTCTACCCTTTTTCCCGCTAAGCTTTATGTCTTGTTGCGCTTGACTTCATTTTTAGTCAACTGATTGAAGGTTTTAGCGTGATAATGCTTACCCTAGTTGTTGCCAATTGATTGAAGTTGCTTATGATTTCTGTGTCATTGAATTAACCAAAGCAAGCAGAAACCATTCACTTGCTTAGGGTCTTGACATGACAATTAATCAAGTTTGCATCATGCGTCTAAGGTTCGTGTGTTTCTCTTTTGTCATGACAGGCAGGTCATTCGATTCATATTGCTGGGCTCATGAGGCTGGACATTGAAGAATCATCTGTAGATTCAGTTTATGTTACTGTATGGGCGTCTCCCTATCTCCCATTGCACATGGGGAAAACAGAAAAGGCACATGCAATGGTAGAAGACCATTTTGGTCGTCAATTGCAGGTAGAGCTTTCCTTTAGAAGCCACTTTCTTTGACAATTTTTTTGCGAAAAAGAATCTTTACTTTTACTTTGAAGTCTTGCTGGACCAATTACAAATTGAAAAATAGTTGATGGTTTCTGAAGCAAGTTGAGCTCTAGGAGCCAATTTAAACATGTCTGGAATTGATTTGTTTGGTCTTTTATCTTCTTCTTCGTCTTTGTTTCTTGTTTGATGCAAAAACCACATGAATGACCTTAAGCACATTTTTAATTTGGCCCCACTTTACGTTCTTGGCATCTGGCTGGGATGCTTCTAAGTCTTCATTTCTGCCCATACATCTTCTGTATCTTGTTATTATGTTGCAGAGACAACGCTGAATTTTGTATTTGAGTGCACTGTTTTTTTGGAAATTTAATGAACTTGAGTCTGTTTTCCTCTTCCACCTTGCATGGTAGTGTTAAGCTCATGTGAGAGCAGCAGCTCCAGTATTTTGGACGTGGATCCTCTACACACCACGGCGCTCCCATGAATGTCCCAATATATCTTAACCATTGATGCATATCTATATTTACATACATCGATCGAGAATTGGTTGAGACACTAATGGGAGCGCTGTGCGCGGCAGAGGATCTCCATCCATTGATTTTATTGCAAGCTAGTTTTTAGGTACAATTTTTCTGACCATCTTATGAATGCCTTTGCCAGCCACCAATTGGTGAAAAACGAGTGGAAGAGCTCGGACAATGGGTGAGAAGGGAATTTCGTGTAAGTGCTAACAGCTGGGACGCAAGTTCTGTGGATGTTGCAGCTGCAGGTCTTGGGTGGTTTGCCATTGGAATAAAAGGAGAGGCACTCTTAGGGGTTTGGACATACGACGGAGTCGATGTCATCCTCCGCAACTCACTAATTCCCCATAGATCCCAGATATTTGAGGTTGCGGGATTTACGGTTTCCAAAATCGTCTCAAAAGCGGACCAGGCTATGAATAAGTCGAAGCGCCAGAGTGAAAAGAAAGTGAAACCAAGTGATCCTGAAAAAGCTGTACCTGTTAAGTCATCATCATCGACCTCCGACACAAGCTCAAATGCTCACTGTAATTTAGTGTAACAAGAAATTATTTGAAAGGTTTTGGAAGGACCAGTTGGAAATACTTTATGGACTTGGGTCTTTAAGTGGGGGCATATGCTCAAGCAGCCTAGCAAGGCTAGGGTCGTTGGAGTTCTCACTAGAAGTGGCAATTGTGGTGGAATAGAAGCGGATTTTGCGGAGAATTTGATGCCAATGGAATAGAGGAATACTCTGTTCCAACAGACGTGTCGTGCCTCTTGACTTGTTGGCTGAAACAAGCTGCCGATGGAATGCATTCATGAAGTTAATGACCAACTGCCAGTAAGATCAATGCTTCAACCGAAGCCATGATCTTAGTAAGTCGTGATCTTAGTCATGGAATAAGAAGTCGACGCCATCTGATCTAGCAACAAAAGGTGCACTTCTGATACATCTGTTTTGTTTCAAGGACTTGTGTGACAGAAATCGATAGCACATATGGAAGCACAATCTTCTTGTTTCTTCCGTTTGGTGGACTGACCATGAGGTTCTGTTTATCAGGAAACCTTTTCTTTTCTTCTGCGTATGCTTGGTTATAGGTGATTTGGTTTTGTTTGATTTGCCCGCCAATCGAACTTTTTCTTTGGTCGGACCATGTCAAACAGGATTGCCTGGAAAGTACAAACGCATGAAATAATGAAAAGACTTCATTGAACATTTTAAGTACAGAACTGCATTACACTTCAAGATGACATCAGAAAATAAAAAGAACTTTAATGCAGAGTGTCAAAAGTCAGATAACTGGGTGATATCTCCCATCACCCCGGCCACATAACTTCCGCGACGCTGCTGCCTCGATCGCTACATAACAATTGATCTCCTGCAAAAATCATAACCATGGTCAACCTGCAGTCACGATCGTCGTGTCGGCTTGCATAAATCCGGTGTGGGAGTTGGTCAAGTCATATTTTTTTTTTTTGGGGAATCAAAAATTTCAAACTATATCACTTATGACGAATTTATTTTGAACTTTTTTTGTGACACGAAAAATTTCAAATTATGCCACTTATGACACATTTATCTCACAGTATTTTGATTCAAGGGCATTTTTGTCTTTTTCCTTTTTTCTGTTTTTTTCCTTTCTTCTCTCTTCCCTCCGCTGGCCCCGGCGGAGGGAAGAGAGAAGAACGGAAAAAAAACAAAAAAAAAGGAAAAAGACGAAAATGCTCTTTGGCCAAAGTATTGTGGAGTAAATGTATCACAAGTGGCATAGTTTTGAGTTTTTCGTGTCATAAAAAAAAGTTCAGGGTAAATTCGTCACAGGTGGCATAATTTGAGATTTTTTGTGGTATTTTCCCAATTATTGATACCCATGTTACAGCAAAAGAGAAAACTACTAGTTGGAGATGACAGAAGAGGCAAGTGCAGCGTAAAAGTTGTGAAGGGTTAAATGATGCAACTTCTCCAATCCAACAAACTCACGAAGCCAGTCGTTCAGGAAGCCACCCTCAAAATGATCACTTGTTCATCGACAAGCAACGAGGCTCTTCAATGCAGAAGCAGGCTCATTTCATTAGAGAAGCAGAGTCGATCGACCTAAAATATTCAGCTGACCAATTTTTGTATGATAACACACTTATAAAGAGGAAATATTTCAATGCTATAAAATTCTTGCTATAGATGAGTGTTTTTACTACACCTAATTTATTTTACTTCGCATGAGAATAGTTACCTAAATAACGAGAACGTTTACTATAAAAAAAGCAGTTTTTACTGAAGGAATAGGCAGCCTGATCAACAAGTCGTAAAATGAACGGACCGAACTGCTTGTAATTTTTTTTGGCGGTAAAAGATTTAACCTTATGGTTAGACCACTCGGCTGTATAAGTTTCCTATCACCCATCTGGCGAAAGGTATCGCATCATTTTGTATTAATTCGTGACTAGATACCTAGCTCGCGCTTTTGCGGGGGCACATACTTGTATCTGCAGCTTTGAATACCTAAATAGCAAAACTAAATTCCTAATAATGTTTTGGACTTAGGAATATAAAAATCAGGGTCACACCAGAAAATTACAACAGCATAACAAATTCAGAAAATTTATTGTAAGGCCGCAGAAAAGTAAAAACCTCAATAGTAAGACAACATGTTAGGGATGAATGGTTCTTTTTTTCGCAGCATCATTTTTTCATCGTTGCTTGATGTTGTAGTTATTGATGAATGAGATATTTCTTAAAAACTCCCACCATTGTCCTATTCCAGAGGCTTGTGTTGATAAGACTGAAAAATAAATGCTGAAAATGTAAGTAGTAATTTTTAAATGCCGATAACCGTAACTCTTGAAAATAGATACAGAAGTTGTGTCGATGATAATTGCGTATCAATGGTTGAATATTGATATTTTTTTTACCGAAAGCAGAAGAATGATCATTATCGATCAGTTTTAGGGCCCGTTTGGCAACGTGCTAAACAATGAAAATTTTTGTTCTCAGAAATAGTTTGGGAACAGAAATGCGTTTGGTAAACTTTTTGTTCCCGGGCACATTTTTGCAAAAATTTATGCCGAGAAACAGTTTTGGAAGAGAAACAAGAAGTAAAAAAAAGTTGCTTCTTGTTTCTCGGCACAATTTTAAGAATCAGTTTTTTTTTTCTTTTTCTTTTCTTATTTTTGTGTTGTTCTTCCTGGGTGGGCCGGCCGCCGGCGACCACCACTGACCCCCGTGGCCGGCGAGGGCGTCACGGCCCTCGCCGCCGCCGGCGGAGGCGAGGGCGAGGGCGAGGGCTAGACCCTCGCCGCCCGGGCGAGGCCGAGCCTCGCCGTCGCGACCCATGGCGAAGCCGACCTGCGGCGAGGCCGACCTCGCCGTCGCGACCGACAGCGAGGCTCGGCCTCGCCCGGGCGGCGAGGGTCCGGCCCTCGCCCTCGCCGCCAAGGCGACCTTCGCCTCCGCCGGCAGCCGGTGAGGGCCGTGACGCCCTCGCCGGCCCTGGGCTGTGGCCGGTTGCCGGCCGCTGGTCGCCGGCCATGGTCAAAGAAGAAAATGGGTAGAAAGAAAAAAAAATTTAAACAATTCAAAATATTATTAAAATATTATTTGGGAACATAAATTTTTTTGTAGTTACCAAACGCATTTATGTTCTTTTCTACTCTAGGAATAGAAATTTTGGACAATTTATTAAACGCTTTCAAATATTCAGAAATTGTTTCCGGGCACAGAATAAAAAAAAATCATTTCTGTTCAGAAATAATTCCCGGGCACAAAATGGTATTCATGCGCACCCTTAGCAATATATTAGCAATATTTTACTTGTCGTTATTTTTTTTATTGAATGAATTAAGTAACCCCTCCCACCTCCCTTATTACCACGATAAGTTGATTTTTTGCTTAGTTGAGTCTAAAGGTCTATTTGATATTCAATTAAGTGCTCAAGACTAAAAATTCAGCACTTAATGAGATTAATCTTATTTGATAACCCTATATAGAATTATTTGTTTTTTTTTTGTTTTAACCCTATATAGAATTGACTTAAACGATTTAATTAAGTTAAAAACTACTCAATTCGGTAAGCAAGAAAGGAGTTATTTAATTCCTTCAATAGAATAATAATTGCAAGTAATGAGAATCTTACCAAACATATCGACAAAACCTACCAATAACGATATTTTTCTATATTCGGTAAAAAATTAACAATATTCAACTATCAATTTTTAATATCATCGAACGACTCTTTAATTCAATTTTCAACACTTAAGATTATTCACACACAAAGTCCCATATTTTAATTTCCAGAAATTAATGTTTCAATTTTAATAAACAGGACCTAACGCCAAATGCTAATTAAGGTTTACGAAACAAGTTTAATTTCACTAACTGCCGAACTTTCAATTTCCCGCACTTAACCGGGTTACCAAACAAGTCCTCAATTTTGGCTAAGTTAAATTCGAGATCATATCTTTTTTCTATCAAATCTTTAAAGTATATTCGAAATATATCTCCGGCTAAGGTAATAGGATTTCTTTCTTTTTAGTTTCAAGTTCGTTGGATTTTTCATTCAAAGAACCAAAAATGTTCAAATGAAATTAGAGAGATTTTTGACGTCCTAATTTAAGGACTAATTCAAAAAGAAAAAAGTACCAACTTCACATTCAGTAACAATTCTGACCCTTTCATTCTGTCTTATTGAAAAACACAAACTTTTACTCGAGTCCCAAATTTAGCTCTCGAAATGTGAAATTTTCAAATTGTACGAGTCAGATTTGAGATTTAAGTGAAAGTTTGTGATTTTTTACGAGACAAAAAATAGCGCGAACTAAAATTGTCACTCAAGATAAAATTAGCGTTTTTTTATTTTTGGGAATTAGGCCCCTAATTTGATGTAGATCTACCTTCTTCTAAAGAACTCGGAGGCCATATATCTTCTTATCCATAATTATTTGTCAACAACATCCCTCACGAATCTCCTCCCGGTAAGAATTTTAATCGGCTGCGACCCAGCATTTTACGATCTAAATTCGCGACAGGCCGTCATGATTTTATCCATCGTTTTCTCCCGAAATCACACGGCGTGGCGGGTCTCTACACCCAAGCCCCCCGTGCTCCGGCGAGCACCCAACCAAAAGCCCACCCCCCTAACCCCGCGTCGATTCGAACGCGCCCAAAATCTCTTCCAACGTTCCGAAAGTATACAACACTGTTCAGAGCTGCTGGGGGGGCGACGGGGGCGGGCCCCACAGGGGCAATTCCCCCCTCCGGAGGAAAAAAATCTCCCGAAAAATTTTGGGGAGTTTTTCCCGCTCATCTTTCAAACTCCGCCCCTTCAAGACTTCCCCAAAATCGAGGAACGAGATAGAAAGAGCTCCTCCCTTTTCGTCTCCCCCTCCCGCATCGCTTCCCCTCGCCACCACCCCCTCCTCCGATCTCTCTCTCCCTCCCTTCCCCTCTCCCTCTCTAGCGTCTCCGCCTCTCTCTCTCAAGACCGCCGCGGCCGCCGGAGAATGCCGAGCAAGCGGAAGTCCGGGGGGGCCGGCGGAGCGGCAGCGTCCTCCGCCTCCGCCAAGAGGGGGAAGGCGGAGAAGCCCAAGGAGGCGCCTGCGGAGGAGTTGGAGCAGCAGCAGCAGCAGCAGCAGCTCGGCGGCCAGGTGAAGGAGAGGATAAGTGTTGCCGACGAGGCGCTTGCCAAGAAGGGCGTCACTCGTGCCACCGCCGATGGCGGCGGCGATGGGGAGGAGTCGGAGTGCCGGTTCGTCGGGGCTCCGATCCCGAACGAGGAGGCTCGCCAGAAATGGCCGAAGCGCTATCTTGGATTGGGCAAGGTAGCCTTTCTTGTGTTTTTTTTTTTTTCCTCTTCTTTTTATTCGTTCTTCTCTCGAATCTGATTCAGCTCGGTGACTTGTCATTTGGTTTTAGCGCTGGTTTTGTTTCTGCTTGTTGAAAAAGCGTTGCTTTAGGGGTCAGAATGTGGTTTCAGTTAGCGTGCTGTGAACTGGTCCGTGGCTTGCAATGGTAGATGGATTCTTTTCACATAGGGTGGGTTTGGGAATTGTTAGTATGTCCATCGGAGTGAGCAGAGCTACACGGATGTTATGAGCTGAGTTCATTGGGATAATAATGGGTATTTACACCGAGTCTTGTTTAGAAATACTGTCGATATAATTTGCAACAAAAAAAAAACACACACACACACACAGTGGGTTGGGTTAGAAATGATGCCCCTGCAGCTAATGCCTTGAGCTAAATGTAGTGCCCGGAATTGAGCCTGTTTGCGTTTGTAAGTGTGTTGAAGACTTACCCGCAGCCATAACCTTTTGCTTCTTGAAAGTCAAAATAGCGGATATAGATCGGGGAAATGTGTCCAAATCAGAAGTTAGAGGTAGAAGTGTTTCTTTGCAACCTAGACTCTTAGTTCTACTGCTAGAGAAGGATGTTTAGAGAAGCTATGATTTTTGCATTTTGTATCGCTTAGGCTCTTGCATTTGATTTTTTAGTATTTAAAAGTAGTCTCGAATTGACTCAATGGTTTGTCAGAATGCTCTCATCCATTGTTATTTAAACTGTTGAGACTAGAATCATTAGACATACAAGGCATATATCATTTGTGGAAGGTATCGAGGCTTATTTCTGATGAAGTTTTGTACTCCCAAGTTGCTCATTAAGGTGATTACTCATCAGTTCCTTGGTGCAAGTATTGATCATTTAATCTGGAGGATGATTAGCTAAACTAAACTAGCTAATGAAGCCATGGCATTTGTTCATGGTGGGAGAGCCAGTCAAAACAGAGGAACCTTTGCACTTGTTTTAGAAATAATTAGTCTCAAACCAATGACTTTTGCCATGTCAAGTTCACATTCCAGCTTCCAGCTCTCCAGTGTGTGGAGAAATAATGGAAACATCATACAAGGTTATCTACTTAAAGGCAATGAACCCTTACTGCCATTCTACATTACCGCACATGAGATTATCGACATGCACTTTCTTTTGTTGCTTTGAATATTCCTTTACTGCTCTCTGCTCATATTAATCTTTTATTATATTACTCATGTTGATATATTGCCATGGTGCCTTTTCTATCTTGCAGAAGAAAAAGGTGGTCAATGTAAACGGCAATAAAGAGTAAGATTAGATTTGAATACCTGCTTTTTTTTTTTTTTGAGATAGGGTAATCTTCCTTTCCTTGTCGACAATATTATTTCCTAGACATTCTAATACAACATTTCATTTGTAGAGGGGATAACTCTGAAGAGATTATCCAAGCGAAGTGCCACTACATGAAGGCTAATGTCGATGGGGTTTGCTATGATATTGGTGATGATGCCTATGTGAAGGTTAGTTATTTAATATTTCTTTCCAAAATTGCAACTATACATATTTTGCAATTATATGGCATGAAAGGTTTGTCTATAGAAACGAATTTTGTTCTAGCAATGGTTTTATTATAGCTTCAATGACAACTTGTTTCTTGCAAGTTTAAAATTGCACTAATGTAAAATGATTTAAAGGATTCTACTTATGGTTGAATTGTATAACTTAAATATGCTATGCATCAATCCTATACTTGATATGGATGTAAGGAATGTGGTTTTGTTTGAAGATTCATTCAAATATTGTCTGAATCAAGGGAGTAATATAGTAGAGTCATGACAATTGACATGACAATCAGGGCGTGCTAGTCTTATGCAAAGATGAGATTGATCTCTAGTACACCATAGATTACCACCAGCAACCCAGTTGCATAAAGCTTGGCATTGCACACTCTAAATCTAAATTATCTAGATTATGATTCATTTTTTATGTTGTTTGTGCTGTCAAAGATGAGATATAGCATTTTTGTTTGGTGTAAACCTTTCAATGCATGTTACTCATACTTTTATTTTTAAGGATAAGTAAAAGAGTGGGAAGGGGTGACCAGCGTGTGATGCTTACGTTTAATCTCTATTAATAGGTTGACCGAAAATAATTGACACACTTAGTTAAGTTGTATTGATGAAGTATATGCATGATCAAACTTACAAGTTTGTTCATAGGCGACTTAAGCATTTCACCAAAATTTTGTTTGATGTAATTAAAGTGTTTCAAAGGTACTTGTTTGAATTCACAAGTTTGTTCATAGGAGACTTAAGCATTTGACCAAAGTTTTGTTTTGATGTAATTAAAGTGTTTAAAAGGTACGTGTTTGAATTGTCTCATAAATTGTACTACACGTATGGTGATATATGGAAAAAAACAGTGAATACAACTGAATTCATTTTCATTCAAAACCATACACACGTTTTATATTCTTGGTCCTCATCACTTTCACAAGGATTTTGTTAAGGAGGCTAGACTCTGAGGATTGTGTCACACAGTTGGAGAGTTAGGTAGTTGCAAAGTCAAAGTTTTCTAGCTTTTGTTGAGCTGAATGTTACCATTAAAGTGCATTAAACTTCCAATTATTTATTTGGTCTGAGTTCCACACAATCTTCTCCTTCAGACGCTAAAGCTAAAATCTCTTAGTGGTGATTTTAGTACAACCCTTTGATTCTATTTTCTAGGATTGTTTTTTTCTGTATGAATTTTAGATTGCGATTGTAAATTTATTTGTTAGCTAATTTTATATGTATTCCTTATCTTTCGGTCTCCTTGAGGGAGCTTTGATACGAAGGTACTTGTACTATATGAAAATATCTTATGATTGATAATTTACCAGATAATGGCTCAGTAACTAATTGTAAATCGACATTTATCGATTGTGATACCACCATAAGAACTTTTTTTTGGCTGGTAACATAAAAACTTCATTGATGACTTTTTTGCTCATTAAACTTAGGCTGGGGAAGGGGAGGACAACTATATCTGTAAGATCGTGGAATTCTTCGAGGCAGTCGATGGCTTATTTTATTTTTGTGCGCAATGGTATTACAGAGCTCGAGATACAGTAAGTATGTTTATAATCTTTTTGTTATGCTCTTATCGGCTTTATGATTATCTTATGTTAAGTTCTTTACTTGTAACAGGTCATCAAGCAATTGTCTTACCTAATTGATGATAGGCGTGTCTTCTTCTCAGAGATACGCGATGACAATCCTTTAGAATGCCTTGTCGAGAAGTTGAACATTGCTCGAGTGCCTCTCGATGTATGTTTAACATTAGTTTCTGCAGATTGAATCTTTCTTAGTGATATCACAATATTAATTTGATTCTGATTTGTAGGTTAATTTGGATGCAAAAAGAGCGGCAATTCCATCATGTGACTATTATTGTGATACTTTGTATCTACTGCCTTACTCAACATTCAAACACTTGCCTACAGGTATGCTGTTCTTCTTGGATACCCGTATTCCCCTACCTGTTTTCTCATTAATTAGATAAAAACATGATAGGGAATTCGTAATTATCATTGCATCTGATTTTTTTTTTATGGGATAGGTACCTGATGCCTTATTTTATGTTGCAGATCATAAGGTGGATGGCTGCGAGACTTCATCAACCATTTCAAGTGATGATGTTGACATGGCTGGTACAACATGCGAGGTGAACTCCAAGGAGATTTCCCAAAAGAACAAGGGGGAGGTGACATTACTAGATATGTATTCTGGTTGTGGTGCGATGTCCACGGGCTTATGTCTTGGAGCAAATCTTTCTGGTTTGAATCTTGTCACGGTATGCATTTTGTAAACTTTGTCTTAGTAAAAGGTTAGTATGCACAACTTATGCATTCTTGATTTCGTTTGTTCATAGAGGTGGGCTGTTGACATGAACGAACATGCATGCAATAGTTTGAAACTAAACCACCCGGAGACAGAGGTATAACCTTTCTTTTTGGTTGATGAATGTATTAATTTTGCCTATCCGCATATATTCTGATAGCATTGTATTGTTGACTATTATCGTAAAATCAGGTGAGGAATGAGTCTGCAGAAGATTTCCTCTTGCTGTTGAAGGAGTGGCAGAAATTGTGCATGCAATTTCACCTCATTGAAAGTGATGGTCAGCAGCTGCCATATGCTGATGTATTTAGTGTGGATGATGGAATAAGTGACGAGGAGGAAGATAGTAACGATGATGATGATGGGGGTAGTGATGGTGAGGTGTTTGAAGTAGAGAAGGTTCTAGCAATTTGTTATGGAGATCCTAAAGAGAAGGGAGACAGAGCATTGTACTTCAAGGTACTTAAAATATTGAATTTAACTTGGCAAACTTGGACATTTATTGTTTAATAGCTTCATACATTTTTTTTTCTTCTTAGTCCTTGATTTATGCATAGTACTTAGAATGCAAACCTTTTCGTTGTAGACGATTCTTAGTCAACGACAATGATAAGTTGATGAATTTGGTAGTTTAATAATTCTTTATGTATGTCTTACAACCCCATGATGCTATAATTCGATCATGATGCTTCTTTGTGTACTTTAGCATGTAATTTAAATTGCATAACCTAGTATCCTAGCAGTGTGATTCTTTTCTAGTGCTTCAGATAATTTTGAGTCTCGTCATTTTCTTGCAGGTTTCATGGAAAGGTTATGGTCCTGATGAGGACACTTGGGAGCCAATTGAGGGATTAAGGTAGGCACAATGATAAAATGAACTTGATATGAAAATCCTAAGTACAGCATCTCTAACATAGTGTCTTTGTGTCAGCAACTGTTGTGAAAAACTAAAGGAATTCGTAGTTGAAGGTCACAAATCAAGGATTTTGCCTTTGCCAGTGAGTATTTCATTTCCAATGTTTTTTTCTTTTTGCTTCTTGTCGTGTATCCTCTGGATGAACCTACTCCATTGATGACCTCTGCATACACTTTACAGGAGAAGCCTTCCTTTGATTTAGGAGACTTATCTCTTTGTATCATCATTTATCATTTCATACTAGATATTTCCTTTGATTTAGTGTGCTCATTGTACTTGATTACAAAGAAACAATCACCTTAAGAGTTTCTTTGCTTGGCTGACTTTTTCAGGGGGATGTAGATGTGGTCTGTGGCGGACCGCCCTGTCAAGGAATAAGCGGTTTCAACCGTTTTAGAGATAAGGACAATCCTTTGGCTGATGTGAAAAACAAGCAACTTCTTGTGTTTATGGAAGTTGTAGAGTTTTTGAAACCAAGGTTTGTTTTGATGGAGAATGTGGTGGATCTAGTTAAATTTTCTAATGGTTTCTTGGGGAGGTATGCACTTGGTCGTTTAGTGCAAATGAACTATCAAACAAGATTGGGTATGATGGCCGCAGGAGCTTACGGGCTTCCTCAATTTAGAATGCGTTGTTTTCTTTGGGGTGCTCGTCCCAGTGAGGTAAACTTGTATATGCACCTATGTTTCAGATAAGAGAGTCTTAAACTTGTCTGTCTTTATAATAGGATTCAAAAGAATTTCACTCATTGGTTTTTTATTTGATGCTTTAGAAGCTGCCCCAGTACCCATTGCCAACACACGATGTTGTTGTTAGAGGTGTCATTCCTCTAGAATTTGAGGTATGGGTTTCTGTGTTATAATGTGTGATTTACTAAGGCGTGGTCTAAAATTTCCTTGAAATAAAATCAGATGCACACTGTTGCCTATGATGAGGGCCATTCATACGAATTGCAAAAGAAATTGCTACTGGAGGATGCAATCTCTGATCTTCCACCTGTATGTATCTGTCATCCTAATGTTGTTTTTAAAGCTTTGATGGATTGTAATTTTGATGGATTTCAATTGATTTAGGTTGGAACTTATGATGGAAGAGATGAAATGCCATATGAGAAGGTTCCACAGACAGATTTTCAACGTTTCATTAGATCAAGTGAAAAAGGTGAATAGCATTTTTTTATTTCCCTGTATATAGAACATTAAATGCAAAACACTTTAATAACTAAGCAGCTTTATGTGGTACTATATTTGATTTCAAGTTTCTGTACATGTATACACATTAGATGGATGTGTATAGATTGTAGTGTAGTCCACGAGTAGATAGACATTCTTAGGTGCCATCGTTTAACCATCTTTGCTTTAAAAGTAACTTAACTAGTGGTTTCGTGACAGGCATGAGACTCTAGCTTAAATTATAGAAGCTCTTAAAGATGAGCATTTTGAAAATTGTGTTGATACAAGATTGATATTTATGTTGCTTGATGGGCTCTCCCTCTTTTATTGCCTTAGAGGCTAGGGTGGCATGCTAGTAGGAGTCAATTGAGATGGGTCTAGTTTAAGGGGAAGTGAGCTTAGAAGGATGTTTCTGGTCACTAAGATTTATTGATTGAAGCTTTTGCGCGTTTTGGGCTGCTTATCTAAATTAAGTGTTCAATTCTAGTTTTTCCTTTTCTTTCTTCTCTAATCCTGAAATTTTTACAGAAATGATGGGGATCACAGACAACTCTGTGGATTCAGATCGATTACTCTTTGATCATCGACCACTTGAATTGAATTCAGATGACTATGAACGAGTTTGCCGTATACCAAAGAAAAAGGTTTTCTTTCTTTTCTTGCGTTCATAAAAGTCAACATTTTGTAATCTATTGTATTCGAAGCTCTACTGTTTGCTGATTGTTTCGTGAATTTTGCGAAGGGTGCAAATTTTAGGGATTTGCCTGGTGTTCATGTGCGTCCGGACAACAAAGTTGAATGGGACCCTGATGTTCCCCGGGTTTATTTGGACTCAGGGAAACCATTGGTAAGAACATTCATCAATTTATACTTCCCTCAGTTTCTTTTTTTTGACAGAATTTTGTTCATACTTCCTAATGACATTTAGTTCTCTCTTTTTGCAAGTCTTATAACAGAACTGCTGTCCTTCTGCAGGTCCCTGATTATGCAATGACGTTTGTGAATGGTTCATCGTCAAAGTAAGTGTCAAGGTGCTTTGATACATTTAGTCTTTGTAATTTCAGCTTTCCAACCTCTTCGAATTATGTAGGCCTTTCGCACGTATGTGGTGGGATGAAACTGTGCCTACTGTAGTGACTAGAGCAGAACCCCACAACCAGGTATGCTACTCTTGATTAATGGCAGAGTTTGATTTGGAGATGAATATATGTCCCATCTTTTAGGGTTTCTACACTTATGGTTGTCGACTAATATGGAGTTTCTGATAGTTAAATTCTGTCTAACCTCAGTGATGACGACTTGTGTCACTCTATTTTGTCTAAAATAAATGTTGTGTAGTTGCTTAATTAGCTTTAATTTTGTTAACTATGATGAGAATTTTATCTTGTGAATATTGTCCGAACATATGAAGTGGTTTCAGTGTCAAGTTAGTGTTGTGTTAGGTGAGACTTGATTTCTCTTGCTGTATTTCCAGGGTCGTGTCAAAAGTTACCATCCATTACATCTTTATGCTGAAGGTCTAGCACAAAGGAAATTGGTCATTCATGTAGTTATACAATAATGAATAAGCAATGGCCAACATATTATTTGATCGACTATGCAGGCAATATTGCATCCTGAGCAAGACAGAGTTTTTACAGTTCGTGAAAATGCAAGACTTCAGGGTTTTCCTGATTATTACAAGCTTACCGGCCCCATTAAGGAGAGGTAACTATTTGATAAATGTTGCCGCTCTTTGATTCGTCTACTTCACAGAAACCCACAATGTACAAAGGTTAAATGCACCCTGATTGCACGAGAGTTCTTTAAGTATGATAACATGATGTTGTGAGCTGCATAGCATGAATGCCGATAGAGTGTTTATGTACTTCCTTTGGTAAGTTAATATATATTGCAAAATACCAATTATGTTCCTATATCTACTGATGCACCATATCGTAACATCATCTAGTTGATCATTTATCATCAAGTTTTGAGACAACTTGTGTTGATGTTACCAGGTATAAGAATAGTCATTTTGTCGCTAGAGTTTGGGTACAACGTACACTCAGTATGAGCATTTTCCTTCTCACAAGAAAATCTAGAGAGATGCATAGCCAATCCAAGTTGAAATTAGAAAATGCTAGCTATTTGTTTGTTGACACCGAACAGTAGAAAAGTAGTGGCCTGGGACAAGGTTATAATATATGTGTAAAATAACCCATCATTTTATTTCCAAAAGGTCTTTCAGAAAATTCCTCTCTTGAAGCATGGTGCAGGCAGGGATAGTGAGAATTGACAAATTATTCTTAAGTGTTACTTTGTCAAGTCATGGATTTCATTTTTCAGTAATCTAATTTCCCCTGGCATCTAATTGGGTTTCTCAAAATGAATCCTGCTGAATTCTTGTTAGCACAAGTTTTGATCAGATTATATAACACTTAATATAGGTGGTCTGGAAATGCAAGCATGCATTCCACTAGGAAAACTTTTTATTGATGATGTACTCCACAATTATATGTACACCTGAGTATTTCTGTGCTTCTGCTCTTCCATTGATTCTCCAATATTTACCAGGTACATTCAAGTTGGAAACGCAGTTGCAGTTCCTGTAGCTAGAGCTTTGGGATGCGCATTGGCTCAAGCTTTCCAAAGAAGCACCAATGAAGATCCGTTGTTTCGGTTGCCTGATGTATTCGTCTATAAGTTCGAGCAACATTCTTCTGCATCGTCTGAAAATGATGCATAGTTGTACTGTCTTAGAAGTGAATTGTAGGTTATTGGGATTAAATACACCATGATTGGGAGTGGGAGATTTACTCCCAGCTAACGAGGTTATTCCTGAAGGAGACTGCGAAGCTGTGGTCAAAGCGATTGGTTCACCAAAGCAATTTGGAGTGGCGCGCAAGTGATCGAAGACATTAGAGAGGTTTTAGTGAAAAAGAAGAGTCTCAGCCTCTCAGGATTGTCTGGACTCTTAAGAGAGAAACAGAGCTGCACATGTATTTGCTTTTAGAAACCCTTCTGTATTTAATGTGCTCTGTAATCTTTTATGGTCGGAGGGCGTGTCTAAGTTATCTTATTTGGTGGCTTAGGGGAGGACCTTCTGACAGAGTCTTTGCTGTATTTTCTTTGGAAGTAGGACCCTCAAATTAAATGATTGATTCAGTCATTTCCTAGCCAAAAAATAAAAAGACAGGCATATTAATATGCTAATTGTCCATCTAATCATGTATGAATGTGAGGTCATGCCCTCAGCTAGTGCCCGTGCATCATATCAGCGAAATCTCATTCATTCTTTGGTCTCTCTTTCTAAAATTATGAGTTTTGCACCCACCTTCCCTTCAATATGTAGTTTTTCCTCGTTTCAAGTGAATAGAACACGTTTGAAGCCCGAGTATGTAATTTTCTCCACCGAACATTAGTTTTATATTTGTATTGATGTCTATGTAGGTAAGTTTCATCAATGTCATCGGAGAATGACATTTGGACCTTAGAAATAGTTCAGGGACTTAATTGAACCCCTTAAAGTTTGGAAATGACAATCTATATTGGACAATTTCAAGAATTTAATTTATTCAATTGAACTTTTACAGATTGAAAATTTATAGATGTTGTACGTTGGGCAGAAGAAGTTCAAAGACTAGTGGTTCAATGTACTTAGTCCCTCATCCAAAGGAAGACTACTATGTTAAGATTAATGCTTACTTTGAGTTCCTTTATCAGTGAAGAGGCAATAACTTTGGCATCGATTATGAGAGATTGAAGAAGATTAACTCCAATTCATTAACACAAGTATACACATAACTCTTGCCTATACACTGCAAATTTTAGATTGCCTAGGTTTGTCGGTAAGTGTCAGAAAATAAGCTAGTAAAACGACAGGATTAATTTCTGCAAAGGTATCAATTCAACTAAACTATTTGGTAAAAGCTGATATTCATGCGTATGCCTGATGCCACCTGATCAAGCATGTCCAGCATTTGGCACAAAGAGCGTTGCTCGGAACTCCTGTTATTTGGTCATAAGGACAATGCTTAGGGTATCTCAAAGCATGCAATGTTTTTCCTTTTGAAGCAAGCTGACATGCTTTATTCGAATCTATTTGGACATGAAGACAAAAAAAAGTTGCAAGCAGCTGCAGTCGGGCTTGGTGTGGTGTTTGAGTTGCGTACTTCAGACAGGTGAATCAAATGTGGTGCGGTTTAGTAGTTAGCTTGGGACCGTGGCTGCAGGAATTGGTCATAAAGGGGCTTCTCGATCACTTTGCCTCACTAGCCACTGTGTCGCTCAAGGATCGCAAAGGGGCTGTTCTTCTGTGGAAACTTGTTTAAAGAAACTCCTTCCAACCTTCATGACAACGACCGGTATGTTGCCAACGTCTCACACATAAAAGGGCTGATTGAGAAGTTGCTTACGCAGAAATAACTTCGAATTTTGGAATCTGAATATAGTAGAGCAAGGGCAATGCATTGCAAAAAGGCATGTGTGACCGCTCTAATGATGGTCTAAATGAGGTACCAAGCGATGGCAACTTGACGGAGAGGGGGAAGTTGCATCCTTTCAGGAAGACTAACCTTTCAGAGACAGAAACGGAAGATGGAAAAGAGTTGCAGGGAACGGACTTGATGGAAGAAAAATGTACGCATCCCTGTAATGTTCGACTTCATCAATGACGAAAATAACAATTGAAAGTGGGTACCGCTAGTTACCTATCATGCATCACGCAAACGAACGAAAAGTTTAAGCCCCGATTGGCAACTGAATATGAAGGTTGAACACATTCGTTCATTCATAGGCAGGGCCGTCATTGAATAGATATAAAGCTTGTGCAGCTGGCCCCGCTTCCGATCCGAATGAAATTGCCCTTTTTCAGAAGAAGGAACTCGGATCGGAATAAACCGGGGCAGATGAGGGCATTGGCGGATCGTATCTTAGCGAAGGGTCGATTCTTAATTCACCTTGACGATAAGCAGGCAAGACTAAAAAGGCCATGAACCTCAACTCATTCACGAGACCTATCTCTGTTCAGTCTCATTCAACAGGCTAAGGCCATTAGCTATAAGCCCCTGACTCTCAATTGGCATAAGTTCTAGAATGCGAACTCCAAATTTTCATTGCAGTCCAAACATCTTCTTGCGTCCAAGCCGAACGAAACTACCCCCCAATCTTAATGAAACCAGGAAATCAAGCCTTGAAGAAGAGAGCATTCGATGTTCGAACTAACGCGAACAGACTGAAAGATCAACGAAACTCCAACCAACCATCACGGGAGGCAGGGGGCATTAAGTTTTTTAGCCACGCGAACCCCGAAACAATCCCGACATCGAGAGCAAGAACGGAGATTAAAAGAGTATCAACCGGTGTCGGGTTGAGTACTTGATCGGGCGGCGTCAGCGGGGAGCGGGGGCAGTCGCAGCACGGCTTCCTCCGTCTCAATCGGATCCGACCTCAGTATCTACCAAAACAAAAGCAGAACAAACAACAACCCCCGTCAGTCGCAAAGATGCAAAACGAGAAAATCCATACGAATGAACAACGCACTAAAGACGACTTAGAGAGAGAGAGAGAGAGAGAGAGAGAGAGAGAGAGAGAGAGAGAGAGAGAGAGAGAGAGAGATACTGGGTCTTGGAGGACGGGCTTCGTGTCGTCCGTAGCTCTTCTGAAGCTAGGCTTGGGGTGAGGGATCTGCTCCTTCTTGACGACGGGGGTTTGGAATCGGGTGGTCGGACGGCGGTCTGCACCGGCGCCGGACTCCATTGAAACGGACGGCGAAGCTCCCGTTCGTTCTGCTCTGCTCTGTTTCGTCAGGGCGAGAGGATGATTTTCCCAGCGAGGTCGGAGCGGACGAGCGAAAGGCGGTGGTGATCGGGGCAGTGGGTTTTTTGGAAATTCCAGACACGCGTGTCGACAGAGACGGTGAAAAGTAACCAGAGTTCTTACCCCCGTTTTGGCAACTGGTTTAAATTTTTACCATTATAAATCACTAGATAAATAAAACATCTAAATATAACATAACAATTTCATTTGAAGTTTTGAGTCATATTATAGATCGAAGGTAAAATGACATAAATAGTCCCTAGAATTTAAATGCGCGATGTGGTCCCGAACTTTTAATTTGTTCGATGCGGTCCATGAACTTTAGCCTATTGCAATGTGATCCATAGATTTTTAATTTGTTCAATGTGATACCCGAATTTTTCGTACATGTTCAATTTAGTACGTACACTATATGAAAATGTCCAATGTTTTTCATGATCTTCAATTAATAAAAGAACAGCATTGGATATTTTCATATAGTTCAGGGACTACATTGACCATGCATAAAAAAATTTAGGGATCACACTTAACAAATTAAAAATTCGGGGACCATATTGCATATTGGGTTAAATTTTATGAACCACATTAAACAGATTAAAAAGTCAGGGACAATATTACACGGTAGGAAAAAGTTTAGGAATTATTTGAGTCATCATCCCTCTATCGAAATAGCCGATCGAAGTGTACTAATTATTGGGATGCAATGTACGGTGAGAAATCACACCGATTTTTTTTGTAGATTTTAATGGATCAAATCTGAATGCAATGTAATAAAGATCGAGGTATCCCTCCATCGTTTCTCGTCCGGAAATCTTTGAGTCGGGAATTTTTGCCAGGAAACTGCCTTCCACTTCTTCCTTTGAAGCTGACTAGGGTCGGAGCACGCACTAGGCCCGTGCGCAAAGTTAGGTAGCCGCACATAGAAACAGATGAGTAGTTGTGCATGAAATAAGGTGGGTATAAGAAAGCGAGAGCAGTTTAGAAAATTCAAAGTGGGTGTTTATTTATAAAATGGGCAGGTAAAGGAATGGTAAGTTTGGCAAGTCTAGAAGTGAGACTGCAGATCAACTAGGCAACGACAAATGGGCCAAAGTTTAGCTGCAGATGGGCATCAACACTAACTGAAAAACACGACAATCCTCTTCCAAGTTAACCTCCTCTGTTTGTGACTCACCGCCCCCACTTCAAACATCATGCGGTTGCGACACACTAAACAGCGGAAGTGCTGCGCGATCTCAAGCTCTCGATTGGTCAACCATAACGAGCTCCGAGGAGCGCCCCCGTGGCTGATCGCCGTCCTCCTCGTAACGGCGCTTCGATCCTTTCCGGGATTTAAGTCGACGATCGTCCGTCCGCCGACCCGGATCGAGCTCATCGGCACTGCCGCCACTTGTGGAGGTGCTCGGTTGAAGGCGACTTCGCGGTGGCCGAGTGGGTTTCAATGGAATCTAGGTCATAACGGCGGTAGGGCATCAAGATGAAGTTATCTTGGGCAGAGCTGTCTGGGCATGTAGTTCCCTAAGACCTCGCGTTATCCAAAATTACTCTCGAATCCGAACTTTACAAATCATGTAAAATCCCCTCATAACTCAACTCACCATCCGCTGGAGCCGATCTTACTCGGTATCGGTTTCACACGATTTAGGCTCGTCTCTCCATCGTCGATCACACGTGCCTTACATGCGAATCCCACGCGAGGCTCCGCCCGGTCAACCATCGAGACGGGCACGGCGGACCCGGTTCAATTCCCTACAAGAAAATTTTCCCGGACCGGTGTCCCGCAGCAGGAATCCATTGGCCCGTCCGTCCGAATTTCGAAATGTCCAGCGCTTGACCAGCTTTCGACCAAAACAAAAGCACACGTCTGGACTCGCTAGCGACGTTCCCCCCCACCGAAGACAAAAAGACAAGACCGGCGTTGCATTGCATACCACCTGCTCTACAGGTACCTTCTCCTCCGCCGCTGCTGCAGTATCTCCTCCATCCTCTCACCTACTCGAAGAAAACCCTCGGCAAAGCAAAGCCACATTCCCCATTTTTTTTCTGCATCCTCTTCTTCGACACCATCTCCAGCACGATGAATTCGACCCTCTCTTCCTCGCCCGCGTCCAGTTTCGCTAAACCTCCTTCCTTCGCGCTCCTCAGTCGACCTCTTCTTCTTCTTCCTCCTCCTCCTCCTTCGATCGTTCGCTTCCCAGCTCCGAAGCCCCTGGCAGGTCCCTCTCCCCGTCGAAACACCATCGTGGCTCGCTCCGTCGCCGACCCCGGCAATCCCCCGAGGAACCCATTTCTCCAAAAGCTCCGAAGCTGCGCCGGAGCCGCCGTCCTCGTCGGCGCCGCCGTTTCCTTCGTCTTCAGCGCCGAGAAGTCCGCGGCGAGAGCCGAGCCTCCTCCGGCGGCTGTTGAGGCGGAGCGATCTCCCAGCCTTGAAGAGACCCGAGAGCAAGCCCCGGAAGGCCGGGAGCCCCAGCCCTCGCCGTTGGCGGAGCTCCTCGAATCGGACCCGGAGTCGGTCGACGCGATGAGGAAGCTTTTGCAGCAGAAGCTCGAGAGCGGAGCGGACCAAGAGGCTCTCGGGATATTGCGGCGTTTGGTTGCCGCTCAGCCTGAGGTCACGGAATGGAAGTTCTTGCTGGCGAGGTTGTTGGGTGAGATTGGAGACACCGAGAATGCCCGCAACGTGTTCGAGGAAATTCTCGCGGCGAACCCGCTGTCATTCGAGGCCTTATTTGAGAACGCTCTGTTGATGGACCGGTGCGGAGAGGGAGAGGCGGTCATTAAGCGGCTGGAGGAGGCGCTGAGGATCGCGGAGGAGGAGAACAAGGCAAAGGAGGCGAGGGACGTGAGGTTGATAATGGCGCAGATACAGTTCCTGCAGAAGAACGTGGAAGGGGCTTTGAAGAGTTATCAGGACTTGGCTAAGGAGGATCCTACTGACTTTAGGCCCTATTTTTGTCAGGGGATGATATACAGCTTGCTTGATAAGAATGCAGAGGCGAGGGAGCAGTTCGCCAAGTACCGCGAACTCTCGCCGAAAAAGTTTGAGGTCGAGGGTTATCTGAGGACACCACTATCGCGGATGAAGCTGTTCGGGACAGATGAGGCTAATTGAGTTTCGGCGTCTGGTATTCTTAGCTCTTTCATCTTTTCTGAAATAAGGCAGGTTGGAGAGACGGTTCGTTCTCTTGACACCTAGTTTGGAGCAGGATTTGGGTAATCCTCTGGATTCTTGGCATATGGTCAGTTGTAGTTTTTGTTTTCTTGTAATTGTTTCAGTAGTAATTCGAAATGGAGAGGTAACTCTAGAGAACTTATGAGGCTTTATAGAGGACAAACAGTGCGGTCAGCGTTGATTACTCAATAAATTAGGCTCTATTTACACATTTTTGTCTTGCAAGTTCTGCTTCTGGTAACTTAATGTTGCTTTTCCATGGCTGTTGTTCATCTGTTGCATTGGCCTTGTGTAAAGGAAATTGAATGAAGTTCTTGAGCAGGAATGTTGTATAAGACTACTCGGAAGTTGGACTTAATTAACTAGCGTTTGCTGTTTAGCTCGATGACATTGTAATACCGTCTCTGGATTGGAGGTAAACAACAATGGTGATTAGCTCGAGAATAAACCAGGGTTCGGTCCCTCAAAGCGATCGAAACCCTTGAGGCAGGCTCTCTTTGTCAGCCAAATGAGGCCTTTTTTCGTCTCTCTGAGAGATCTGTCTGGACTTTAATTCTACTTCCTAGTTTCTCTGTACAAGTTTATTTTCTTCAGCTTGAATCTTTTGCTTTGGCAATTGATGCCTGCGTACTTCCATTACGATTGGACAATTCTTTCGACTGGATTATACTAAAAAAAAGAGAGAAAATGATTCTCTCGACTGTAATCCCGTTTGAGGATTTCAGCTATAGGATTTTAGCAGCTTATTTGAAGTATGAAGAAGTTTGATGATGATACAACATGGTCTAGGATTTTAAGCTACCCGTCTTTGTTGCAGTTCCTGTGTGTATAGGAAGAAGGTGATATTTATCATTCTTTGTGACAGTCTTGCCCAAAAAGGATATCCCTGAAACAGGATTTGCTGTGAACCGAAGCTGATCAATCTGAACGACAGCTGATGATGCTAAGTAAAGAGTTCGAGGTGATATCTTAGAGATCCAACACAAGTTTTTAAACCTTGGTTTAAGGGTGAATTGGAACATAAATCTGCGCCACTTACCGTTGATTTGCATAATGTGGAACAAGAAAAAGGCAATAGAATAATTTGGCTTGCTCATCTAGTTCCAATTAATTGAGATTAGTTGGTGAAGGGTACAAAATGACATGAGCTATCCCTATTTGCACATTTCCCATTCATAGTTTTCTTGCAAGAAACAACTGAGAAGAGGAAAAGAAATCTCTCGAAATGCCACGTGATGGTGCTGCTTCTTCATCAACAGATTGCCAATCAAAGTCAAATTTTTTGAATTGTTTACCTCACACTTCTTTCCTGATATCTACTTGAGTATAGCCATTTGGCACCAATAACATGGCAATGATCAGATTCAGTCTAGTTGGTGGAGATGAAGTGGATTCTGCATTCAGCACATCTCTGAAAAGACGATGTAATGGCGGCAGTTTTCTGCGCGCTTTGGCGTTATTCAATGTGTATCGTGATGTTATACTTAGTGAGAATTAGTTAGTACGAAACATATAGGACAAAAAATGGAGCCGACTATATTAATTGAGAATGGATAATTACCCAAATCATCCATAAAGTTTGACTCAATGTGTAATGTCACTCATGAATTTTAATTTGTTAAACGTGGTTCCTGTAGTTTAACCCAATGTGCAATGTCGTCCCTACACTTTTAATTTGTTCAATTTGGTACTTGAAATTTTGGTATATGTTCGATCTAGTCCCTAAATTATATGTAAATATCCAATTTTATCTTTTCATTAATTCAAGTTCAAAGACAATATTAATCATTTTCATATAATTCAAGGACTAAATTGAACATATACCAAAAATTAAAAGACCACATCGAACAAATTAAAAGTTTGAGAACGACATTGTACATTAGACGAAAGTTCGGGGATCACATTAAACAAATTAAAAGTTCAAGAACATATTAAAACAAGTGAAAAGTTAATGGATGACATTATATATTAGATTAAAGTTCGAAGATCACGTTAAATAAATTAAAAATTTTAAAAAGGTATTACATGTTAAATTAAAGTTTAAAAATTATTTGTATCATTTTTTCCGAGCATAATGATATGTCCTAAGTACCTGTATTCGAAGGTGAAGTCCCGTCCACAAGCTAAAACTGACGTGGAGGTGGAAAAACAAAAGCGACCTCAGACTTGAAAATTCCTGGCCCCAAAAAGAAGACGTAGACGCAATAAATTTCAAGGACAGGATGCTGTGTCCAGGAACCTCCCACGTGCCAGTCGTTTAGTGGCTCCTACGATTTGCACCCATGGCAAAATCCAGTGAGGATAAGGTATGTATATATATATATAGCCGAAGCTCAACACGCTCGTCCCAGCTTTCAAGCCTCAAATCTCAGACATGGCCATTTTGAGCTCACCAGAGAAGGCCTTGTTGGCCAGCATCGGCTGTTGCAGAGAGCTCCACCGAGTTCCCTTCACCAGATCATGCAAGACCCTTCTCTTCCCGTCGCTCCGACTCTCGAATCTCGGAGTTTCCTGCTCGAATTGCCCTTCCACTGTCCTCGAGGAACCGTCTGGCGCCTCGCCTTCTACGCGATTTGACTTGCAAGCAGCGGATTCTCTGCAAGGTCCGACCACAGACTCCGAGAGTTTCAACAGATTCTTACGTGGGTTATTTGAAGCTCCTGAAACTGAGAAGTTTGCTTGCGAGTACTACGAGAAGGCGAAAGAGAGTCCAAACTTTGAGCCGGAGAAGTCGACGCTGGATGGCCTCGCCAGGTACCTGATAAGAGAAAAGAAGTGGGATTTTATTGCGGGTCTTTCTTATGATTTCATGGTCTACAATGTCTTCCCTGATAAAGTTACCTGTGCTAGACTGGTCAGTAATTGCATTGAAGCTAGGAAATTTAGAGTTGTTGACGGTATACTAGAAGTGTTAGGACCGAATAGAGAGGCCGGACTTTTCGCATTCAACACGGCAATGCGAGGTTATAACAAGCTCCATATGTATAGCAGCACGATCGTCGTGCACGAACGGATGAAATCCATAGGGGTTGCTCTGGATCCTGGATGTTATTACACGATAATGGAAGCTCACATGAAAATTGGGGATGTCACAAAAGTTGTCGAGTTGTTTCGTGAGTTTGAAAGTCGCCGATTCAGCACAACTTCCATTTCAACTCGGGTTTTCGGTGTTGTTTGTGAGTCGTTATGCAAATCCAGAAGAGCCTTTGAGGCCCTTGAGTACTTTAAGAAAATGAAAAACAGCGGAATTGCTGCCGACACCAAAATTTATACATCGTTGATATCTTCTTTTGCGAGCATAGGGGAAATAAAAGTAGCCGAACAGCTTTTTAAGGAAGCCAGTGAAGAGAAGATATTGTTGAGGGATCCGGACATGTTCCTAAAGCTTGTTTTGATGTACATAGAAGAAGGATTACTGGAGAAAACTTTTCAGGTCATCGAGGCAATGAAGGGCATGAATCTGAAAGTGTCTGATTGCATATTGTGCGCAATAGTCAACGGCTTTTCGAAGAAGCGCGGGTCCAGGGCCGCAGTTAGGGTGTATGGAAATCTCATTTCTCGGGGATGCAAGCCCGGGCAAGTGACGTATGCTTCGGTCCTAAGTGCATATTGCCGTGTCGGGCTCTACTCCCGAGCTGAGGCGCTTTTCTCGGAGATGGAAACCAAGGGGTACGACAAATGTGTTGTGGCATACTCTAGCATGGTTGCCATGTATGGCAAGAGAGGAAAAATAAGAGAAGCAATGAAATTGGTAGCGAAAATGAAAGCCAGAGGATGCAAACCGAATGTGTGGGTGTACAACACCTTAATGGAAATCCATGGGAGGGCGAAGAACTTGAGGCAGGTTGACAAAATATGGAAGGAAATGAAGAGAAAAAAGGTGGCACCTGACAAGGTTAGTTACACAAGCCTCATTGCCGCGTACAATAGGGCACGGGAGTTCGAGATGTGCATAAAATTCTACGAGGAGTTTCGGGCAAATGGGGGATCAATCGATAGAGCAATGGGTGGGATCATGGTGGGGGTTTTCTCCAAGAGCAGCCGGATCGACGAGTTGATTAGGCTTCTTCAGGACATGAAATCGGAGGGAACAGAGTTGGATGGGCGGCTTTACGGGTCGGCTTTGAATGCACTGAAAGACGCCGGCCTGCTAGTTCAAGCTAGTTGGTTCCAGGAAAGCTTCGGCATGGCCAGAGTTAGAGGAGTTCCTAGTTAAGACTATTTTACCAATTGACTGATACGATAGATTCGACCAATCGCAATTCAGGTTTGCTGTCCTCTGCATTCAACTTGTACAGTTTCATGTATCTCCCACTGGTGGATGCTCTATTCTGTGTAGTTCAATTGTAAATTAGCAGGACTCAGTTGAATTTTTTCTGGGAATATACTTGAGATGCTTACCAACAAATTGTGAGAGAAAAACCGAAAACGCTGGATCTTCTTTTTGTTTATCAATACAAATGAGAAAGTTGGTCGTGGGATTGATTTTTCCGTCAGGCGATTGATGGCTCATTATCATGAAATTGAACCTTATGTACATGTTTGAGTACTTGCAAGGAGATTTCCCTAATATCGTGGTGAGAACAGCTAGAATTTCACGAAGAAGAATATAAGATTGAGAGGAAAAGTGAAAAGGGTTGATGTATTTATTAACTGCCGGGTCCATGGTGGATCGGACTGCAGATCTTGGAGTGGCTGTACGACCCATCCTTGACCTCGTGGAGAACAAGGGTTTGGCTGAGTTAACAAAATGGTTGATCCTAGTAAAGAACATACAGAGTCCAGGACTCAACCAAGTACATATGCTTTGATTGCCGACAATGGACTTGGTTGCTAGGTCCACAATGGCAAAGTTGTCGTGTTAAGTCGAAGTCATGATCATGCCGATATATCCCGTGTTCGTATATAAGATGAACTTGAGCAGTCAAGATCAGAAACAAGTTATGGCTGTTAAACAGATTTCACACTCACAAACAGAAGCAACCATGAAAAAGGAGTAAACAGACAAGACGATATTCCGATGCAACACCAGATTATTTCATAATATTGATGAGATACGACATGATGTAATGCAAAAGCATGTGAAACTCAGGGTGGTGGACTAGGGCAAGGTTTGATGCAGAAGCAACGGCAGCAAAAGCCCCCGGCAATGCCTGCTCGGGAAGCCCTCCATCTTGCAAATGGCAACACATTTGAACTTGTGGAAGCATAGTCCCTTGAACTTGTGGCTTTGGTACTCGCAAATTCTCGCCTTCACCACGGCCACCATTGGCTCCATCTCTGTACATACCAAAATTAAAAATGGGTGTCAGTCTACAAATGATTTGATTAATCAAAATTCTCTCATGGAAAATGAGTTGATAAATCATGCTCAGAATTATCTAGCAGCATTCCAATCCATTTCGTTGAGCCCTTCATTTTTTAAGTTCACTTCCATTTGATCGTTTTAGACAGGACTGCTTTATCCTTTTGATCTGTATTTCATGTATCTCTGAGCTTGGTTCTCCCCATACCAACCGCTGTAGTTCAATTACAGACGTTCACACAGCAAACATTTCTTCTCTTTTCTTTACGTTGTTTCAAATGGAACATCTCACCTTCTTTAACATATCTCCTACCTACTTCCAGCTCCTCAGGTCCCAAGCATCTTCACAGTCAAGTCATGTATATAAAGAGCTTATATTGATTTGTCCCACTTTTCTATTGTCCAAAGTTCTCACTACAAAAATACTCATAAATATTATGTAAAATACATGTTACAAACACTTCCGTTTACGATATATTCTCTGAATTTACGCAAGAATACTCGTCCTCTTATCTAAGTCATATTTACTTATGAAAGCTAGTCGATGAGATGGCTCTGCATGAACCCCGGCATCGCTCTCCTTGCAAAGAAACAAGCTACTGCATTTCACACCAACCTGACGAGGATCAACAACAATTAAATTAGAACAATGCCGAAGGCAAATTTGCTACTTCTCTTTTAGTGATGAGTAATTAATGATCCATCCCGAAGATCTACGGCTTTGAAAACAGCGATTCTCTCAATTAATTGATAGTTGCAATTGAGTCTTGAACGATCTCGAAGGCTGGAAATTCCAATTAAGTTAAACATTGTAGTAGGTTCAATTAAGTGCGATGAATGAAGAACAGTAGCCGAGAAGCTTTTCTAGGAAGCTGAGTAAAGAGAAGATATTGTTGAGGGATCCGGACACATGTTCCTAAAGCTTGTTTTGATGTACATAGAAGAAGGATTACTGGAGAAATTCTTTTTGGGTCATCCAGGCAATGAAGGGCACGAATCTGAAAGTGTCTGATTGCATATTGTGCACATTAGGCAACGGCTTTTCGAAGAAGCGCGGGTCTTGGGCTGCGATTAGGGTGTACGGAAATCTCATCTCTCGGGGATGCAAGCCTGGGCAAGTGACATTCCCTTCGGTCATAAGTGGGTCCTGCCGCCTCAAGCTCTACTCCCGAACTGAGGCGCTTTTCTAGGAGTTGGAAACCGAGGGGTATGAAAAGTGTGTCGTGGCGTACTCTAACATGGTTGCCATGTATGGCAAGAGGGGGAAAATAAGAGAAGCAATGAAATTGGTGGCGAAAATAAAAGCCAGAGGATGCAAGCCGAATGTGTGGGTGTACAATGCCTCGATGGAAATCCACGAGAGGGCAAAGAACTTGAGGCAGGTTGAGAAAATATGTAAGGAAATGAAGAGAATGAAGGTGGCAACCAACAAGGTGAGTTACACGAGCCTCATCGCCGCATACAATGCGCGGGAATTCGAGACGTGCATAAGATTTTACTAAGAGTTTCGGGCGAATGGGGGCGCGATTCATGGGGCGATGGACGGGATCTTGGTCAGGGTTTTCTCTAAGAGCAGCCATTGGTTAGGCTTCTTCAGGACGAAGGGGTGGCTTTGAATGCGCTGAGAGACGCAGGCCTACTAGTTCAAGCTAGGTGGTTCCAGGAAAGCTTTGGCATGGCCCGAGTAATAGGAGTTCCCAGTTAATACTATTTTAGAGATTGAACTGATGTGATAGATCCGACTGATCACATTCGGTTTGGTGTCCTCTTCATGTATTGCCCACTGGTGGATGCTCAATTCTTGGTAGTCCACCTTTATATTAGCAGCAGGGAAAATGACATAAACAGTCCCTGAACTTTGGCTTAATGTGTAATTCGGTCCCTGAACTTTTAATTTGTTCAATATAGTCCATAAACTTTAATCAAATGTTCAATGTTGTCCCTAAACTTTTGGTACATGTTCAATTTAGTCCCTAAACTATATAAAAATATTCAATATAGTCCTTTCATTAATTCAAGTTCAGGGACTATATTGTACATTTTCATATAGTTCAGGGATTAAATTGAACATGTACCAAAAGTTCAGGGACCACATTGAATAAATTAAAAGAACTACATTGAACATCAGGTTAAAGTTCAGGGACTACATTGAGCAAATTAAAAGTTTAGGGACCAAATTACATATTAGGTCAAAGTTCAGGAACTATTTATGTCATTATCCCTTAACAGTACTCAGTTAAAATCTTTGTGGGAATATACTCAAGATGCTTACCGACAAAAGCGGCTGTTGTGAGAGGAAAATTGAAAATGGCGGATCTTCTTTTTGCTTTTCAGTACAAATGAGAAAGTGTTTTGTCGGATTGAGTGAATTTTCCTCATATATGCATATTTTTCTTTTTCTGTAGCGAAAGAGCACCTGCACATTCTCCACTAGCTTTCTGGGGGTACAATCTGCAGAAGCAACTCCTTTCATTTTGAGTTCAATTACACTTATTAGGCTAAGAGACTATAGTTTTTAAATTTGAACTGTGAATTTTGTCATTCTGTTCTGAGGTGATTCAGATTGAGCTACTTGAAATTCTCATCAAATTAAGGGCATCTTCTTTTGGAAATCCTAGCTATTCTTAGCACAATATTAGGGAAATCTCTAATTGCTTGTGCTCAAACAAGCACAGCTTCGATTACAGCATAACGAGCCATCAATCGCCCGACTTTGGAAAACAAGAATTCGAATGTGGGGATAAACCGGAGATGTATGCTAATACTAATCCAAACCAAGGAAGAATATGAGATCGAGAGGCAAAGTAACCAGGGTTGATATATTTATTAACTTCCGTTTCCATGATGGATCGGACTGAAAATCTTGGAATGACTGTACAACCCATCCTCGACCTCGTGGAGATTAAAGGGTCTGCATAAGTTAACAAAATAGTTGATCGTAGTGAAGAAAATACAGAGTCCAGGACTCAAACAAACAAGTATATAGTTGCTAGGGCCATGATGGCAAAGTTATCGTGTCAAGTTGAAGTCATGATCACGCCGATGTATCCCGTGATAGTATATAAGATGAACATGAGCTGCCAAGATCAGAAACAAGTAATGGCTCATAAACAGATTTCACACTCTCAAACAGAAGCGACCATGAAAATAAGAGCAAACAGCCAAAGGAAGATTACATCCGCAACCACACAGTGACATTCACCAGATTATTCAAAAGATTGGTGAGATAAGATAAGATGTAATTCAAAAGCGCATTCAGAGCGCACTCTAGCAATTTTTGGTGCAGAAGCAACGGCGACGAAAGCCCCGGCAATGCCCGCTGTGGAAGCCCTCTGTCTGGCAAACAGCAGCGCAGTTGCTCGCCTGCACGCATGTCCCCTTGAACCGGTGGCTTTGGGACTCGCAAGTTCTCGCCTCAACCACCATCGGCTCCATCTCTGCTCATACCAAAATCGAGGTGAAAGAAAAAAGGTCGAGTTAGTAAAAATTCTCTCACAGAAAATGAGTCAACAAATCATGCTCAGACTCATCTATAAGTTATCCAATCCATTTCGTTGAGCCCTTCATATCATAAGTTCACTACCATTCGAATGTCTTGTGTGATTCTAGTGAAGTGTGCGTATCGTAAGGGCCAACATTTTAAGACGTATTATTTATTTGAACCATGAAACACATGCGCATGCATATGTGTGCTGTCGGATGAGGAAGGACCAGTTGCCACGAGCAGCAGCACCACAATAAAAGCAGCTGGAATCATTCGCTTCGAGAAATCCATTGAGAGAGAGAGAGAGAGAGAGAGAGAGAGAGAGAGAGAGAGAGAGAGAGAGAGAGAGAGAGAGAGAGATGGATGGAGGATTGGGCACGGCATGAAAGGTCATTTATAGGTGAGTGAGGTGGTGAGCATAAGCTTATCGTCCACGAGGCAAACCTGTGGGTTTGGAGTCACGGAACGATCGAGAAAGAGAGAGAGAGGGAGAACTTGCATGGATCCCAATAGATCAACGGTCCAAATTCAGTTTAATTCTGTGACATCTCTAGATTAACTCAATATATTGTTCACTCTGGCCTGTCCCATACCGAACCTCGTAATCGTCAATGATTTTCCATCTTGCTATAGTATTGAACAGTATTATTACAGTGATGAACAGTACTGAACAGTGACTGTTAGAGTACTTTGCTATAATGTTTTGGCGTATAGGTGGGTACCTTTCTAGGAAGTCACTCATTCTAGGAGTGCTCTCATCTGAGCATGTTTCCAAAGTTAAGTATTGTCATTACGTCAAAAGGCATCTCCTTGAATTAATTCTAATTTTCACATATATATTGCTCTCTTCCTATTCAATTCACAGTTCGGTTTATTCCTGCCATCTTCGCCATCTTAGGGTGCGCATGAATACCATTCTGTGCCCGGAAACTATTTCTGAACAGAAATGATTTTTTTTTATTCTGTGCCCGGAAATAATTTCTGAGTATTTGAAGGCGTTTGATAAACTGTCCAAAATTTCTATTCCTAGAGTAGAAAAGAACAGAAATGCGTTTGGTAATTACACAAAATTTCTGTTCCTAAATAATATTTTAATAATATTTTGAATTGTTTAATTTTTTTTTCTTTCTATCTATTTTCTTCTTTGGCCATGGCCGGTCGCTAGCGACCGGCCATAGCCGTGGCCGGCGAGGGCGTCACGGCCCTCGCCGGCCGCCGGCGGAGGCGAGGGTCGCCCTCGCCGGCGGAGGCGAGGGCGAGGGCCGGACCCTCGCCCGGGCGAGGCCGCCTCGCCCCAGACGGAGAGGCCGAGCCTCGCTGTCGGTCGTGACGGCGAGGTCGGCCTCGCCCGCAGACGGCGAGGCTTGGCCTCGCCCAGATCCGGCGAGGCCGAGCCTCGCCGTCGCGACCCACGGCAAGCCGACCTCGCCGTGGGTCGCGACGGCGAGGTCGGCCTCGCCCAGAGATCGCGAGGCCAGCCTCACCCAGATCGGGCGAGGCCGAGCCTCGCCGTCGCGACCCACGGCGGCCGACCTTGCCGTGGGTCGCGACGGCGAGGCTCGGCCTCGCCTGCATCCGGAGAGGCCGAGCCTCGTCGTCGCGACCCACGGCGAGGCCGACCTCGCCGTCGCGACCCACGGCGAGGCTTGGCCTCGCCCGATCCGGGTGAGGCGGCCTCTCCCAGCGGCGAGGGTCTAGCCCTCGCCCTCGCCGGCGAGGGCGACCCTCGCCTCCGCCGGCAGCCGGCGAGGGCCGTGACGCCCTCGTCGGCCCTGGGCTGTGGCCGGCCGCCGGCCCGGCCTAGGGAAGAACAACACAAAAAGAAGAAAAGAAAAAAAAGAAAAAGAAGAAAAAAAACTGATTCTCAAAATTGTGCCGAGAAACAAGAAGCAACTTTTTTTTACTTCTTGTTTCTCTTTCAAAACTGTTTCTCGGCACAAATATTTGCAAAAATGTGCCCAGGAACAAAAAGTTTACCAAACGCATTTCTGTTTCCAAACTATTTCTGGGAACAAAAGAACAGAAATTTTCACTATTTGACACGTTACCAAACGGGCCCTTAGAAGCCTATCAAGAACCGCTCTTTGTCCAATTACTTTAGTCTCGGCAACTACTTCTCGCCCTCGTCAAACTGAGTTGTTACAAATTCATCGTCATTTACCGACAAAAAGAAGAAAATGGGTAAGCTTATGGAGCCATCATCACTCGTCGGCAAAGCGCAAACCCCACTTTAAACAGGATTGCTTTATCTTTTTTGACATATCTTTGGTGGATCCCATCTTCGTTGTCCCCAGATACCAACCTTTCTAATAAATCTACCCACGTTCACACGACGCGCCTCTCTCTTTTCTTTTCCCACCTTTCTTTCCGACGGATCGCGTCAAATCTTTCTTTAACACATCTCATCCCAACTCTTTTCAAAAAGATCCAGCTCCAACAGGTCCCCCATCGTCTTCACACGATCACATCATGTTTATAAAGAGATCCTACTGATTTGTCCCGCTGTTCTATCATCTAAAGATCCCACTACAAAAGTACCCATCATCTTTACGTACAATACGCGTTACGAACACTCCCGTTTACAATATGCTTTCTACATGTACATGTACATGTATGAAAGAATGCTCGTTCTTCTTTTTACAAGTAAGTTATATTTACGCAAGAAAACTAGTCGACGAGATGGATCTCCATAAACCGCAGCATTGGCCTCCTTTCAATGAAAACAAGCTACTGCATTCAGTGCATAGTTCACCAACCTCACGAATTTGACAGTAATCAACTTGGAACGACTCCGAAAACAAAATAGGAACTTCTGTGTCGGTGATGGTATGTAATTTATTAGCCAGAACCTTTCAAAGGAAAAGTTCCGTAGACCTATGGCTTTGAAAAACACCCGTCTTAATTGATGGCTTGTTAGTGATTAGCCTTGAACAATCTCAAAGGCGGGAAATTCCAATCAAACTAATCATTGTAGTAGAGAAATGATAACTATCATCAATGAAGTAATGGCACCGTTGGTCACGAGCTTTTGTCGAATGTGTGATATCTTTTGAACTTGGTTCGCAAGTTAGGTTTATAAACTTTGGTTCAATATTTAATGTCGACTATAAACTTTCACTTAGTTAGGGTTACGAACAATGTCAAAATGTCTAATGTCGTATTTTCGTTAAAGAGAGGGTTACCGACAATGTCCCTATCTCAAGCTTTCAGTCAAGTTCGCGTGACAATAAAGGAAATGCCTCGAAGAGATTGATTGAATTCTCCATATATTGCTGGTAGAGAAATCTAGAGCCGCTCTCCTTGTTCCTCTTAAAGAGGGTTGAATGGATGAGAAAGTGACCGACCAAAGGAAAATCATCTTGTTTAAAATGACTATCGCATGTTGAAAAGGAACGCATATATCTTCTCTTTTCTTTTTTATAATTTTACATGAATGTTAATCTTACTAGTCTACGTGTATAATTTGTTTTATCCAAGCTTGGTTTCCCTATATTGGTGTCTATTTCGGAAACTTCTACTAGCGTTGATAAATGAAAGGATGACATTGAACTTTAAACGAAAATGCGGGAAGTTAATTGAGCCAATTATAAGTTCAAGGATAATAATACACATCGAACGAAAATTTAAAGACCGAATTGAACCAATTGATAGTTCAAAAAGAAATTCCATGTACGAGAATTCAATGACTAATAATTCATCACGTCATTAACTTAATGCTCGCATTATTAATCAACTTAAGAAATGGGAATTACTGTAGCTTTTTGAGACTCTCCTCTTAAAGAACATTACTAAAAGATAGTTTATAACGTGCATAGATGGACAATCCTTCCTTTCCAGTTATATAAATTTTTTTATATTTATTTTCTATTTTTTGTTGGAAAAGTTAAAAAGTACCCGATCCAAAACAAATGGAGGATTTCGAGGAAAAAAAAAACAAATGGAGGATGTTATACCAAAAAATTCTACTGTCCCGCAACTGAGAAAAAATCTCAAAAATTTGTTGGAGACAAAACTCGGGACAAACACTCCGTTTGTTTCAAAGAAAGCGAAATTCGCCGGAAGATATTTTTGAAAAAAAAATTATTTGCAAAGAAAATGATTATATGGAAGTCATTTTATTATATTTGTTTTGGAACAATTATGAAAAACACGTTTGAAAAAAAATTCCAAGCACAACCCAAGTCCCAGGTTCGGGTCCTAGAGTTCCGGGCCCTGGCGTCAAGGACCTTGACTCGGGCATGGTCGCCAAGGACCCGAGCTTGGCTTCAAGGTCCAAAGCATGAGCACCAAGGACCTAGCACAACCGCCAAGGTCTAGGGGACAATTGTCAGGAGCACAACCTCGGAGGACCCGAGCCCAACCTTGGGGCTCCCAAACTCGGTTGCTAGGAGGACTGCCCTGGTCCCAAGGGACACAAGTCCAAGCGCTAGGATCCGAAGTCCAAGTATCGTGATCTAATCATATTTTTAAAATTGATTTCAAATTTTTAAAAGAGAAAATTATTTTCCTGAATTTAAGCATAAAACTGATCATGAGAGAATTTTCCATTCAACGATGCAAAAATCGAAAAATGAGGAGGTTTTCCAATAGTAAATTTACTCGAAACAAATGGACTCTCGAACGAAGCATTTTCTTATTTATCCAACAGTTATATTGCTATTCGACCAAAAAAAAAAACAGTTATATTGCTATCATAATAATCGCAACATGCAATGCAGGACCTTTGATTTTCCACTACGAAATCAGTGGACGCTAGAAATCCTTTCAAGATCGCCGTTTCACTTGATAAAGGGTGACTGATTCTTGTCAATACATCAACCTTGAAGATTGCCAAGCTCAACAGAGCACCAAAACACGGCCTTAATTATTAAGTCATCAATGCCCCTCACTATAGCAGATAGTTATAAGTCACAATACGCATTTACATGCTGGCAGACAAATGAACATACAGCTACTCGATAGAAGCCACAAGAAATAATGGAAGGTTCAGCGCCTTCCCGATGCCACTGATTCAGCAGAGAAGAGGTACTTCACTCTCGAAAGCACTGAATCATGAGTAGGGTCATAAGGATGATCCTTTGAAGGGATCTCCAGAATTGCTGGAACTGGCTTATTGTAGCTATCAACTAGAAACCTTATCATGTTTGCAACCTGAAAGCCAGAGATATCGTCAACAATTAGAAGTATGTCACCATATGTTCTTATTATGAAGAGGAATAATAACCCATTTGTATTGATCAGAAAGGCCTATGCAGCAATAATCAGCAAACACAGGACCAATATTGTTAATATTGTTTCTGCGACTGTCCAAAATATTTGGATTGGACCGAAAAGAATCTTGAAGTTGATTATTATTGGTACCCATAAGACACTCTTATTTTGTTAATGCTGAGGGCTGGATGACTAGATTAATACAAGGCCATATGATCTTGTATAAGCGACCAACGCTTACTACTCATGTACGTGTACAGAAATTATCAGGGTTGCTGATCACTAATTTAACAGATCAACAACTCCTGTTTACTATGTGGAGAAATGACCAACCAAAGGCAGTACCCTCCCAAGTGTGAGAAACAACATATGATTGAAGCACTTGATCCTTTATTTATCAGGAAAAGCAGCCCATTTAATCTACAGTTCAAGCATGAAAAAGAACTCACATATTGACTGATCAAAACAATAGCGATATCCTCCCTTGATGTGAACTCCTTGAAGGTATCTTCAATAGCTTTCACAGTTGTTTCTAAGAAGAACCACAAAAAAACACCATTAAAGAGGCAAGCATCAGCTATCTTAGAATTCTGCGACCCATGTTGCTTAAAGTAATAGTGCAATCAGAAAATGAACAAGGGCCTTAAGTTACAAACACTAACATCACAAGAAGAAATGAGAAGACCATCTGCATCTAAGAATTAGCAAGAGACCATAACAGTTTTTAATATCAAAGAACTTGTCATGAAACAAGCAAGCTATTCAGAAGAATTTCAAACCATATTTAAATTAGCTAAAATATTAGCAGGCCTACAAGCGATCTGAGAAATAAGGGGGTTATGCCACAATACTATGGAAGATAATTGCAGCGCAAGAACTTGTGAAGGACAAAGATATCAATAAATGAATGTCATTATAAAATCAATTGTACAGCAAATAATGATAATGTAAGGAGGACAGAATCATACTTGAGTCAACGATGAGATAGTTTGTCTTCCTCCTTAAGTCAACATTACCAACACCAGCCAGTAAAAACCCAGTGACAGTGTCCTACACAATATATTTGCATCATTCAAGAATTTTCAGATCAAAATTATCTCTGGTCAACTAGCCAGCATTACGTTGCATTGATTTGTTGCAACTAAAGTGCATACATGTACATTGCCAAGATAAGGATCTACAATGGTAAAAACAGTCTCATTTCTGATAGCTAAAATTGCCAAGAAAACTTCTCGTTCTAAAATTTGAATAATACATCTCAAAGCAGTTTCAATACTGTGATTCACATAGCAGACCATGGATAATTTGAGAGTAATTCTCAAGCACTTCAGAAAATGCCATCATTACATAAGTTATGCATGGCTATTTCATGTCCCACTCAACCAAAGAATGACCCATGCAAAAAACATTTGCAAGCCGATAGAATCTCATCAGGTAGATTTCCTGCAAAAGGACATACGGCCTTCAAGAAAGAAAATTGATTGCTCAAGATACTAGAAAAACGAAGCCAGGCATCTCCCAAAGGTAGAACCACCCATTTGAGTGCTTCTAATGCTATATCTTTTATCAAATCCCACTCCACCAAAAGTCAGCATCGTTTTTTATCCGAAGGTGCCTATTTCACTTCAACCCACTTGTTCAAATAGTACAACCATAAAAAAAAAAAAAAAAGGCCTGCCTCCGGCTTCAAAATTGCCTCAAAAAAATTATTCAGAGCCAATAAGAGAATGATCCAATACTTAGAGGAACTTCTCACAGTCCACATCATCATCAATTCATTTCAGTATTTTATCTGTAAATAGGATTGCAGTATATTCCCAAAAGTATCTGAAATCATGACCCACGATCTCGCCGCCTATGTTTCTTCAGATGATGAAGTTTCTTGGTCACATTTCTAGTCAAAAGAAGTCCTCGCACTTAGGAATCCTACATGAGGAATGATATTTAACCAGAAAAACTCAGATCATATCTATGCATCCATACCTCATCAGCAATCATGGCGATGAGCGCCGAACTTTTAGCCGCGATAGGGGTCCTTCCAGCCATTTGAAGTCGAATATTAAATACCCGCAACCGGTCGGCACAAACTGGGAGAAATTATACAACGAACGGTCAAATTAAAACCCGGGCAATTCTCTCTTCTGACAAACAAGACATTCAACTTCAGCACTCTCGAAATTTCCCCACGAAAGACACCGGCACATACATTTGTTTACGTCAAGCGATGGGAAGCAAAAAAAGCCGTCTTGATACAGAGATCTCACACCCTTTATGTCCAGATAACTCCTAATCATAGCCACTACCAGAATTCGGGAAACTGAGCCCTAAATCAAGAACATTTCCATCAAAATACCTACTTTCTTGCTCTCCCGTCACCGGAATTTTCAGCGGAACGAACCCAATTTGCACTGGAGAATATAGAGAGAGAGAGATCTAAATCAACGCCAGCCTATCCCTAATCACACGGAATTCAATCACCAATTGCATTGCCCGGGGCATCTCTCGCTTCGCGATCAATCGACGAATCACGAAAAACCAGATCTCGGATACGAAATCCGAACCATCAAAAGGATCATCGGAGCGGGGAGAAGAAAATGTCAGCTGAAAATCATCTCAGAGCAAGTTGATCGATCCGAACCTGTAAGCTAGATCGCTGAAGCTCCGAGCTCTTTCCTCGCCGTGAATTGACAGGGTAGAGATCCTGACCAGAGAGACCCGAGGGACCGATCTTGGGGAAATTTGGACTTTTTCGAGGTCTGGGCACCAAATATGAATATCTTCATAAAATTATGCTGTAATATTTTTGATATATTCCGGGGATTAAATTAAATTTGCTTGCGTAATAAAATTATGCATACTTTAATTATAAACATTATGCGTACTTTATTAATGTTATTCACGAAATGAGATGTGTTTTTCGTTATTATTGTATCGTCAATTACATGGTTAGTTTCACTGCATGATTCAAAAGAGATAAAAGTTGAGAAATGAGAAATCAATGAACTAAATTTATTGGTCGAGTATGTGCCACGCGATAAATGTATACCCCGCATGCGTCAAGTGACCAGGAATGATCGGTTCTCGGGTGGTCCAATTCCCATCTAAGAATTGGGAAGTGGACCGAACCGAACTTATCGGTCCGATTCCTATGTGTGCCAATGGAACCGGTGGCATTTTTATTTTGTAGAGTTTCTTGACCTCATATATTAATCCCGCTACTCTTGTGATGCATATAGGTAACAGCTACACGGTTTATACCGAACAACATTCAATCCAAACACCAAGCATAAGAATACTTCCCAAATTTGTACACGAATTATATTCGGTCCGATTTAGGAGGTGGTTTTACACATGGAATCGAGAACCGGACAGGTGCCCTCGGGAACCGCCCAATACTGGCCGGTTCGGTTCAGTCCTGGCGGTTCCTTTTGCACATCCCAAATACGCACAAGAGGTAACGTGACAATTAACCAAATTGTCCATGAACTTTAACCTAGTATGCAATATCGTCTATGAATTTTTAATTTGTTTAATGTGGTCCTTGAACTTTTGATAAATTTTTAATCTAGTCCCTATAATATATAAAATTTCTAGATACTTGAATTAATAGAAAGATAACATTTGATATTTTCATTAAATTTAGAACTAGATTGAGCCTTTACCAAAAGTTCAGGGACGGCATTACACATTGAGCTAAAGTTCATTAATCACGTTGAATAAATTAAAAGTACATTGCTCGTTAAGTCAAAGTTCAAGGACTATATATATGTTATTTTCCTAATGTTAATTGACACGTGATAAACACATGCATTAGAAATCGAAGTAGGTTTACTTTCTATAGATTGGACCTATGGACAAGAGCCAAGTAACTGCAGAAGCCATGTAATGTAACATTGCGCTTGGTGTTTTCAGAGAAAATTGTCAAAAAGTCATTAACATATTATTTGATGACCAAATCAACATAAACTCTCTAATTTAGCCAATTTAGCCAGAAACTTTTTGACGATTTTCTAATGTATTGCATCCAACCAATTTAAGCTGGAGATCACTAACGTAATAATTTTTTTTTTATTTTTTCTGCTTTTCTTTCTCTTTTTTTATTCGACTATTCATCGCCTGGCCTTGGCAATGGTCAGAGGAGGCCTTGGCCACAAGCGAGGGTTGCCCTTGCCAGCCACCCCTCTCCCAAATTTGGCAAGAGTGTCGCAGGGCCCTCACCTGTGGCCAACAACTGGTGGAGGTAAAAGATGAATAGTAGAATAGGAAAGAAAGAAATAAGAGAAAGGAAAGGAAAAAATAATTTAGAAAGTTCTAAAAAGTTGTAAAAATCGTCAACGCCAGTGCCGGCCATGCAAGATTGCCAACACTGATTGGACCACTATATTAGCGATTTTCGATCTAAATTGGCCAAATGTACTTCATTAGAAAATCGTTAGAAGATTTAAAACTAAATTGGCTGAATTGAAAAGTTACAAATTAAATCGATCGCTATACAATAAATTTAAAAGTTTTTGAACAATTCTCCGTAAAGTTCCTATTGAACTCTTTTCACATGAATAATGAGTGCAAGTAGTCCTCAGGTGAGATTGGCAAGTGTTTCCGAAGTTTACCAATAGCCTGGAAATAGAGTACTAGAAACTACGCTTCCAAATAACCGCAGAAAATAAAAAAATATTATAATTTTAAATGACCTGTGATGTATAAGACTACTCTAGTTATAGCAAATATTTTTGTTATTAGTAATGCTTAAGCGCATATCATAATGTGGGTAGACTTCTTAGCTTGTACATGGACTCCCTGCTTTTAGATTTCCTTGTTAGGACGGGTAAATAGATAGCATGAACCCAACTCACCACAAATTTTGCTCCTGAGTGCCCTTCGATGAGAATTGGAACTCAAAACAATCAGAAAGAGATTTCAAACGCCAAAAAGGAGATCCGATAAAACCGCCCGCGCATACATACAATTGAGATTCTATTGCATCTGCGATGAAATGCTGTCGCAATGCATTTAACTTGGACAGTTACACATTCAAAATGAAATCTACGGGTCCCTTGAAAACAGACAATGGTTTGGGGGAGGGAATAGACAGTGGACCAAATATGACGATATAGACATGTATCAGAAGTTCTTCAATCATTTCCAGCGGATCAAACCATCCCAAAAAGGTACTGCACGAGTATCATTCCCAAGTGAGAGAGATCATAGAATTTGCAAGCCCAGACTCCTGGAAGGTTAACTTGCTGTCATAGTCCAGACTTTTTGAAGCCCCAGGAATTGCTTGCGCCAAGCGAAATGGTCTACTTTCAGCCTCTTCCAGTTGAGAACAGCAGAATGACCACAGAAGCTGCAGAAAAATTATGTGAATAACCATTTTGTCCCACTAAGTGTGTGTGCACTGCGAAATTCCAAGCAGAAGAGTCTATGCCAACTAACCAAGGCTTACAAGCATAAACAGAAAGGGTTTCAAGGCATTATGCAAGAAATCTAGCATTTTTTTCTAAGATAATAGAAGTTCTGATCAACCTGTATTGGATCAGTACGGAGAAAATTCCGCTGGACCCTACGTCCATCGGGAAGACGGACTCCAACCCGGCAAAGGAGGCTTCTATCACCGTTAGGTTCCTCGGGAAGAGGCGGATAGGCAGGTATCTTCCTTGTGAATGCCTCTTCTTCCTTGCTGGTATTAGTTTTGTCATATTCACTAGTTGTCTTAATTGGCTCGTCTACATTTTCCAAGGAAGCTGCCAATGCAGCCTGTAGTTCCTCGTCTTCTTCCTTGGGCATTTCATCTGCATCAACCCAGGCATCTGAAATTACATATATAATGGCAGACAAAGGGTATGCACGCACAACACTCCAGCAGACAGAGCCACCGATCTTTTTATTTTCATACCATCTAAAGATGCAGCACCATACATCATAACAGGAACTCAATACGTTATACAGAAATATGACATACCCTTAAGTTTCTGTGGAGGAGTCGCAGACTTTTCTCTGGGACGTTTATGTGATGAACTTACATGATGATCCTTGGGGCCACCTTCCAGGAAGAGTAACAAATTCTGCAGTAAAATTTACTTTCTGGAATGAAAACTGCAACTATTATAATAAAATGTCTAAGTGCTTGTATACTCATGTTATATGCTGCTACGACATTAACATTCATTGTTTATTTAAATGCAAGTGTATTGGGTAACACCTGCTGTGATAGGTACCTCAAGCAAGCTCTCAGGTTGAATCATTCCAGTCCAAGACCGCATCTTTTGGCCAGTGATGGGGTCAATAACAAGCACTACAGGGATCGAATCCAGTCTGTAATAGGTGCAGACCTTCTGGCCCTCACTCGTGTCATCATATACCTAATATAAGTTAGAGTCAGCTGAGCAATTTATCATTTAACATTAACTTCATCTGTTGGTCATTATATATGAACACACATTGAAGAGAGCACTCTTGATGACTAATCAAAACTGAAATCTAAAAAAAGAGAGCTCCACTGTCTGCTATCATCAAAGGCACTCCTTGTGATTGTATGTGAAAGGGAGCACATTTGAATATAGCCTTAGATTATCACATTACTTAATTGAAAAAGAAAAGGGAGGAAAATAAAGTGAAGGGAATGAAAATTCGAAAAGAAAGTACTTGCTTCGCTTGAAGGTGGGGAGGGGATTTAAATTGGGACAAAATACACTTGAGAAGTAAAAAGGGGACCTCATTTCACTGTCAAAGCACTGCTAAGTGCTATGTTATTCGTTCTATTTTCAAACTATTCTTATGTCATTCATTCATGTATTAGCATCGTGAAGTGGTCAACTAGTAGAATGGTTGGATCTCTAGATATTTTCATAGATCAGCCCACTTATAAAATGTGTCTGCACTCTGAAAGATAAATCCATATTCTACACTCTTACTTTCTTCGGACTAAGATTTTTCCGAATAATCTCTCATTCCAGCAAACAATGTGAAGAGGCACATTCCAGACAATAATATCTGACTCACTCATCTATCTACTGTCTTTTTGGCATGCATCCATCTACTGTCTACACATACACATAAACACACAAATCTGGATTAAAAAATGGCATAATGCCTTTAGGAAGTCCCTAGTTTATGCAATTGTTTGAAGACCAGCTAACCAGGTCCTCCTACAACAATATGATAATTCCATCGAGGAATGAGGACACAAAAAGAAACTCTTTGAAATAAGCAGGCCTTGCTACCAACAGAAGGCCTTAGGTAGTGTTATAGAAGCCAGCAACTCTGAAGCATGACAAAGCACATGGACAGAACTTGGAACAGCATAAAAAGAGCTGATCTGAAGAAAGAGCATGTGCTATTATTTAATCTAAAAATAGTTTGAAGCACTCATGATTCAGATATCAAATAAATTGATAAAGTTGGGCCACTATAAGAGAGAATAATAAAGATCCAGCCAGAAGCACACCTGCCAGAAGATAAAATTAGTGCTGATAGTTTGTGAGACGGCTTCATTTGCCCATGTATCCCGATTCAGCTTCAAGAGAAAATAAACAAAAACAGATAAGAATTAGCATTCTCAAAGACTCCAGGGAGATAAAGCAATAAAGCAGAGAGGGCAAGAGAGAGAGAGAGAGAGAGAGAGAGAGAGAGAGAGAGAGAATACGCTACCATATGCGAGCTGAACTCCTTGGTGGATTGCAAGTTTACTAGAAGCCACTTGTCTTGTAGTGAAGCTGCCGCTTTAGCCTGTTTACATTCATATTTATTAAAATCAGTTAAATAAGAAACAGCAAATGGTTAACCAAAAACAAAAGTACCAGCCAATAAAGTCCTGCAACTACACATCTCCCTACACACGCTAAGCTCATATCATTGATGAAAGGGAAAATTATACTCAATATCCTCTATAATTTATGCTTTTCATTCCCTGTTTTTACGGATAACAGTTCCTATTGTCAAGTTTATCTCCATAACACTTTCCCATCTCCCTCTCTCTCTCTCTCTCTCTCTCTCTCTCTCTCTCTCTCACACACACACACACACACACACACACACACACACACACACCCCCCCCCCCCCCCCCAAAAAGAGCGCGCGCATAATATTTCGGTACAAATAATTCTAGTAAATTAAAGGAAAGGGGACAGTAGATAATTCCCTTTTTCATATAACGAAACACTAACAAAGTTATCTTGACAATGTGTACTTCTAAAAACAAAAGATGAGTGGTGTAACCATAATAATCTATGATGCAAACCACAATGTCTGCTAATAGAAAAGAATGAGAACCTTATATTGGTTTGATCTCCAATCTACACTTACAAAGGAATAAATTTCAACTGCAGGATGAGCTATTCATCTACTCTGTTTGATACTCTCCTAGTTATGTAATATAATGTAAAAACACTACAAGGTAGCTAATTCCTCTTAGCGCGTGCATTCTCCTTATCAGTTAAAGATTATCAAAGTTGTCCCCAAGATGGTGCTAATCATCGTGGGACCAACTCTGAAAACTTCAGATTGGAGAAAACAACAGGAAAAAATTCAAATTCACCTAATCATTAAAAAATCAAACAAAAGATCAGGATGTATTAAATTTCCAGGGGATAAAACATCAAACATATGCATGCAATGATGTGATAATGTCCTCTTGATGCACTTCATGATGATGAATAAAGTAATGTTGAATTATTATGCAGCCTCAAAAAGTTATTTCCTCAAAAAATCACCTCGAAGATTAATAGTGGAGCTCACATGAGCCGTCAATTCTTGATTCAAATACCATCCACCGCCTATGCAGTAGTGAACAGTCAAGCTCACCTGAGCCCAGGCAACTTTGCCGCCAATTAATTGTGGCGGCACTGAGCTCATACGGTGGTACTCTTGTTCCAGATCCCGTCAGTTGTCGATTCAAATACCAGCCATCGTCAATGCCATAGTGATCAGTCAAGCTCACCCGAGCGCAAGCGACTTTGCTGCCAATCAATTGTGGCGTCAAGTCCACTGAGCTCATGCGGTGGTTCTCTCTCTCTCTCTCTGTAAAAATAGTCCCTAGAATCCTCCTCTATTTTTTCCCAAAGCTGATATCCTTTGGTTAAATAAATCTGGTGAAAACAAATCTATTTCAATCTCACATTTGCAGGTCAGTTCATTTGTTTGCGGGTTCAACCTGGACCGACCCCTAGAGATGCTTATTTTTAGTACCCGAAGCACGAAGTCACTCAACCCATCGGGAACAGAGAAAACTTGTTCGAACTGATCGGTCTGGGCGTGGTTTTGGGCCCTCCGGATATTTTTCTTAACACCCATTTTCACAAGTAACAATACTACTAAATAGACTTGAAACCTCATGATCTGGCACTCAGATTCCGGTGCCAGGAAGAGTACCCTTAGTATAAGAACATGTCATACCAATTACACCATTGCTAATGGAAATGTTCGTCACATCAGTTCATAAAAGTTTACATACTTAGTTGTTCGGAAATAGCCACTGTACAATCAACTACAGCTTTAATCACTCAAGCCCCACTTTGGCAAGTTGCAAAACATTATAACTCCAAAAGTCGCAATAACTATGAAATCCGTACTTTCCATTCAACCTCATCAAAATACCAAACTGTATAAGGCAATATACCAGAGAGCTTTCACATATGCACACAAGGAATGTTTTTTTCAAAGACCATTCAACATGAAAAGAAACGAGTACACTCCAGATAGAGTGTGAATTAATTGCACGCAAATTGTAAGAGTGAGTTCAGGCCAACTACCTTCTCAAAGGATCCGCGATACATCAAATGGAACGGAGGACGATATAGAGAGGCAAGATTATCACGAGCATTTTCTGCAGTAGATGTTGAACCTTGATCTGATTCCCACACCCCAGGGCGTTTCATTTCCTCATCAAAGTTCCTGAATGCAATTAGTGAACTTGACTCATGTGACCCCATCCCCAATGCTCTGCATGGTCATTAAATTTTGCCAATTAGTAATAGCACATTATATCATTCTTGCATAATAGCCAATGGCTGCAATAGAGCAACAAAGACAGCAACACTAAGGAGAGTATACATACGGGTATAATACCGCATCATCATAGAGGACCTCTCTCCTAACAGGTAAAGGAGGACGCACTTCATCTCCATCATGCTGTCCAATGTTTTCTTTACCATTTTCATTCCCTGATACCCTAAGGAAACACATAGAAATCAGAAGAAGAAGAAGAAGAAGAAGAAATAAAGAGGCAAAAACACGATAATTTACAGAAAACGCGGCAAAATACCCGGCATTTTCATCTGCCCAAACAGCATTTCCACCATCTGCTGGGGAAGGATTGGACTGTCCCCCAATACCGCCACTTTCATTACCTATATAAAATAGTTGAATGGCTTCCTCAAGCTTCCAACTTGTTGCCTGATGGAATGTAACTCATCAGAATTCGAACAATCTCGTTTTTTCACAGATAAAGCATCGTACACACACAAAAACAAAGAAAATACCAAGATAATAGCAATAAAAGAGCAATTCACTGCTGATACGTATATCACCAGACAATTGGAACGCAAATGACAAAAACAATAAGCACGGACCTTTCAGTTTAAACCCTTAATTTTTATGGAATGGACCTGTAAAACCAAGGATATGACCACTGAAACAAAGAGGGGAAAAGGCACACAAAATTAAATGGAAGTCTCAGGGACACTGGCAGCAACTGAATATCAAAATTTACACGCAATTCCACTCGAAAGCTTCAGATAACTTAAGATGCTCATATCTAGCATTGGTTATAGACAAGATCTAGCATGCAGAAGACGGGAGGCTCCTTCTAATGCAACCAGCCTGGGTGTGCGCGAGAACCAAAGCTTCAATCAAGGGAATTGTACGGCCAAATTAAGAGCCTGACTTCTTCCCTAGCTTCATCAACACAAGGCATTGAAACCGCAAAACCCAGAATAAAGGTTGACTTTTTCCTCACGAACACATAAATAAGTGGACAAACAAATCGCTATCATAACAAGCACCAAACAACACCAAACATCACGGTAAACCAACTACAGATCAAGTGTTCATATCGTTATAATCTCTATAAGCAGTAATAATTAATCAGTCATGTCTACGTCAGTATAGCTCAGCTATTTTGCAATGTAAGGTTTCGGCAAATCAATGCGTGTGAGAACCCAGTACGCACAAGAGGGACAGACAGTGAGAACCTGCAAGAACTGGCGGGCGGTATCGTCGGTTTGACCGACGGCGATCTCCAAGAAGGAAGAGATCATGCTCTGCTTATCGGTCGGTGACAGCACGCTCTCCATCTCCCCCCACCCACCCACCCACCCACCCTCGTGCACCGTCACCGAAACCCTAGAAAGAAGCCCTTCGATCACGTCGCGACAAAAGAAGGGAGGGCAATTCTTTTGCCCTAATTTAGGGAAAGAGACGAGCCGAATCTGAATCTGAAGCTTCCATGTCTGGCGAACGGCGGGGAGAGGGAAGGAGTGAGGGGGACTCCCTCAGTCGTCGCCGTACCTGAGTCGTGGAGGCTCATTCGGATTTCCCAGTTTCCTTTTTCGACCAGGGTAACGCGGAATTGACGCTTTTGTCCTTGTAGCTGAGATCGGCTCCTTAATGGTAATTTCCCGCCTGGCACGCGAGTGGCAGTCTTTGTAATTTGTTTTGGTGACAAGGGTGTTATGGGTACACAGCGATAGGGGCGGAAATGTTTTTTTAGGACAAAAGGGGACGGAAATTAAATTATGAGAATTTTGGGGGGAAAAACAAATTAGAATTTCTGGAAAATGTTTGCTCCGCAGAAAATATGATATTTTCCGTAAAATGTGTTTCGAGAGCTATTTCTCGGGAAAATATCATATTTATATCTGTATTAAATCTGAAAATTAATTAGAAAATATTTTCCGCAGTGATATGGAAAATCTAATTTGATTTTCTTGAAAAAAATGGAATTTTTAATTATTTTTTATTTCTTTTCTTTCCTTTTCTTTTTCTTTCTTCCTTCGTTGGTCATCGACCACGGCAAAAGCCGGCCACCGACCAAAGAGGAGGGACAAGCTCGCGTGATTTGATGAGCTCGAGCCGCCAAATATGGCAATGTGGAGATCTTCCTACGTTGTATGTCACGGAGGAGGGCCTTCTCGCCTTTCCAAAAGCAATAATTGGCGAACGCCCACCGATCCGACACCACCTTTTTTAATCCCCGAGAGCCAATCGATTGTGATCATCAACACGAAGAAGATTCTGCAGAAATTGAATCCTAAACCAAGCAAAATCACATTTCGGGAATCGCAATCACAGACTTACTAAGTGTTTAGCTGACGAACGAAATTGGAGAAATTGTTGTGCTTGACATGCTTGGGGAGCAAATCCTTGGCGAATTCAATTGGCCATCACACGATGAACATCGTCCTCTCCTCGTTCCACGAAATCAAATCGTCCACCGCTGGATTGTCCATGAGCTGGTAAGTCTTGGTGAGGAACAGAGTCGGAGCCTCGCCCGAGGTTGATGAGCTCGTCTCTCGCTTGTCGCTAGTCGAACTCTAGAGGCAGAGCAACAAGGTGAGGGAGAAGGAGGAATTCTGGAGGCAGAGAGACGGAGGAGGACGACGAACCCTAGAACCGGTAGATGAAGAGCACGTAGACAAAGAGGAGGAAGTCCGAACGCGAAGAGGTGGAGTAACTTTGGAGCAGGATAGAGATGGGAAAATGAATGATTTGGAATTCAAAAAATAATTGCTTATAGCGCTTAAAATAATTAGTTAATGAAAAATATTTTCATTATCGACAACAATTTATATCTAAATACTTTCGAGCCGAGGATAATGAAATATTTTTCATTCATTCATTTTTGCATGCAATACAAGTGATCAATTTTAGAAATATATGTAATTTGTGTCATGATAATTATATTCCAATTCCGTTAACAAATATCTCAAAATATGTTAAGTGTCTGCATAAATAATTATTATTACCTTTCAATGCACTCTCTCGTGTTATATGTAAACTATGTATTAAAATTTAAAATATCTCTCAATAAAATCTTTAGTATTATAATTATCGGGATACAAGTCTATTCGGTCGTGGGTTGTGCCCTGCCTTGGGCTTGGGCAATTAAAGCCGCATAACTCCAACCGTATTGGACTTGGACACGGTTAGGTACGACCATCATGATGGCTTTGCATTTCTTTTTATGAAAAAGGGTTAAAGTCGAATACAAAAGTTCAACGTCGTGAATTTATTATCCCTTTTTTAGTACCAAATAAAAAATAAAGTAAGGTACTGACAAGAAATTAGTATCCAAATGCTTGTTTATTCCATGATTAGCAAGCCAGTCAGCAAAAAAATTTTCTTTCCGAAAGTTATGTTGTACTTTAAACTCAAAGTGAAAATGCAGCAGTCTTTCGATAATTTTAAGCAGAGCAGGGCCATCATTATCAATCATAAGTTCTAGACTAACAATATCATTGATGGCTTTAGAGTCAATCTCAATTATGATATTATGAAAACTAAGTTATTTTGCGAAGTTGAGTCCTAACCACAAAACCCAAAGTTTTGCTTGTGTCGACAAACATGTTTCTATAAATGCGGCAAAACCACCAAGCTAGTCACCCCTTCGTTTCTAAATAAACCCTTGTACCAGCAAGTCTTGGTTGCCTTTAAAGGGCCCATGCTTAATCCAATCAGAACGTGGAGGATCCCATCTTACCAAACTTGGAGAAATGCATTATCCACTTAAAGTTGAGTTATTCACAGATGAAGCTCTAATGACTTCCTTTGTGTATGACCGAATTGCTTGTAATAGATTCGAAGGAAGAAGTTATTGAAAAGTGACTTATTTCTCCATTGCCAAAAAAGCCATGCACCTACTTCAGAAAGGAAAAATGCCACAAAAAATCCCAAACTATACTCACTGTGACACATTTACCTAGTCGAGTTATTCACATATGAAACTCTAATACGTTGTGGTCCCTTCCACTTCTAAATTGTGGATCATATACTATAAGATTCTTGATTATCTACCCCATTGATTACTTCGCATGCTAACTTAACAGAGAAAGACCCGCTTCCATACCCTCCCACAAAAGAGTATCTTCTCCATCAGAGGCCAAAAGAGGTTTGACAGATCTAATGCGAAGGATTATCTTCTGATATAATTCTTTGAAATATCCGAAAATTTCGATTTTCATTCGGCACATAATCACAAACTTTTTTGTTCATCTCAGAAGGAGATAGCTGGACACTAACAATTTTATAGAGTGGCTCCATACATTGTATATATTTATCTGTCCAAAACCTGACATGTTTGCCATTTCCCAAACTTCATAAAGCTTCTTTTTGTAATGCCGGCCATACATTTACAATTGCATTTCATAAGATCAAGTCACCAGATTTAGCATGAAAATTAGTTCTTTGCGAACAATATTTAGCATTCGGAATTTGTGCCTAGAGATTATTAAGTTGGATCTTTAGGCCCCATGCTAGCTTCATCATAAATCCTTGATTAGTCTGTTCAAGAGATCCAAAACCAAGACCACCAAATTTTTTAGGCTCGCAAATGGGTTCCCAATTTAGAAGGTGAATTCGACGTTTGTCGTTTATGTCTCCCCCAACAATTTTTTTCAATCTCTAGACAAACTTGAGTTAGGAACTTTAGTGTGGTGCATGTGATAGACAGGGATAGATATAACTACATACTGAGCTAAAGTAATTCAATTTGTGACAAACTTTCAGATTTCCATCCACAAAGCCTTTTGTTCATCCTCTCTAACACAAACTGAAAATGCCTCAAAGAAGTTCTTCCATCAATCAAAGGCGCTCCCAGATATTTGCCTAATTCCGCGTATACACCAAAACTGGAAATCTCGTTCAAATTATGTTTCGGCCCAGAGAAGTATCCTTTGAACGAAAAACTTTAGTTTTAGCCTTGCTCGCAATTTATCAATCACCTAAACATTCCATGACGACATCCATTTGATCTCTCGAAGCTAGATCATCTACAAACAAGAGATGCGAAATTCGTGGTCCACTCTTTCGAAAAAAAAGAAGAAGAAGAAGAAAAGGTTTCCACCGTTTTGAATTTATTGCATCATTAATTGTGAGATAACCTTTCTATGTATAATACAAGTATGTATGGTGAAAGAGGGTCTACTTGACAAATTCCCTTGCTTGGAAAGAATTTATCCGCAGTCTTGCCATTCAACAAAATTTGCAACGATAATAATGTGATGCAATTCATAATTAAAAGAAACATAGAATCTAGGGCACGTGACATGTGAAGAGTCGCCTCATCGAAAGACCACTTAAGTCGATCATACGCCTTCTAAAGATCAATTTTGAGGATCATATACCCCATTTTCCCTTGAATTTTGTTCATCAAGTGAATTGTCTCTTGTGCGATAATAACATTGTCCTGAATATGTCTACCAGGAACAAAACTATTTTAATTAGGGGAGACGAGCTACGGAGGCACTTCCTTTCGTCTATTCACGATCACTTTGGTGAGAATTTTGTAAGCGACGTTACGCAGACTAATTGGTCTAAAGTTGCAAATTGATTATGGTTGTTTCACTCTTGGAATTAGTACCGAGAGAGTTTTATTAATCTCAGCTCAGTTACAATTTCCAGACCACGCTCGGGCCTTTGTAAGATCCCATATCAAATAGTGCTCTGTGGACCTCTTCTTTGTCGACTAGCTTAGCCAGATTTGAAGCTTACGAAGAACTCAGGACTTGAAATCCATTAGGTTGCGGAATCGCGATTGGGGTTGGATCATCTTCGGTGAAAAGGTTCTCGTAGAAATCCATCACAGCGCCTTTCAATTCCTTTTGGTCAGACACGTATTTTCCACTATTATTTTTTAGAGCATCGATTTTATTTTTTCGACGGTGAATGATTGTAGTAACATAAATTTTTTTTTTCATATTTTTATCCCCAAAGTGCATCTATTGATGTCTTGCTTTGCATTTTAATTAGTAAGGAAAATAAATTACTCTTTTTGACGACGCACGGCAAAGTGTGTTTCTGGGCAATTAATAATAAAAAAAATAACAAAAAAGATATGACATATTAGGGAAAATTCCAAATAAAGACCCGAAGTGCCTTTATTTTCTCAAATAAGGACCTGAAGTAGACCTTGTATCAAATAAGGACATGAAGTGCTCTATTTTTCTCAAATAAGAGCCTGAAGTGATTATAACAGTTTTAAATAAAGGCCTCACCCCGCCGGCTAGCCAAATTTTCTAGTCGATCAAGGGCATGTTTGTCCAAAAATAATTTTAATATAAATTTTGATAAAATTAAATTTAAAATTTTAAAATTTTTTTTTAAAAGAAGAAAAAAACCTAGGGAGGGCTAGCAACCCTGTGACATCCCCGAATTCGGGCCTAGGAAGCCGAAGGTATGCGGTAAAAGATTGGGCCAGTAGTCCGAGCCGAGAATCGGTAATGAAATGGATAATATAGTCGGAACGAGTGTACTGAGAGTTGGTCATGGTTCGATCAAAAGATTATCTATGAATTGGCCTAGGGATCGATACTGGAATGACTCCCTGTTCACGCAAGACGATTAAAG